CCCCCGTTATAGGGGTAGGATCGCTGGCCGCTCCAGGGCGGCGAGGCCTAGCCGCATCGTGGGCCTTGTGGATAGCCTTGAGCTGTTGTATGAGAACCGGTCTTGCGAGCATTAAATAAAAAGCGTTTTAAAAAAATTCTTGATTTTTTTTCCTTGTAAAGAGGGGTACCCCCAGAGCATGTGGTTAAAATAACTGAGTTTGTTGATTCCAGACGAAGTTATGAAATGCCGGAGTAACGGCTATATATAGGTTACGAGGCTAGGGTACGTATGTTTCCGCCTGAAGCATGCGAAGAGAGATTGCCTGTGGCCTAGACGTACAACTTCTCGAGTGGTGAAAAAAACAATAGCGAAACATACGAAGACAGCGCAGGAGAACGACGTACAGGACCATATAGTGTTCGGCTTCAAACTAAATATTTATTTCCACACACATTGACCAACAGCGAATGCATAATTAACATAATGCTAAAAATCCAAGAAGTGTGTCAAGGTGTTAGAAACAGCACATAAACATTGACGCCCCTTGCGCCCGCTATTTAGAAACGCGAATTCTTTATCTGTAAGAAAAAATGAATAAAACCTGTGACCGTGACTCTCGCATCTTTGGGGAAAACTCACGGTTCACTCACACGTACATGACTTTTTTCCTGTGTTGTTTCATATTGAAGGCATCAAAAACTTCGCCTTCAGTCTTATTTCTTCTTTTGCCAATGAGAACAATAAAAATTCGCAGCGTTCGCGTTAACTAAAAGAGGACTGCGGGTCTTTGTGTTTAATCGGTGTCTTAATTCTGTCTCTCATAGCCGATTAGCACTGATTGGCAATGAATGAATATTGTTAGGGAGATTCGCAAACTCTGTGTATGACATGCATATACTTTTGCTGTGTTTGTGGACTTTCTGCCTGTTAGGGCAGTTGAGATGTGTGCCATCAACAGCAAGTTTCTATTCGGTCATTTAAGCTGTCACACGGTGATAACAGTGGTAGTGTATAGGTGTTCTGTGGTGATAATCTGCGATGCAGTTCGGTCTCTCATTAGTTGAATTGAACCATTGAACGCGTCTTCACGCTCGGCGACGCTGATGTGCACGCTCGCGACACCGTCTCGTCCGCCATTTCGACATACCGTTGCGCCGCCTATAGTCACTGGAATGGTTGAATCAGGTTTTTTCCCCTTTCAGATGAAGTGCTGGTGGGAAAATAAACGCGCGTTTGACTGGACTTCACGCTTGGCGAGGTGTTGGCGCCCTCATATGGGCAGCTCGGGCACCAGATGCACGTTTAATTCTAAAGCACTTTTAGCAATTTCAAAGTTTAATTAGTATGATTACATTATTAGCAGAGCTTGTTCGATTATTCCGTCCCGGCTTATAGGCTTGTTTAGGGTGTGTGTCGAGCACTTAATTGTGAGCTTAACCTCGCAACATGGGCCTTACGCGGCCGTGCGCACGAAAAAGGTTCCATACATGGCTAAAACCTTACTGCTGCGATTTTTCAAGCGACGCGATCATTGCTATGGAACGCTACTAGCTATCACGTATTCGCGACAATCTCCTTACTTCCCTCCCCCTTAAATAAACAGTACCAAAAAAATTGTAGCGTGGGTGCATGCATGCAAATGCTGCTGCATAATCAAGTGACTTAATTTATACTGTTAAGACTCAACTCGTGTCAGCGAAACTGTACGGCATGCTCACCTGAAACTGTGAAAATCGGTGGCACTTTGGTAAACAAAACAGCGGAAACTCTGAGCAAGATTCGCTCAGTGTACGCATGTTGCGCATTTCCTCAGGTTCCGTAGTAACAGAGCTGCACTAAGAGCAGGATTTAGAACAACACTTTCTTTATCGGGTGCACTTTCTTTGCCATCATCCTTCCAGTTCTCATTCATACTTCACTGTCGTTACTTCATCGTAATGAGCTGCTTCGTGAAGGCAAATGTGTGGCAGGCAAAAGAACTGGTGCATAAACCCATATGTGTCAATCTCCGAGTGAGCGGCGTGTAGTCTACGAATGGAATTGTTGCGACGTCGTCACGATGTCACAGATATATGCGGCATCTAGCAGAGTGGGTGGTCCTTCCGAGCAACAGATACACCCTTCTGGGTAGTTTGCAGAGATTTGCTTGCTCTTGGCAACTATTGAAAGCCTCTACAAATGATTCAGCTCTTTTTTGTCTCTGCTTCTTAGCTGGTTTTATGCTGTGCCATTAGGGATCACTTCCTTTCTTCTAATGATAGATCAGTGCCCGAAATCTTTATGAAAATTTTCTGATGTCTTTTGCTTCAAGTATAGTCTTGAAGTGAAAGAACATGGTACCGTACAGCAAAAATATCATGAAACACTAAAAGGCAAAAAGTAGTCAGGGAATTCGCCTATTTCCTTCAGTGAGCACCAGCTAGCCAAAGAAAAAGCAGTGGTGGAGCGAAAGCACAATAGCAAAGAAACTAGGTCACAAATGAAACACGTTTAACGTAGCCATGTTGGTTATTTTTGCCAAGTGTTGATTCAGCGTTGGCTTAATGGATCTATAGCTCAGTTTGAGTCGAACGACGACAGGACTTGGCTCTTCTTTTTCAGACACCGCTTTTTTGAGGGTACGTTATGGTCAGAAATTTCCACATTATAATTACGAATATTTTTGAAGTGAATGACATTTGGTTCCCATGAAATTTAGCCCAGTTATGGTTTCTGGATTTGAAATCTTTAAAGAGAAAAAAAGCTTCTGCCATTTCCTTGACATCGTTCTTAATAGTGAGTAGTGGTAACGAATTGACGAACAATCTCGTTTCTGAGAGTCTGAATTACCAGCAAGGACAACCCAACCTTAAGTCACCAAATACCTTAAAGGGACTCTAAAACGGTTTATGCAATTTTGTAGAAGCACATTGGGATGGTAGAACAAGTAATAAGGGTCATTTAGAGACTGATTCGAGCTCTCTGCCTGAACTCTATAATTTCTTACAACACTTTAAAGCTGAAAATCGCTGATGATCGGTGCAGATCACTGCGACTCGACCAAACACGTTTTCAACTGCCCATGAATGGAGCGACACGCTCTGGCCACTTGACGTCACTGTGGCTGCCAATCTGATTGGCTTTCATGGGCTGTAGAACGCGTGGAAGAGAGATGAGCTGGTGGGTGGAGGCACCTCTCGAAGCAGATATCAACCACTCTGCGATCATAACCTCTAATGCCAGACGGTGTGCGTGCTGCCAGGTGCACTGTTTGATGGCCTTCGAGACCGCGTGCAACCTGCCTGTCGAAGGTCTACAATGGTGAAAGGTCGAAGGTCTACAATGGTGAAAGCTCAAACCTTTGAGAACACTCATGAGAGCTCTGCAATCACCAGCGATGCCAGCTTGCCTCACGAGTTGAAGACCTCGCAGAGTTGAAAAGGAGGGTATGATATGTTTACCTGTAGCACCCTTGGTACACGGTGTGTCGGTAAATTTGTGGTGCGAATGGTTTAATGATATTCTAGCCTAAACACTGATAAAACTTCCAAAAATCGTTTTAGGGTCCTTTTAAGGCCTAAAAGTTAGTGATGCAGAACTATACCATCGATGCTGTACCATCAAATGTAGTGCTATCAACAGCGCTCTCGATAGTTTTTCTACCATCAGTAAATTAATAGCCGCTCAACTATCAATAGATGGATCGAGAATTATGCATCACTGCTACGAGCTCTCACGGCAACAGCCTATCTCAGATATGTTTGCTATTTTTCTGCCAGTCATTCCTGCAGCATGGCATGAGAGAAGGTGATAGCCTACACCAGCATTTATCTATTAACAAAATCACCAGTTACTCAGGCACTCAATTAGCTCGATATTAAACGCAGGTGCTAGCAGTTTCGATAGGTACGACAATGTTTGTCGATGATTACGACGAAGTTCGGCAGCAAGAAAAGAATGAGAGCTTGACGCCATTCTCGCTTCATCGTCCCAAAGTAATCACTCCCACTTTGCTGGTAGGACCCACTTCTTAGCGGTGGTGTGTCCCGAACTTGTTGAGCCAATTTTCTTGGCAAACCTTCAATACCAATCATGGGAGGCACAACTCACCAGCTCCGACCCAGGAGTGCAACTTGCACTCCTGGATCAAGTCCGGAAAACGGCTAAGACCAGTGGGAACCTGGACTTGGGGTCCCAACCGTAGAATCTCCAAGGTTTCCTTTTCCCTTAAATAAAGTTTCACTCTCTCTCTCAAGGTACAGCACGGTGTCCATGATGGGAGAAGCCAGATGTTCATTCGACCTGGGGCAAATTGACGAGCTTTTTGCTGAATTCGAGTAACATCACGCCCATAGGTCGGCAAAACTTGTGGAGCTCACTCAGACTCACTCATGAAATATATTTTGAGCTTTGGACTCACTCGGACGCAGACTCGCAAATATTTTCCTGAGCCGGAGTCGCACTCAAGAACATTTTGTTCAGCCGGACTCACTCGAACTTAAAACTCACCAAATGATACTTACCTGGACTAAGTCAGATCTAGACTCGCAGTTCGATCTGAGTCTGAGTGAGTCGACTCGCGAGTTCAGTAGCCTAGAATAAGCTTCATCGACCGAGGTGTCAATACTGCTTAACACCAATATCTCATGTGATCGGTGTCCTACTTGGTGCAGTTTGACATGGTATCTTCGGAAAGGAGTTCCGAGTGCTTCCAAACGAGTAAGGTCATTTTTCTTGAAAGAGGTGACAGCATAAGACACATAATCATAGAGGAATTCCCTGGAAGAGTAGGCAGGGTGGAGTAAAGGCAACAAGTAGGACACTTATTACGTGAGATATTGGTGTTAAGCAGCATTGACGATGAAGCTATGCAATCCATGCCTCTAATTAATAAATATTGAAATAGTGTATGAATGACACTGCTTTGAAATAAGAGTGAGTAGACGTGAGTGTAAACGTCAATCCAGATAAGGCTGGCAGTAATGCTAAAGATGACTAGATAAAACAGTCGGCAGACAAAAGAAAGTGCAACTCACTCAGACTCATTCAAGAAATATATTTCGTGCTTTAGATTCACTTGGACTCAGACTCACCAATATTTTCTGCTACAGGACTCACTCCTACTCAGACTCTCGGCTAATCTGAATCTGAGAAAGTCCGAGTGAGTCGACTCATGAGCGAGTTCGCCTACACAAAACCCAAATGTAGCACGTGTCGTCTGTGGCATTTACTACGGCTTTGACACTGTTTCTTTAGTATTTCATGCTCTAAAATGTTTTGTTAAATTTTGCAAGTTTCGTGCATGTCGACGAAATGGACCAATTTTGGTGAAAAGAAAGTTGCAGCTCTGGGACAAGTACATTGTTCAAGTAAACCACAATTCCTCATTCTTCGTCCACTTAGCACATCCATGGTGATCTGACTTCCACAGAGGGCAATATTTACCATTTTCCAGCTATTTCAACGATCAGTGCGAAGTGAACATTTCATTGCAGTACCACCAGCGCGTATAGGCACTCACTACTGTCGCTAGCAGAAAGTATTTACCGTATATACTTGCGTAACGAACGCACTCGCATAATAAATGCACCTCCAACTTCAGTCATCACTATCTGGATTTTTTTCTCCCACTTCATAAATGCACCCCCTACACTCGTTTGCTGCCACCCCCTTGCTTGTTGGATTTCTTTCGTTATTTAATTTTATGCTGGCCACCTCGGCTTGCGCCCTCCCCCCTTTGCCCGCTGCCGCGCGGCGTATTGTTCTTCCTTCCATTTGCGCGCGGCTCGTCCTGTCTATTTTTATCTGTGCACTACAGTGACGCTCACGAACGGTGCGAGTGTAGACACATTGCAGCTGATAAGCACAGAGCTAGCAAAGGCCAGAAAACTGCCTGCGCCAACCGAAGGTCGCTTTATGAAAATACGAAACTTTAAGGCCAGGCCACATGCCTGCGACAGCAACGATGACAGAATTTGCTGCTGCCATGGCTGTCGCGAAGGGCCATTCGTCACCATCGCGTCACAGGTTTCTCGAAAACCAGAATAAAAATGTCGCCCAGAAAAGATTGTGACTATTTCCACAACATGGTAGCACCCGCGATTCTCGCTTTGGTAGCAATTTGCTTTTCATACTTGTTATCTGCACATAACTCAAGGAATGCATGATATCGGCTACCTTTTATTCACTAACTTCTTATGAGAACAGCGAGACAGCAGCTGTATTGTTAATATTGTTATCGACGGTTTGTTTGTTGCTTCCGTGGTGGCTTGCTGCACTGTCAACGGTGGCGTCACGGTTGCCGTGCGAGGTTGCCACAAAGTTGGCAAAGTACAAAGCAGTGTTGTAGCGCACGCTTCTGGGTGCCCCTCGAAATCCCAGCAGATACCATGTGTTGCGGTTAAAAGACTGCGAGAAAAGAAAGCCACGAAACGCTTTTATGGAGTGCGTGGGCGGCGCAGAGACAGCTTGCAGAAGAAAGTGCTTTCAATCACCGAAGATGAGCGAAGTGCGACAAAGAAGCAGTTTGCAAACAGCGTACGCATATATTGATTGCGAAAGGCTAAGTGCCCAAACTTTTCTTTTTTTTTGCATTACTGCATTTCCCCACAATCCAAAAAAGTTTTTATTAAGTTTGTGCCCCGCATAATAAACGCACCCCCAACTTTGCTCTGATTTCTCAAGGAAAAGAGTGCATTCATCAAGCGAGTGAATACGGTATTCAAAGAATCTACATTATAACAGGTGTCTAGGCAAACAATGCAAAGTCACCAAGGTCAGTCCTTGAAACAGGTCTTATCATATCGATAAATGTGAACCATGCCTAGCAGTGCGGGCACAAATACACAATCAAACTGTGCTAATGAGCTAACACGTGTCACAGGTGCACAGGGCTCTAGACCGACGAAAGTAAGTGTCCGACTAGACTACCAGTACGCTTGAAACGTTCGAAACTGCGCCGGTGTTGGAAGGTGGGACGGCTAGTTCGGCACCAAGAACGAAAAAAGAAGGACTTGACGCGGTCCTCCTTTGCTGTCTCAATGCAGTCAGTCCCTCCAGGCTGGTGGGACCCACTCTTTAGGCAGCGGAGGTGGTGTCCCGAACGCCTTGAGCTCCGGTATGGTCTCTGTGATGGGACGAGCTAGGTGTTGATCCAAGTCATTCTCCTCACGCAGGATGCAGAAGTAGATGAGAAATGCCGCAATGCTCGCCACCACGGACCACCGCTGAGCGGGGGGTGCGTCGTTTTCTCTGCACACAGACGGAGACATAAGCTGGCTCAAAAAGAAAGTCGCTAAGCGGCATTAGTCGATCAAATTTCATTGCAATGATAGGTTCGATGAGGTGGGAAAATGCGGGCGGCTGTGTCACCTGGGTCACAACTAATCGTAGAATAGAAAGATGGGCTGGTCAGAATATTTGCCTGGTTGATGGAGCACTGAAACATGAAGATGTAGAACAGACAGTACAGGATGAGCACTCATCCTTTCCTTTCTCTTCTATGCCTTTGACATGCCCTATTAACACAAATGTCACGTGTATTCCATACAGTCATATAGGGTTAGTACAGGTTTCCAAAGCAAAAAATTCAAGGATATTCAAGGGGTTTCCAAGACCTGTCGCAAGTTTTTCAAAATCTCAAAATGGCATGCAAACTTGGATTTTTTTTTTGCTCTGAAATCTTCAAAAATGGCTAGTTTTATTGCACTTATGTAAATGCTCATTATAATTAAGTAAATGGACATCTCAATTATAATGTAAACATCTAGTAGTCCTGATAGGTTCTCAAGAACACAACATGCAATCAGTGGCATGTAAGAGCGATTGAGGTTATAAGAATCTTTGAGATAGCATTCATTGCTACTCCTCAGTGAAAAATTGATTTTCTTTTTTACCAGTGCAGTTGTGCATTACTGAACCATGTGCGCTCATGCCAAATTATTGTTCATGAACTGGGGAGGACTTTGTCCTTTTGACAGTGATCTATCACATCGAGGAGGTTGCAATGTCAATATGGGAGTGCACTGCTCAGAAAATTCAAGAATTTTAAAAGATGGGGAAAAATTGCAGGACTTTCAAGGGCCTTGAGGACATGTATTTCAAATTCAATGGTTTGCAAGGATTTCAAGGACCTGTGCGCACCCTTCAGTGCCTGCCGGGCAAAAACGGTTTGTTTGCCAGTTTTTTCACATAACAGTAATTGCTGGGGAAGCCACCTAAATATAATTATAATGCATATAATCACACAGTGGAAATTTCGGGCACCTTGGCCATTTCAATATTTCCACTTTTATTGAAAACATGACCGCTGAGGCCAGGATAAAACCCGTGACCTTCAGGTCATCACTTGAGCACTGTAACAACTGTGCTACCACAGTAGTTTCATTCAGTACAGTAAAAGCTAGTTAATTTGAACTCAAAGAGGAGCACAAAATTGTTTGAATTAAGTGGTGTTCGAATCAGCGGGCAGGCACCAGAATCAACAGACATTGCACCACACTGTGCGGAGCAAATCCGAAGAAGCCACCCTTGAACCCATTTCCGCAAATTAGGCAATATTGCACATTTGTGGCAGGTGATTTCGTAAACTTCATGCCCTAACAGCTCATGTTAGATAGAGCTCAACAGCAAACAGAGTTTATTGATCAGTCAGTAATACAACAGAAACAAGTAGCAACACTGAGCAGTGAGCCTGAATGCAAAAATATACGAAGCTATTCATGCCCTACATGGCAGAATTAACTAAATTAAAATTTAGTCTTTCTTTCTTACTTCACTCAGAATAATACTGAAATTGTCCGAGCAAACATGGCCAGAGGAAAACGTTGCCTGACTGCACTGTGCCACCAATACAGCAGTAGCATAGGACAGACGATATTTACCACCATAAAAGTATACTATAAGAAAATAATTCACTATACTTGTTTTATGCAGATGAAAGTAATAAATAATTTGGGTGATCATTCTGGGCAAATTGCTTCGAGAAGAGATGAAAACCAGGGGGTTTTCAGTTTGAATTAACCATTCTCCCAACACTCTCATTGATTCAAATGCGAATCAATGCGTTCAAATTATTGGGAGTTTTCCCCTATAGAAATACATAAGGCTGTGCCGGGACCAGGGCATCAGTTTGAATTAACTATAAGTTCCCATTATCGACACTTTACTGCATTAGTTTTGCTATGAACCACAATGCTGGTGACAAAGTGCTCCTCGCAAACAATGCACAAAGAATACCTATCTGAATTGGGCCTTGGAGCCAGCCTGCATAGATCACATCGGTTCATGCATTGAGGATTGACATTGCAATGAACTTAGATTAAGAGAAAGGGAACCAACAAACACACCACATTTATACATGTATGCAGACTATGCTGTAATTCAAGAAAGCAAGTGAGTAAATTCAGAAGCGTCTAGAACAACTATTGCCCCAGTAGCCAAGACAAGGGAAGTGCTGAAATCCACGATGCGAATGTACAAACACAAAAGCACTTACACGTGGTAGTACTATAATATGGTAGGAAAAATCTCAAAGCATGGATAATCAGGATTCGCACGCAGGATTGCAACATAAATTGGGCTTCAAAAAGGTACTGCAATAAAACAAAGTGTAGCCAACGCTTCCTTCCCAGCTACTTACGGCGCACGAAAGCTCTGCGCGGCTTTCCACTTGGCTGCGTTGCTCGTGGTATACTGGTATGGCTTGTCGTCCTCATCATCATACTTCGAATCGACTTTCCCGTTAGCAGCACGTCTGCGCAAAAGAGTGGCAGACATGCAATTATGTCAAGTAAGATCGCAAGCAATGTGCGAAAGCGAAGGAAAGAAAGGCACAGAGGGTCACTGAAAAATGAAAAAAGACTCCCCGCTAAAGCCTATAGAGAGCAGAGGTTCATTTGGCAGCCTAACAAAGTCGTTCTTGTTTGGCACCACGTTATGTTATGCTGCTTTCTGTGTATCTGCCGCGTAAAAGTCCAAAGACGCAAGCTGGCTAGCGGCACCAGTGTTCTGGACACCCAATTTCCTGTGTTCTCATGACAAACCCAGCCAAAAAACTGTGCGTTATGTGACCATGCGTCACTCATTCCCATAGCACATCTTTGGTCTGTGCCGAGCGATTCACGATAAGAAAGAGGCCCAAATCACAGTTACAATTTCAAGGAAGAAATAGCGAAATTATCTCCTATAGCTTGGCTTCTTTCCTGTCATGTGAATGTGAACGCTGGCCGCAAGCCAGCACGATCGCGTCACGTGACTGATTCGTCCGCTGTTTCTCACAAGTGAACAGAGAGAGGTGCACGTGGAAATGTAGAATGTGCAAACAATGCCAGGCCACCTCTTCTGCTGCACCCTCTCAAGCTTTCACAGCCCCTCACTGTCTTCCCAAAGGCCAACATGTAGCTGCCCGCTTTTCATTTTACCTTTCACTATTGCGTGTGAGCCCCGTGTGATCATTCAACTAGTGCGAGATCGGTCAGGTACGTATATGAATTGGACACGTGTGCAGCAGTAGTAGGCACGCTGCACAAAATACAGGTGAGGTGCACTAAGAGGGCTTCAGTTAAACAGAACTTGTAACGTTCCGAGTGTTTAGCACAACTCAAACACTCAGAACATGATGGTATACCGACTTGCTCAAACTGCTACTCCCGTGAAGCAAAACCTTGAACCTGCTGAAATGGAATCGTCCCCCATTGCATCGTCTGGTGTGTGCACTGTTGTGGCATAATTCAAAATGATGTTCACATGCCTGAAATTCCATGCACGAATCTGCTTCGTCTTTTTTGTTCTGACATTGTGTTATGTCTTTGATATGTTTCCTCTGGCGTTTGTTGGGTGTAAGGTGTGTTCTAGCTTCACACAATTTTTTTCAACCGCCACAATGAAATGAAAATATATTCAGGGTTTTAGCACATTAGTATACTAGTATGAGCCACACAATTATGGAGGATCCCAGATCGACATACACTACATGGTCTTTCTTAATGAACGTCTAAGTTTTCGCATTTTGCCCTGACCAAGATTTGGCCACCACGGTCAGGATTCGACCCTGTGACTTCATGCTACTCATCACAACTGTTGGTCACCATGGTGGTAAAAAGAGTAAACAGACACGCATACGAAGTAACGCAGAAACATACTAATAAAATGGAGGCATTTTTAACAGGGCTTTAGTGCAACAGCGAATTTTAAGATATATGCTGTGTTTAACGCGAAATTTCTTACTGCACTAATTTATTGGTTTAATGGATCTAGCTCAGTTTGACTCAAACGACAGCAGAATGCGGCTCTTCTTTGAGTGTAGGCTATGGTCAGGAATTTCCACATTACAAACATTTTTGAAGTGAATGACACTTGGCCATGCTTTGTGTTCCCGTGAAATCCAGCCCTGTTTAGGTTTCCAGATTTGGATTTCTCAGAGAAATGCCTTTGAAAACAAAGTGCGGGCACTCTTGCGCAGAAATTTGATTTTGATTCATGTCCACGGGCAGGCGAATAGAGGTAATTAACCTATCACACTTCCGAGGCAAAACAAGCATAAACAAGCCGCATCAAAGACTTCCTGCTGTGGACTTTGGCTGGACTGTGTGGAATGCTCCGCCGCCCGCAAACTTCGTGCAGAAACCAAAAGATTTCATGAGGGTTATCTCTCGGAATGATTAATTGCTCGCGAAAGTGAAACTGGCTGCGGCTAAGGTGATGTCGGCCGATCGGGATGAACAGCTCAATACCTTTGAAGGACGGGCAGGCAGGGCACCGCGGCGCTCCTTGTAACGCCTTCTAAGACGTAGAGCTTCGACAGAAGACTTCTAGAAGCAATGTAAGGCATGATGAAGCCGCCGATTTCACACCATACACATGTAGCCCGCGAGAGTATAGGTGTTCTGTGGCCCGCTTTCGGAAGCCGAGACGCACTACGAGCGCTATCCCAGCACGTGTAAACATGTATGGTCACGTGACACATAAATAAGTAAAAAAAAGCTTATGGATTGGTTTGACCGTAAAACGTTTACTTTATGGCAACTAAAGTCTAAGAAGCAGCGTTAAGGTTATAGCCTTTAAGATTTGTAACTCAACCACTTTTTTTTTCAACAATCAACATAGCCTTTGAGAGCTGCGTTTACTACATTATAAAACTATGGTACCATTAGAAGAGCCGTGTCAATGTGGTAGTACCCGCAGTAAGGCAATATTACCCCGTAACTAAATTATGTTGCGTAAGCTTTGTAAATACACACACACACACACAAAAAACAGTTGAAGTCTTTAAGCACACAACGGAAAATCGTGAACGGATCAAAGTAACGGCGCCAACAGACCTTATTCATCCAAGCCAAGTATGTGTGTAGTTTCACCTGTAGCAGCGTGCGTTTGCTTTCAAGGGTAAAGTTTTACGCTGCTCTTCGCTGGCCCTGGCGCGAATTCTGCATCTTATATGGTAGTACAGTAACGATCGGAAATCTTGGTGCCGTTTGTTAAGCAGCGCGCACTCGTGAGCCACTCTAGATGCCCGATCATGAGTTTGTGCGTGTGCCGGTCGGCGGTTCAGCTGGAGAAGCTTCTCAGGCGCACGCTGCTGACCTCTCCGTGCGCACGGCGCATGTACTCCGCCAGCGGCGGCGCGAGAGACAAGAAGAACCGGACCGTGCTCATGTACGTCACTTCGATGACTGTGCTCGTCGGTGGGCTCAGCTACGCGGCCGTACCGCTGTACAGGATGTACTGTCAGGTGAGCACACGGTGTTGTCACACGAGCGCCTTCGATCGCGATAGTGCCGTAGTCGGAATCGGGTTCACTGACTGCGATTGGCTTATCCGCGCAAGAGAGCCAATCATGGTCGTGAAGATTGAGCAAGCTGATTGCGATTGGCTTATCTGCGAAAAATGCGGAAGGGAGCCAATCGGGGTCGTGAATCTCGAGCAAACTAATCGCCTATTTGTACGAGATACTAAAATGAGTGAATCGTGGCAGAGAAGTTCAATCCCAGTTGGAGCTCGACCGCGATCGAAATGACATCTGTATTACAGGTGACATGCTTATAAATTTATGGAGCCCATTGAAATCGACTTTTTTTTCCCGTTTTTTTTTTTTGCATGAGCAAGTGTGCACACGTAACTCTTGCTATAACACACCGTGCCCTGCCTGCGCACAATAATCATTCAAGCGAGCGAGCATAGTCATGCCAGCGAATGCAGATTAGTTGCATATTGTGCTTAGTTGCATATTGCGCCTGTTCTGCTAACTCTCAGTGCAGTTTAGGCAGGTTGGTATAACTTTCAATTAGCAACAGCACACAGAAAGAAAGCTGTGGGATTAGCACAGACATGTTTTATGCGTGCACTCAAAGGCGTTACACGCACAAGCTAGCTATGTTAAATTAGCGATATTTATTACACATGCACGCACACAAAAAAAAAGTGTCATCATCGTTATTTGCCCCACAATCGAGAAGTGCCACTTTATATTGTGAAAATGATACCGAGGGCTAGCAAATATGCTGGGCATTTTCGCTTGCAGTGTTGGCCGTTTTGACTTTCGCCCTTATGTTGTGATCCTTATGTGTTGATCCTAAACGGCATGTCAAGGAGGCCTCGGTGATTTGTCTCAAACGCAGTCAACGGGCCGGGGCGGCCAGGCATTTGCGATCGAGGCCGGTGAAAAAATCGAGAAGATGGACCGTGTGAGCCATCGCCAGATCAGGGTCAACTTTTCCGCCGACACTGGCTCAGGGCTTCGATGGAACTTCAAGCCACGCCAGTCAGACATTGTGGTGCGTACCTTGCTCATTCTCACTGCACACCTACAAATGCAAGTTCTGTTATATTACTGCAGGGATGCCTTCAAGCGGAGTTTTCACCACTATAGCAATTCACATGCATTCGGCGGCCAGGTGCCTTTTAAAGATACAGCTTACAAGCGAGTAGCAGTAGGGGCACATATTGCTTGTTTGATAACCTGACGAAGAAGTTGACCGCCTAGATTAAAAAATGCTGTACAGCGTTTTGTTTCATTCATGATGCAATTCGGCTAGTTTGCTTATCAACGAAAAAAAGAAAGGGTAGAGAAATCATAAGAAAAAAAAAATAATGCAGTGCACAAGGCAGTTCTTTTTTTTGTTAGGGTTCCCTTACGTCCCACTTTTGTGCTAACAAATCTATGTGGTTAAATCAATTGACTCTAACAGCAGGTGTTGTTGAAGCGCTTGCTTACTCTTGTGGAGATCCAGTAAATAAGCTTTTGTTTGCACTATTGTGTACTGTTTCCTCGTACCAGTGTGCTCAAGACTCTGCAAGAAGCATGCTAAATATAGCAGCTGTGTGGTCGGATGCAATTTAGGAGCTCTCAATTATGTCATTTTCTTTTAAAATATTGTGCGGTTCTGGGATGCGAGGCCCTACCAAGTTACATTTGTTCACATTAATTCATTTTGTATTGGTGTCAATGCTATTTGCCCCCTCTTCTTATTCGACCTTTAATGAATAGCACTTTCCATTACATTCTGCGGGAGGTGTATCTTTGTTTTTGACTATGAAATTATTTTCTATGTATGCAACAATGTTTGTATAGTTGAACCTTTTTATAACTAACACTGATATAGAAAATTATTTGTTGGATCGAACTAAATAGGAGTGTTAGTAGGTCACGCTTTGTTTCAGTGACGTTAATATTTTTCTTAATTTAAACAAAAACGAGAGCAAGCCTGATACGAGCTGTAACAAAGAAACATTTGGTTTGCATGCAGCTTGAAAGGTAGCCTAAAGAGAGAAAGAAAAAAAAAAGACTGTGTAATGACATTACGTAGCATTCTACAGCAGAGCTGTTACGCTTGAGCTTTGTTGTGTGTGGTTGGTAAAAAGTCAGCTGGCACACACTCTTTTAAAAATGATAGTCTTTCTTGGGGACCTTCGACGCAAAAATTTTGGTCTGTCTGTCTGTACATTTGCCTGTTTGTGCACTCTTAACAGCATCGGGTATTTGAAACGAACGACCACATCCGCAGCGCCCACCTATGTTGCTCAAGATTCAGCATTTATACTTGTGCAATTGTCGATTAAAAAGCAATTATTACACGTGTCTGGGGCACCAAAACAATACTTATATATTCTGCATGTGTGCCTTTTACTAGAAAAGCCATACATAAGTAATATTAAGAACTGTGGCGCTTATAAGGCTGCGCTGACCATCCAATGCTCGCACGGAAAAGCGAGTGTTTCCAACGATTTGCTAAAACGTGACGGTGGTAGCACTTACCCGTCGCCTTGCGTTCTACACCTTATCACCTCTGAAGTGGGCACGCACACCCGTCTTAGAGCCACGCGCTTTGTTTTTGAAAAAAAACTGCCAGATGGCGGTCATGTCTCACGTGCGACGTGACTTGATGCGCTCGTTCGCCTCCGCTGCACGCTCGAGGCACTCTAACGCAGCGCCTCCAGAATACCATTCACCGATTTTCTTGAGAAGATCAAATAAATGTTTTGTCCACTCTTTCTACACATAAGACTATCGTCTTTCGATGACATTTGCAGATTAAATGCAGATACGGGGCCAATATTTTATCTACCTTTGCTTCGCTCCCAGAACACGTGAGCTGATTTGTCCAGTGTGGGATGCAATAACTCCAATAGGCAAAAAAATGAGTACAGATAGAGGGAGAAATTCATTGCAGAAAAAAAGTTTTAGTAGGTTTTAGTAAGTTTAGTACCGATGATTTGAAGGTGAATGTTGTAACCTCTTGGCTGTCCAGGCACATCAGCAGGGTGTGGTACAGTACACTGCGTAGTATAGCATAGCAAGGGTGTTGAAAAGGGAATTTAGGATGAGGAGGAGGAGAGGAGAGAGAGTAAAGCATGATGTGAAAAGAAAGAGGCAGGGACGGCACCAAATTTTCTGTCTTGGGGGGGGGGGGGGGGAGGGGGGCGGCACCCACGACATATGAATTCTTCCAGGGGGGCAGCGAGGCTGGTAACATGTACATTGTGTTTTGACCATGCTCGCTCTTGGAAAGGCGGGGTGGGGGGAAGGGCAGGTGGAAATTTTTTGGGGGCTCCGGTTTCCATGCTTCCCGCTGGCACGACCTCTGGAAAGAGGAGAGAAAGAAAGGAATGGAAGAGAAAGAAGTTAGAAAGGAATAAATAAGCCGAAAAAGCAAGAAATAAAAATCAAGAGACCAAAACAGAAAAAAAAAGTTACAAACTATACTGTGATGTAGTAGCTTTAAAAAATGCGAGCATCAGCAGACGACAGCGCCACATCACCTGGAAGATGAGAAGAATGAAGAGGCATTGCAGCGCGCCCATTAAAAAAAGAAGAGGAGACGCTCGCGGAGAACGAAGCCGTTCGGACGCCGGCAAGACGACGCAAGGGAGCCTAGGGCGAACGCGCAACTACGCGCGAGGTTCGAAAGGCCGGGTTCCTGTCCTCGAGCCATTGACGTCCTCTGGGCACGGCGTGTCGGCGTGGCCAGCACGAGTTCTCGGTGAGTGGTCCTGTGGACATCTCCGGTACGGCGAGCGCCCTCGAAAGACCGGAGCTGCTGACCACGTCTACCGAGCCGACGTCGCTGACAGTGTGCGGCTACGCCTAGACCTGGTGATATAGACAGTGGTATGCTGACCTGGCACCCAAGCGACGACTGCATCCGAGCACGCAACGGGTCCCACTCCAAGGCATCGGGCTACGGCACAGACTGTGAGACTGGTTACTCTTTTCTTTTGTGTGTGAACCACGCGCGTGTACGACTTACAGTACTGTACGCACAATAGTTTTTTTTTGTTCATCCAATATAACTCCCGTTTGTTTTCCTCACTGTCTCCATCTTCCTCGCGTCACACGCCTTGCGACGTGACGAACTTAACACACGACATATCTGGCGTCCGCGAGACAGGACTACTCTTGTTACATCTAAGGAGAGTATCACATCGCATATGCGTGTGTGACGGTCGATGATGGAGGCAGATAAGCTGACGGCGATCGGAAAGGAATTGGGGTTAAGTGGATCAGCACTAAAAGAATGGATGGACCAAGAACGCGCACGCGAAAAAGAGGCACGTGACGCTCGTCTGGCTGAACGAAATGCCGCGAAAGAAGCCGAGGCAGAGGCAGTCGCTAGATTACAAGCAGAGAAAGAAGTTCTTGAGCTCAAGTTAAGGTTGCATCAGTTAGGTGCGACAGCAGGTAGCACAACTACTGGGCAGCTTACCGAGGGTGCGCCCGTAGGCACTACGCAGAGCTACCAAAGTCCACATAAACTCATCCCAGCCTTTAACGAGGAACGCGATGAGCTGGACGCATATATACAGCGATTTGAGCGCGTCGCTGCTAGTCAAGACTGGCCGCAAGACAAATGGGCCCTATCACTAAGCCTTTGCTTGACCGAAGAGGCCTTGAGTGTAGTTGGTAGGATGGCACCAGAACATGCCACGGACTACGTAACGTTGAAGAAAACGCTACTACAACGCTTTAGGTTCACAGAAGAAGGCTATCGGACAAAGTTTCGATCAGCCAAACCAGATAATTCTGAAACGGGCACGCAGTTTGCCGGGTGTCTATTAGGTTATTTTGACCATTGGCAAGAAATGGCCAAGACAGACCGGACCTACGATGCTCTGCGAGACAAAATTGTCTCGGAGCAGTTTCTCGCGCAATGCCATGAGAAACTCGCTGTGTTTCTTAAGGAAAGAAACTGTGAAACCCTTGAAAAACTTGCGGAGGCTACAGACCACTACTTGGAGGCCCAGGGGTTGATTAACCTTGGCAAATGTAAAGGCGATATCCTGAGCAAGCCTCCAGGGCAAACTCGAACGTCTGAGCGGCAAGATGACAAAGAGAGACCGCAGTGTTTCCTTTGCAACAAAAAGGGTCACAGAGCAGCTGATTGCTGGACCAACACAAGGGGCCCAGGTACAAAGCCACCCTTTTGTGGAAAAGGCCGCCGCACTGGGCATAAAACAGCTGACTGCTCCAAAAGGGCCAACAGCGTTGAGAAGGCCTCATGCTCTTTTCAACAAAGAGATGGAGCCAAGATAATTAATTCAGAGTCGCAGGCTTCCCTTTGTGTCCCTTATAGTCCGGAGTGCGCAGAAACGCGCCCAGCCAAGCTGAAGGAAAAATCGATGCCCACGGGCGAAGGTGTACTCGAAGGATATCCCGCAACAGTACTGAGAGATACCGGATGCGATTCAATCATTGTCAAAAGGTCTCTTGTGGCGGATAGCAAGCTGACTGGAAAGATTTCCTCGATTTACCTCCTGGACGGACGGTTGATGAAGCTGCCTGAAGCACACGTGGAAATTTTTTCACCGTTCTTCACTGGCAAAACTCGAGCCCTTTGTATGGATACTCCTTTATATGATGTTGTCTTGGGAAATGTGGAAGGCGTTCGAGATGCTCACAATCCTGATAACGATTGGAAGAACCGTCTTTACACCCAGAACACTGCAGAAGAGTACTCTGGCGCAAAAAAATTCGGTTCTGCACACGGACCCTTGTATGCAAAGACTTCAACATCGGCTGCAAGGAAAACACGTTGCAAGACAAAAGTTGCTGCAGTAAACCGAAAGGCAGGAAATCCACATCTACTTCCGGCTCCAGTTATAAACCCCTTAGACATCAGCCCACAGGACTTTAAAACCAAACAGGAGGAAGACAGCAGCCTGCGGAAATGCTTCGAAGCCGTCAACAAAGAGGTCAAGACCAGGTTTGCTAAAATATTGTTCTTCACGAAGAATGGTATCCTCTATCGCAAGTACACCCTTCACTCTAAGAGGCAGGTGAATCAGCTTGTGGTACCAAGGTGCCTCCGACAATTTGTTATGAAAATGGCCCACGAAGGCATCCTTTCGGGCCATCAGGGAATTAAACGAACTATTGACCGGGTACTCGAAGAGTTCTACTGGCCAGGGGTTCAGTCAGACATCACACGATTTGTTAAATCGTGTGATATATGTCAAAGAACTATTCCCAAGCATTTGGTGGGTCGTGTACCTCTCGGCAACACTCCTATAATTGACACCCCTTTCAAGAGAGTAGCCATTGATATTGTGGGTCCATTATCACCGATGTCAGAGGGCGGAAACAAGTACGTACTGACTATGGTGGACATGGCAACGCGTTATCCCGATGCTGTAGCACTGCCGAGCATTGAGACGGAGAAAGTCGCTGAGGCACTTCTGGAGATGTTTTCTCGTGTAGGTGTCCCACGGGAGATAATCAGTGACAGAGGCACGTCATTCTCGTCACGCCTAATGAAGGAGCTAAGCCGACTTCTCTCCTTCAAACAATTGCCAACAACCCCATATCATCCCATGGCTAATGGCCTTGTAGAGAAGTTCAATGGCACCCTGAAACAAATGATAAGAAGAATGTGTCAGGAGTGTCCGAAGAAATGGGACCGGTACCTGGCGCCCTTACTTTTCGCTTATCGCGAAGTTCCCCAGTCGAGCTTAGGCTTCTCCCCGCTCGACTTGCTCTACGGCCGTTACGTCAGAGGACCCCTGGCGATATTGAAAGAATTATGGGCCGCTGATCATCTTGATGATGATGTGAAAACATCCTTTCGGTACGTAGTCGAACTGCGGAATCGTCTTGAAGACACCTGCCGATTAGCCAAAGAGGAGCTTCAGAAAGCAAAAATGATACAGAAGAAGCATTGTGACCGAAAGACCAGACAACGTCAATTATCCCCTGGAGACAAGGTTCTACTTCTGCTTCCGTCCGATACCAACAAATTGGTTCTGACGTGGAAGGGGCCATTTTATGTCCTTGAGAAGAGAAATGATGTCGATTATTTAATAGATCTCGGTACCAGCAGCACAATATGCCATATCAACCTATTGAAAAAGTATGAGGAACCGCTGTCTGCACCACCGCATGAAGCATCAGCTGTTTGCCGGGCGGATGCCAGCGAAAGCGACGAGCTACCATGCGTTCCATTACAACGAAAGGACTACTGCACCCAGTCTCATACGCAAGCTGTATACTGCAACCATGCGAAGCTGCTTACTCTACAGTGGAGCGAGTGGCCCTGCCTCTTACGTGGTCGGTCCGGAAAGTTCATATCGTCTTATTCGGACGCACATTCATTCTAAAGAGTGACCACAAACCGCTTGTGTACATCACGTCAGCCAAGCATTTGAACAGCTGCGTGTTACGGTGGAGCCTCATCTTTATGGAAGTGCGTAGATTACATGGGCCGTTTGCCAACTCTGTGAGCAACGTCTACATAAAGAATCGATGCTCAGTGGTATTAAGTGCTTAAGAAGTAAACCTTACAGTGCTATACAAGTATTATGACGCTTTAGTTCTGTGACTTGTTTCTATTTTTTTTTTTTCTGGTTTGTACTTCTGTGACCGAATGTTCCGAGTGTGCGGGGCTCGAAACTGATATAGTGTGCAGTGGTGCTTACGTGTGTGTTTCCGTCTGCGAACCAACGTGTCCCCAGTGCCCTCAAGTTCTTCTACCGGAAGAACTTTCTTAAGTGGGGGGTGATGTGATGTAGTAGCTTTAAAAAATGCGAGCATCAGCAGACGACAGCGCCACATCACCTGGAAGATGAGAAGAATGAAGAGGCATTGCAGCGCGCCCATTAAAAAAAGAAGAGGAGACGCTCGCGGAGAACGAAGCCGTTCGGACGCCGGCAAGACGACGCAAGGGAGCCTAGGGCGAACCCGCAACTACGCGCGAGGTTCGAAAGGCCGGGTTCCTGTCCTCGAGCCATTGACGTCCTCGGGGCACAGCGTGTCGGCGTGGCCAGCACGAGTTCTCGGTGAGTGGTCCTGTGGACATCTCCGGTACGGCGAGCGCCCTCGAAAGACCGGAGCTGCTGACCACGTCTACCGAGCCGACGTCGCTGACAGTGTGCGGCTACGCCTAGACCTGGTGATATAGACAGTGGTATGCTGACCTGGCACCCAAGCGACGACTGCATCCGAGCACGCAACGGGTCCCACTCCAAGGCATCGGGCTACGGCACAGACTGTGAGACTGGTTACTCTTTTCTTTTGTGTGTGAACCACGCGCGTGTACGACTTACAGTACTGTACGCGCAATAGTTTTTTTTTGTTCATCCAATATAACTCCCGTTTGTTTTCCTCACTGTCTCCATCTTCCTCGCGTCACACGCCTTGCGACGTGACGAACCTAACACACGACATATACGTACGTTATGTAGAATGTATATCGTAGACATACGTACGGTATGTAGTATAGTGTAGCAAAGGTTGGGAAATACACAGTTGAGGGAGTAAAAGCCTATAGCCAAGTCAGGACCAGCTAGGTGCCCACCAGCTCGGTTGTTACACAGCCTTGCGCGACCTTGTGAAAGATGTGCTAATTTTCTTTCCTTCTTAATTGTTTGAAAAAGTTGAAAAAATTCTGGTCATCCAGGGGGTGGGGGAAAGAAACCTATTTTACTGGTTGCACCACTGTACCAAACTATGAAAAAAACTATAAAAGCTCCTGTCGTGATAAAAGGTGCCACCACTTGTCTAGGATTAAGAAAAGAATAATAGTATAGTATGTGGATTTTTATGTCCTGAAACCAAGACATGATTATGACAGACGCCATAGCAGAGGGCTGTGGACATTTTGACCATCTGGTGTTTTTTTAACGTGTACTGACATTGCGCAGCACATGAGACTCTAGCATTTTGCCTCCGTCGAAATACAACTGGGATCGAACCCGTGACCTTCTGATCAGCAGCAGTGCACACTAGCCACTGACCCACCGAGGCGGACAAAAAAAAAGAAAAAAAAAGAACAATGCATTGTTCTTTAAGAATCTCTTGCATGAGCCGGAGTGGTGATTTACTGGAGGCAGTTTTTATTTCTGGTGTTACGACGAATATCGGACATAACAAAGTAATTTCCCGGTGCTACTTTGTTATCATGAGGTTTTACTGTACTGTCGTACGTGCGATAACGGGAACATAATTTGCGTAAATGACGCAGTCTTTTTCTTCGAAGAGGACACTAGCTGGAAACATAGTGACGACCAGGCCATTGTTCACACACAGGTTGCCCCAGGTGAGACCGTGCTGGCCTTCTACACGGCTCGCAATCCAGGCGACAAGCCTGTAGATGGCATCGCCACCTATAACATCCTGCCCTTCGAGGCGGGGAAGTACTTCAACAAGATCCAGGTGAGAGGGCCGTTTTCATTAGTCAATGCCGTATATTTCGGCGGGTATACTCGCAGACAAATTTTTTTTGGCAATAAATGGATAGCTACGGAGGCAGAGCTATATACTGAACATGTACTCCTCCGCGAAGTAGTCCGGTTCAATTTCGCGCTTCGAATAATGGCCTCGTTGGAATAATAACATTGCATACCATTTGCTACGTCTTCTTATACAGCCATTTGCAGGTGAAATTTGTCAGAAGCTCATTCGGCATGTTGTTGGAGTGAAATTCGTCAGAAGCTCATTCGGCGTGTTGTTGGAATAGCCAGAGGGCGACAAGCGCTCACCTAAAGACAAATACGCCATTTTTTCACTGCGAGGTGCACATAAAACGTGCGACATGTTCGGACGTGCAAAAGCACGAAACGACACGGCATAAAGTGAAACAAATAAGAATATCTCCTCGGTGCCTGCTGTGTCTTTTTCTAAGCAGCATCTTGTGAAAGATAAAGTAATGTTTTTTAAGCTTTTCTCGCAGAAAACCCAGACACAATTGTGGGACTATATTCTTCAGAGGTGGCACACGCCCACTTTGGCTCCGTAGCTTTTCCTTCATTGCCAAGAAAAGTTGTCCGCGAGTATGGTGAAGTGGTGCACACTGCTGACGCCTTGCGTTCGAAACAAAGCAAGGCTATTGTGATGGTAACGCAACATGTTGCACTTGCATGAGCCAGACTCAATGCATTGACGAATTCGGTCGTCCTGTGCTGTTTCTACGATCAACTCGCTTGATGTGATGCAATTTGTGGCAAATTCATTTCGAACTTTACACATATTCTTGGCCACTCAGATGAGACAGTGCATTATTTTTCCACCTTATTTCGAATTAAGTGCATGAGTTGTGGCAATGATGTGGGACAGAACTTAAAGTGAAATATGTAGACTTAAGTCATAAGAATTAAACGAACAAATGTTGCTGGAGGGAACCCCATTGTTGACACAATGGTTTCAGCAGTATAAGCTGTGGTTGTGGTTCGACCACTTATCTACAAATAGAAATATCTCTTCGAACATGCAGTGATATTGCTTTGTACCCCTGTCAGATGAGCTCTTCAAATTCTTTTGAGCAAGAAGACGTCTTTCAAAAAGGAGTTTCGCTTGCAGTCATTCGGCAGAGGGCGATCTCTTCAGAAGTTCTCTTTTCTGAAAATGTATTTTGGTCGATCTCTTTCACGGCCATAAAATAGTAGCCTCAAAACCAGCAGATGCCAGCAGTCATGAATAGATGAGAAAAAATGGGCAAATTTTTATTGCTCCGTCACCTAGGCTTATCATAAAAATAAATTTGATATGTGGTCATAGAAGGCATAATTTGATATGTGGTCATAGAAGGCATAGAAGGCATAATTTCCTCGTGTACTGCCATGAGCAGTTGCATGGGTTGGCCATGTCACACGAGTAACGTCTGGACGCTCAGCGTGTCACCCACACAGGTGCAGGAAGCGCTGCATAGTAATGAGTATGGCCAATGTTGGTGACCAAGAAGCCCTGGCTGCACGCAAAAAGCAACGGCTGCCGTGGTCAGAGAAGGAAACCTGGACTTTATGCATCGAGATACATAATTTTATTTTGATTGGAAAGCTATTGCCATGCTTTCAGTATTGTGTTAGGAAGGAAATTCTAAAGAGAGTTCATCGGTATCGTGTGCCCGTGAGCCAATGCCTCTTCACTAAAAATTCTTCCATCTTTGTAAAAAAAAATTACATAAAAGAATAATTATGTGCTCATGCGACAGTGGTATCATGCTTGATCCTTTTTGACGCAATTAGGTGTGGTGCCATTTACTGAGTTGCTTCACTGTTGCTTGCCAACAAGGTCCGATGAAAGAGATCCAAGTGCGGAATCATTAGTCAGTCACGAGCAAGACATATGTCAAAGCATTGATTCCAGCGACATTCCCTGTTTTATGACTTTTCATCTCTTCAAACAGAATTGAGTACTGCTCAAACAGCTTTTCATGTGACTAATGCAAAGGAGCTGTTTATCCTAACCAAAATTTTTGCAACTCTCTGTAAATGGAGCCAAAGTAGCAAACTCTAAAGGATGTCAATTGAGGAACAGTTCAGCACTTACCTACGTACGTTGTACTCATCAGCTCAAAAATGAGACCAAATTCATAGTCTCGTGTAAGAATGCCTTGTCAAATTAAAAAAAAAAACATGACTTATTCATCACTCTCTGCAGTATCTCACCTTGAGTAGACTGGCTGAAGAATTAACTTTTTTTTTTTGGATTTTAGCTTGGCTATGTAGTGATTTTTGTGTGGTAGTTTTGTGTGTGCTGACCGCCCTTTGCTTTTTGTTTGTTTCCAGTGTTTCTGTTTTGAAGAGCAGCGCCTGAACCCCAATGAACAGGTGGGTATACCTTTTCCATGACCGTGTGTGTCAGTTATGGATGTAATCTCCCCATCGGGAGAATGTACCGATACGGGTGCCGCAGATGAACTCGCCTCTTTCCCCGTAACAGTACCATTGGAATATAGAAGAAGGCAGTGTCCAAAGCATTAATTCGTGTGTTCAAGACTCGAAGTATAGCATTAATAGAGTTAGAAGAGGACTACCAGATTCCTTTTTAACTGGCAGTTGTTCAGTGCGTGCACTATTCAAAGTTGAGATGGTCGGGACAAGTGGCTTGCTCGTTGAACATTTAGGGTCATTGAATGTTTTTACGCAGTCATCAGCACTTAGCTACTGTGCTATCTAAATCAGTTTGTGGGCTTTTCGTTTGATAAAATTGCAGCCAGTATGGCAGCAATGTGTTGTGCTCAATCCTGTGTTAGTCTTATCATTAACCACTCATGTGTGGCTGATTGCACTGCTAACACGGGCAGACCTTCGTTCTGACCACTGGCCTAGTGAGAAATGCACAAGTCAAGTCACAGTTGCATCGCAAGGGCCAAGCAATGAGTGCGATAGCGATGAATTTGAATCTCATACGAAGGAAGATTAGCAGCCAGCTCCTCTGGATCCAGTCTTATGTAACTGCAAAATGTTGGTTTTTAAGAAATACGGCAGCTTCAAGGATAAGAGCTCCGAGTTCGTGTTGTCAGACCTCTGATTGCGAAGCGTTGAGAGCGCAACAGCTTAACGGGAGCAGTCTTCTGGTGTCTCACAAAATAGCATGCGTGCATCCTGGCAGGCTCGTCGATTGTGGTGGTTCGTGGGCCCTCGGACAGACAGAGTCAAGGACACCAAAACATTTATAGAAACACACACACGACAAATACACTCACATAGACTTGCTATATACAACTCGCTTTATTTAAGGCTTAGTCCTGACAGTTCGTAAGCATATGCGAACGTTCCCACGCTCTGTCTAGTACGAAGTCTAGGGGTCCGTAGCCATCACTCACGGTAATGCTGACCATGCAGCTGACGAAAACTTGCAGCAGGGATGGCACGATGAGTCACTTGAGGTTAAAAATAAGTATGTACTATGCACTCTTCCATTCTAAAGTAAGTTATGGGATGTTAGTCTGGGGAACGACATCACAAGGGAATTACCATAAGTTAATAACTATACAAAAGAAAATATTGCGCTGCTTTGAAAATTACAGGGGGAATCTACAAGACTTGCGCACTGCTCCACTATTCATTAAACATTCAACTCAGAATTGATCAATTATATCATTTTAAATTACTTCAGTTAATACAAAAGACTAAGCTATATGAAGAAAGTTGCACCGAAAGACCACACTACAGTATGCGAGAACAAAAGAAACGAGCTCCTAGAACAAGAACCAAGTATGGAAAACAAAGTATTGCTTACCAGGTACCTCAGGTTTTAAATACCCTTGCAGATCAATTGAACTTTAGGGCTAGTAGTGCGACTTTCAAGAAACAAATAAAGAACTTATTCATAACCACCGGTCTACACTATCGAAACTACGTAATGGAGTCTCATGCCTCTGCAAATGCTTAAATTGTTCATAAACTTTTATGTCAATTATACGAGTGTATACAGCGGAATTCATTGTATCCGCATGCATTTTGTGTCTGTTTTTGAGTTTGTTTCATTGATATTGTTTAGTTGTGAATTATAACGAGATTGACCTCTAATTCTTAAAATGTGTTATGTAAACTTCTTATGCTATTTATGTTTGAATTTTGTGTTTACAATTTCAGGTTGCTTGAAACCAATGTATTGAATATATATATTGTTTAAGCTTTGCACTGTCACGGACTGCGGAGGGACAAGGGCCTTTGTCAGGCTGTTCGCCTTTAGCCCTTTGCCCCTGCAGTGAGCTCTGTATCTGGCTTACTGTAAATAAAAATACTACTACTACTACTACTACTACTTGCGAGGCCACGAGCAGACCTCGAATTATTTGTTCAGGAAAGTGTGCAAAGATGATGCACTGGCATAGTACCAAGGTCACGACCTCAGCAGGCTGTTGTGGCGGACCCATGCCAACTCAGCACCATGTCCAGGGATTTGGTAGCTGGTTGCACTTCGAACACAACCCCGCACGCTGGAACCGCACGGCCTGAACACTTCCTCATCGCAGGGAACTGCCAAGCTTGTCTTGGCTAGTCTGGTAACACCAACGTGGTCCGTTTTCTTTTCTTCAAGCAGAACGTCCTGCACTGCTCGGTTAGCCGGCCACGCTGGCCACACACTTCACGATCTCTCGTTCTCACACGCACTTCGCCATCTTCTTCAGTTTTCTTTCTGCTGTGAGTAACACTCTTACCACAATGTGTGACTGCACACTTATGAGCAAACTTCACCGTTGCTGCTCAAGCAACGCAGCCTCACTTCCTCCCTCCGACGATGCTCCTCCACCTGATGAAAGACAGGCGTGGGCATTTGCCGTCTGCTAGAAGAGCCATTGACTGCAGGCCCAGCATGCAACCCAAGTTATTGCGTGCATCTTTCGTGTGGCAGAGGTGCCTGGCTCGTACGACCTCTGCCACAGCCGCTTTCGTTGCCGGCACTTGCATGTTTCTACTTGTGTATAAAACATACGATTCGTGGGGTAATGTTATCGATTCGGAGTAGCTGGACGGCGACGGCAAGTACTTACCGAGAGTGCTCATATGAGAAATCGCAGTAAAAAGTACAAGCATCAGCAAAAGCACTGCTGGAAAATACCGGCCCACGCGTCTATCACAATGTTCCTCCAACCTTCATTAAAGGTGTCCCAGGTCTTGAGATGAGGGGCATGAAGGTAACTTGTTGGTTCTACATAGAAGACGGTACCACGCAACTTGGAGAGCATTTTAGCAAATTAAATTTATTTGACGAAATCCAAGTCCAATATCAAAATAACGATAGTCAAGATTTATAGACCTCTACGGAGCACTGGGCAGGAGCTTTAGAAGAGACAGAAGTAGCCATAGTCGAGTTAACGCACGTGTCCCGTGTTTGTAAATCTGCTGCTTCATAAAAAATTGACCAAGCGCCGAGTTACCATCATGTCCTTGTGTCGCTTTTCCTTTTGTGCTCTAATAAGTTACAATCAATAAATAACATGCCCGAGTGTACACCATTTCAACTGCGTATGCGCCTTTACTCTCTGCAATCTTTGTTACAAGGTGTGCATTATGTTTGCTGAAATGCAGGTGGACATGCCAGTGTTCTTCTACATCGACCCGGAATATGCCGCTGACCCGCTACTAGAGAACTGTAATGATATCACGCTGTCATATACCTTCTTTGAGGCCAAGCCGGGCATACAGCTGCCTCTACCCAATATCCGGTGATGCCACCCAATGCGCCTCGTTTAGTCTCGGGACACTCCTCTACAACATGCTGAAGAAAGCAACGCAATTCACGCTAGTTAGTGTGTAAAATGAACTTTCTGATTGTTACCATAGACTTTTCTAAAACAAACTAGTGGGGCCTCTGGTGCTGCCATCGTTCAGCCACCATGGAAATAATGGGTAGTACATGGATTTGCCTAGTCGTCGTGCTTGCGGCTTCGAACGCACTTGTGGCTTTCTTTATTGCTGGGTTTTGCTTTTGTTTTGAATAAAATTAAGGACCGTTGTAAACTTCGTGACCCGATTTGAATTGGTGAGCCTAAAAGGTTAGGGTGGTGAAGTGCAACTGCTGAACGTCTTCTGATTGTCGTCTCGTGACGAAGCGGCTCCAGGCCACACGAAGCCAAACGGAGCCTAAAGAACAAAGGTTAGACAAATTTGTGCACTTCCCATCATTCCCGTGCTGACTGAAGCACCGTGCGTAGCAGCTCTGACAGGCAACAGCGCCAAAGTTCCCTCTAGTCTATAGGAAACTATGGTTGTTGCGTGCACCATTTGAATGATGTCCATGACAGTTTGGTTGCTGATCTTGATTGTGGGTTTGATCCTGGGTTGTCTTACACACAGTACTATGGGAGTGTAATTAGAAAAAAAATAAATAAAAAGTTCCATCCCATACTGAGCACTGATGTATGTTTCAACACTTTTGCTGGACACTGGCTTTTGGGGAGTTGGGTTTGCGAGTCAATATTGTATCGACGTATGTGCAGTTGACTATGACAACCAGTTCTCTCTGATAAAAGCGATCTGACATATCTTCCATTTAAATATTAAATAAGATTTATTACCTTTTGTGCATTTTTTTTCAAACAGTACCAAATTTACTTGCGTAATGGCACTTTCTTTCTCAAAAAATTGGAGCAGAGTTGGGGGTGCGTTTATTATGCAGGGCAAATTTTATGAAAACATTTTTGGTAGGAGTGAAAAATGCGATAATGCAAAAAAATTGTTAGGTTGCTTAGCCTTTTGCAATTTACATACACGTACGCTGTTCGGAAACAGCTGCTTTATTGCACTTCAGTTATCTTCGGTGGTTGATGGCACTATTTTCTGCAAACTGTCCCAGTGCGATCGCGCACGCCATAAATGCGTTTCGCAGTTATCTTTTCTCGCAATCGTTCAACCGCAGCAGTGGTATCTGCTATGATCTTGAGGGGGGACAAAAAGTGTGCGCTACGATGCACTTTGCCAACTTCGTGGCAACCTTGCACGACAACTGTGACGACCACGTTGACATTGTAGCAAGTAACCAAAATTGCAGCAAGCTACCACTGAAGCATCATAACAAGCTATGGATAACAAGATTGATGACAAAATATGGCTGCCGTCTTGCTGCCCTTGTGAGAAGTTACCGTAGAAAATGAAGTATGTGCTGATAACAAGCACGAAGAGCAAATTGCGACCAAAGCGAGAATAGGGGGTGCTACCATGTCGCGGAAATAGTCACAATCTTTTCTGGGCAACAAGCAATATCTTTTCCTGGTTTTCCAGAAGCCTGCAATGCAGTAACGACAAATGGCCTATCGCGACAGAAAATCCTGTTGTCATTGCTCGAAAATCACATGCATGTGGTTGGGCCTGAAAGTATCGTATTTTAAGAAAGCGACAGTGAGTTAGCGCAAGCAGGTTCGTGACCTTCACTCGCTGTATGCTTGTCAGCTGCGATGTCTCTACACTCGCACCATTTGTGAGCCTCACTGTAGCGCACAGATAATAAAAAGACAAGGGACGTGTCGCGCACAGATAGAAAACCCACACAGTAGCGGGCAAGGGAGGGGGGAGCGATCTGAGGTGGCCGAAGGGGGTCGGCATAATAATAATTAAACGGAAGAGATCCAACGGCAAGGAGGCGCCAGGTGTCGGTTAGCGGACTGTAGTGGATGAATGTAGGGGGTGCATTTATTATGTGGGAGAAAAAAAATCACAATTTTAGCGACTGAAGATAGGGGTGTGTTTCTTATGCTAGTGCATTCATTACGCGAGTTCTTATGCACTAACATAAGAACGCACTAGCGTTCTTATGCTAGTGCGTTCATACAGCACAAAACCCAGCATGATAATGTGTGGCACTGCCTGCCATTTCGAAGAGGCGAGCATCAACTCGAGATGTTACAAGAGTTGTGACAAGTAGTGGCTGTAATGCACAGTGCTCATGCTTTGAAATGCAAAATCAAGTTTGTTGTAAGGATTAGTCTGCGAGACTGCTTGAAGTAACCCGCATCGTGTCACTGCAAATGTGGCCACTAAAGCTAATGTTCACTCCGACGTAAGCATTTGAGTCGAAATTATGCTGTTGCAACACAAACTTGAGAGAGTAGATACAAAAGTGTGTGCATTACTAGGCCTTAATTTATCAAAAGCCAACCTGTGAGGATTGTACCAGACAGAGGACAATGTGGAACTGTCACCGGTTGTATTGATATTACATATTCAGTAGCATACACACATTTCCCACACAGAAACAGTTGGCTTGCGCCCTCTACCTTTATTCTATTTCCTGTGAATGTCGCGGCAAATACGTTTGGCAGACACTTCTGTGCAAGAGAAAGTTTAAAGAGGAGGATGAAAAAGTGATAAGTTTGAAAGGAAACCTACCCTGGGTGCCTCTGCGAAGGCACTTGCGATGATATATTATGGCTTGCACAATGACCCGTGCGCCACTACTTTTGCGGGGTGATTGCGCAGCCTCAAGAGCCGATGAGAGGCTACGAAACCCCCGGGCCAGAGCGACAGGATCGACAAATCTAACTGCAAGCATTTACAGTAATAAAGACTTCCCATGTAATACAAAGATGTACAGTCTGTTTCACACCTAGGGGAAGTCACAACATCATGGTGCGACCAGTGCTGCAGTTGTGTGCCTGCAGCAGCTCGTGCTAACAGCAGACACTGCAGTCTTGCTAGGGGCATAGTGTTCTGCTACGGCGGCATGCGTCTGCAGCACTGGCCACACCGCGTGCCATGCATTCCAAAATTTTCTTCAAGTGTGAAACAGACTTCATATGCGGACAATTGAAATTCCTCGGTGACTTCCACGGCATTGCAGAATATGCATTAAGTGAACCAGAATGTCAGCGATCTGCTTCATAACTAACAATAGAGAAAAGGGAAGTAATTTTCGGTACTTCACGAAGGGCACGATTGTCAATAAATGTGCATGAGAAATCGCAATCCTCAAGAGTCGAGGAATGCATCAGTCTGTACAGTCCCTTCCACCTGAATCCCCCATTTTTCACGTCGGTCATGTTGCGGAAGCCCTCTTCAGTGCTGCCTCAGCCTTCATCTTGCGGTAGAGGAAGACGGCCCTCTGGCGCTCGGCCTCCAGTCGCTTCCGGTCTCCTTCCGGTAGCTCTTTGCGCTTGACCGTCAGGTCCGGCTTGTCGCCAGAGTCGCCCGTCAGCATCTTGGTCAGAAGAAGCTCTTTCTTGCCAGGCTGCATAACAAAAACAACGCAAGAGTAAAGTCTTGACAATATCAAAGACAGCTTTCCCTCATGCTAACTCAAGTGCTACAGTATCTATGATGTAGAAAGAATGAATGAAACAAAGAGGAATACATCTATTTTTTTTTTCTTGCTTATGAGCCACACAAGATACACGTAAAATCAAAAGCTCAAGTCGAGATGTACAAGTCGAGATGACATTCAGTGCGCAAGTTGGCTTTACAGTGCTACTGCGCCATAATGAGAGCGAGAAGTGTTTTCATCGCTTCATCGTAGCTAGTATAGTTCCGGTCTCAAGTAACAGAGCAGTTGTGCTTACTGTCTAATCAGTTCAGCCAGTTTCAACATTAGCCTTAAAATTTGAATACCGATATCTCAAATTACACGCAACTTTCACTATTTCTAGGAACTGGTTACGCCGGCCCAGAAATTTCCCTCATTAACTGTAATCAAGTCAACCATCAGAAAGTTAATTATCAATTTTTAGATAATTAGCCACATCAGTAGTTATAACATATAGAATTTGTGAGTGAAAATGACAGGAGCCTGTCCTCATTTACTAAACTGGTGTCGTATGTTAAACTGGTGTTCAAAATGACATGATTACGGCTCATGAAAGATACAATATAAAAGGCAGGTTAAGTCTGTGTTAACCTTATTAACGATACACTTATTGAAAATAAGGCACTACCTGTGCCTTATGGAAGCGCTATACAAACACGCACACACACACATACACACAGTGTTGGCTAGATTGAGCCAACAATAAAACATTCCAAGTGCATCAATGACTGGTGCTGACCAACTGATGTGACCTCACAGAAAGCTAAGTTTGAGAGAGGCTTACAGAAATAACTACCAAACTTGCAAGGTTACAGCAGAAACATGGGCCACTCTAGGCACCACGGACTTTCAGCTCCCAGACAAATGCCACAGCGACCCCTCACCTTTGACAGTTTGGTACTGTCAGCCTTGCGGACATGGGCAGTGATGTCAGGAGGGTGATGGACGACTTCGCCAAAGGCCACTTGATCTGGGCATTGGGCGAAAACACAATTGGGCACTTTATGCGTCTATTCTTGCAGCAATACTCGTATCCACATTATTCAACTCAGCATTTCAGCAATGCTTAGTCTTACGTTCGTATGGCATAGCACCCAGGGTACCAAGCATCATAGATAGATTGGCAAATGTCTGAGTTCCTGAAATGCTCGAATGAACACTGAAGTATTCGGAGTCACTTAGACACGAATTTAAATAATTCCAAATGAAATGAATAGGCGTGCATTTGATCGTATGTAATCACCCTGTAGATGTAACTGCACTGCAGCAAGGAATGCTATGCCGTGAAGCCACATTTCAAGGTTGAATGTACACGTTCATTTCATTTTCATTTCATTTCACTTTATTTTCAATTCCAAAATGATAGATCAAAAAACTCTTTGGGCCCATAGCCAAAGGCTAAAATAGGGTTCAATGATGCGATACAAAATGGCACAGTATCCAAACGATAGCACAAGGCAACAATAGCACATGTAGCAAAACAATAGAACAAGGCATTGAACCAGGATACAAGATGCTAAGCATTGAGGATATAGTAATGAAGGTTAGGCATTGTACAGACATATAAATTCAGATACTCGAAGTTAGGTAAGATAACAGAAACATGTAATTTTTATACACAAACAAAAGAAAGGCAATGAGTAATACCAACTAAGCAGTAAACTTTCACTGGACGTAGTGGTATTTATATACAAGGATTGAATGATTTTGTTACTATTAAGGGAGTTACAGAGACACATTAAGGATTGTAAGGAAGTGTATTTTTATTTTCAGAGGAAAGTTAACAGCCGATTTTATATCCTGGGGCAATCTATTCTAGATTTTGGTACCGACGAACTGCAGACGCCGTTCTCCATAGACGTTGTTCGTGGGAGAAAGGTTAAAATTACCGGCAGCAGTATTCCTCGTAGGGCGGGATGAGGAGCAAAGAATGGACGAATGAACAGGATGGTTATACCTTATGATATTATTAATGGCAATGGCTGTTCTCTGTTGACGCAAACTGTCCATTGGTAAAATTTGTAGTTTACTAAACAGGGGTGCGCTGGGATGATCGTGGCTTGAGTGCATTATTCTTCTTAGTGAGCGCTTCTGTAGTTTTCGTAAAGGCTCCAGATATGTAGTGTAGGTCCAACCCCATTAGTCAATGCAGTAGGACAGATGACAGTGGATGAGAGAAAAGTAAAAGATGCGTAATATTGCAAGGTCGAAATAATTTCTCGCTTGCAACAATGCATGACAGCCCGAAGATAACCTCGAGCACACTGAAATTATATTGGGTTGCCAGTGGAAATGGTTGTCGATAACTACACCTAGGTATTTAAATGAATTGATGCGTTCGAGTGCATAATTATTTATCTTTATTTGAATGCTGTCTAGATTTATTGGCATATGTCGGGAATGGATTATCATTTACTTTGTTTTTTTGCGTTGACGGTAAGTGTATTTGCCTTGAACCAATGTGATATATTGGCTAGTTCAGCATTTGTTTTTGTTTCAATTTCTTGCATATTTTCCACCCGTAACAATCAAAGCTGCATCATCTGCGTACAATAGTAGCTCTGCAGAATTAATAATCAGTGGTAGGTCATTTACATATAATATAAAGAACAAAGGGCCCAGAACAGATCCCTGCGGGACCCCTGTGCTTATTGGTTTTTGCGAAGAAGTGATGCCACCTAGAGAAACAATTTGACTACGATGAGTGAAGTAGCTGGAAAAGAATTCACCTTGATCAATTATTTTTAAATTTAAAAGCTTGTTATATGGGCTTATATTCAACAGGTGCGTAACATGTTTTAACACTTAATGCACCCTGGTGCTATTCAAATCTTCCCATAAATATTTAAAGTTGCGGCTGCTTTACTTTGAACCCCCTAGAAAGTGACGTTTTCGCATGTCTATTTCTCATGCCGGAAAATGTTGTGCAGGACCGTACTGCTCATGACAAAAAAATTCGCACTTTTCTTCATGATATGCGACATGTACTATTTGAATTATCAGATTTTAAATTATTCAACCAAATCACCCTCACTCATTGTGTAATGGAGAGCACTCACTTTCCAGTGCTTTTCGTTACTCATAGTAGACTAACGCAAATGGCATGGGTGTGTTTAAGTAGGGCTGTCCACCATTTTTTGGAGAAGTTACATTTTGTGCACCAATTACCAGTGAACATGTTGAAATATACATTGAAGAGTGAAAATAAAATAAAAAAAAAACAACAAGAAAAAAATGACAGCATCTTTTTATCAGCACGGTCATTCCTTAAACTCCGCATGGATGACTCGAACACTCATCACTAAATGTGACAATAATGTTCTGCAATTGCCATTGCATGGGTTTTATGCAGGAACAGCTGCATGGGTTTCAGCATTGGTATAGGTAGCTGATCAAGGAGATGTGATAACATTTTCAATAAACGTTATCAAGGGTATAAACACAGCAAAAAAAAAAAGTAGGATGTTCACCATCCTACTGTTTTTATTTGTTCTAGGTCCACACTCCTGCACTGTTTACTGATGCGTAAGCCATTAGCGCTGCTTACTTGTTACGTACAATATCTTGTTACCTTTCCCACAGAAAACGTTACAAGGCGCTACACACGTTAATATTTATTGTGAATGTCTATTTAGCACTACCGCTGTTACACCTAGCACGAGCAGGACCTCGTCAGGAGGCAAACCACCTCCTTTTGTCCTGACTGCGGGCAATGCAATTGTATTGTCCAAAAAATGAAATAAATAAATAAATAATATAATATGAGTGGGCGCATCTTTAGGTTTTTTTGTTTTCCGAGATAGCGGGAAGAAGGGAAACGACGGGGGTGCAAGGAGTTATAGTAAGGAGCACCAACACTTCTCATTCTACTGACAGCCACATCTGCATATCAGATTACAAGTGAAAAAATAAATAAACAACCAGGTATTGAACTTGCAAACTGGCGCATAGCAGCCGCATGCCACGTACCCAAAAGCTACCATACCATCTCCCTGCACATCTCGCAGATTTCTGTGAATATTCCACACTTTTAAGATATTTCCTCGAATATAAATGACATTAGATACCCGCTTTGACTCTAATTTTAGTATTCTAAAAGCTTTCCTAAGAGTTCGAAACGAACACAATATAACTTGCCTGAAAAGGTGGTTTCACAGCAGCACCAGCACCTTTGCTGCCACGAAGCGAGACCTCTAGGCGAACTTTGCAAATGCTCGACAGCCAAATACTTAATTTTTAAAACTTAGGTAGTGTATCTTAACACGCACCACAATTTCAATAAGGCAGAAAAAAAAATCTTGCATACAGCCCACATTGTAGCAGCATACAGTTACGTTTACAATAGTACCTTGCTTGATTTTTTTTTTTAGCCAAACCCACGTGCAATGTGATCAAACATAGTGGCGGCGAAGCTGATGCCATAGTGCTAGATAGTACCCCATACTTTTGCTTCACTGTCAAGCTCATTTTCTTACTTTGGAAAGCTGTACGACCACTGTGCTTAAATCCACACTGATGTGGCACTAAACTGCAGCTTCGAAAAAAATTCGAAAGCAGGGGGCAGGTGCTGAAGCCGAAGTTTTGACAAGCCGCCTCCTGTTTTCGAATTCTTCATGCCAGCTTTTCATCCTCCCCTTTTTGCATTGCTTTTGCTTTGAAAGAAGACAGAGAGCAGAACAGCACTGGTTAGGCCTAACAGCCAAGGCCGTATGCCTTGGCGTGGTGGGCTGTTCGTCACTCATTGGCGATCAGGCCCCTCAAGATCACGTGCACGGCCTGCATAGGGGACTGTGAAAGCAGGAAGTTGCCCTACCAATTCCTGTACACTTGCGCAGTGAAATGGGGTCAGCCCACATCAGGGCCGTACCCAGAAATATTTTTCGAGGGGTGTTTTTGTGTGAAACAGCTAACTTTGGCAACTGGTGGTCGAGATGTGAACGTGCAGAAATACTTTGGTATCACCCGGTAAGTTACAGCATTAAACAATTTTGGGGGGGAAAGGAGGGGGGAAGGTGTGTTAGAGCTCCCTCAACCACTTTTAATTACGGCCCTGGCCCACATGCAAATAAAAGGCGCAGAGCAAAGCGGCATGAATAGCTTGCATCGTGCTGTTGATGCTGCACTTACAACACAGCAATGAAAGAGAAAGGCGAGATGCGATCGCAACGTTCAATCATGGCGAAACTAAATCTACTAAAAAATGAAAGAAAAATTACAAGCAACAGTAACAAACTAGGTCATTTTCTCTCAGGAGAGCGTCTCACAGCGCTGGTTGGTACATAGTGCGAACAAAAACAAACAAAGCTAGAGGAGAGCAGTGGTAAAATGACAAAGCACTCTAGCAACACTTCCTATGTTGCTAGTGTTATAACAAATGTGAAATTTTAACTTTTACATGAAATTGTAAAATGAGCTGAATTTCTGCAGATTAGACTGTTTTAACTTTGATGAGTAAGAAACAACCTTCTTGTTTTTTTAGACTTGTCAAGATCTAGCATTTGTTTTGAAGTTTAGTATAAGTCCAACTCTTAAACCATACCCAGTGAAAATGTTCCATGCTATGTAGTCATTCAATTCGACTTTCAGCCATAAAGTTCACATTCACACTGCTTATGCGTGCTTCATTCGAGCAAATACAATACCACGCAGCTAGCATGCGTCCACCGCTCCTACCTTTGAGGTGGCCAAAGTCACTCTGCTGTTGCCTGGAGGACAACTTTTGTCGCTTCTTTTCCTTCAACTTTTGCTCCCATAACTTGCGCTTCCTGCGAGAGAATAGTGTCATGTGGCTCATCGCAATCATCCACAACTCAATTAGCCATCCAGTTTCATTCAATAACTTCATATCTCCTAGGACAAGTCTCGAAAGAAAAAAAAAAAGACTAATGTTTGCAGTGTCTTTTTTATATGTCAAATGCGAAAGGCAAAGTAGGAGCAGGCGACAGTCTCCAAGAGCAAGCACTCTACTCTGGCGTGCAGCAACGCCTCCTGATCCTGTAAATGGAATGCAGCACATGCCACTGGAGTTAGGTGGATACGAAAGGTCCACACTTCGATTGAGGACTTGCCAAGAGTACTTTGCATAGAGTTATTCCACTCCGCTGTCCATGCAGAATTTTCAGCATCACTATCACCATCCAATCAATCCCTCGAGAAAATGTAAGTGCACTGACTTGAGAGACACTTATAATTTCTTGGCGATTTCAACAACTCAGAATTAGGACATTTCTCCTGGTCCTGTGAAATCCAAATGAACGAGATCTTATGGTAATATTAACTGGAATACTGGTTACACACGACTGCTCTCTGATTCGCACTGTTGTATTCCTATCTGACGATGGTAAGCTTTCTTGCGACACTGCTCTGTGCACGGTCGAACTCCCTTAAGCTTTGTTGCTAAAGCAATGCAAGTACCATAGTTTCTTTAAATAAAATTGCAGCACATTTTTGAAGTACCACTTACACCTGCTTCAAGTTATTCATGCAACAGTTTCTTCGCATGGTCAGTGGAAAAATTTCACGAGTGAAACTAGCCTGAGAGTCGATCACTTGCAAATGTTCAGAATATGACTTCCGCTCAACTGGCTCAGAACATTCACTTTTGTTTCACTGTATATAGCTTTCATTCAATGCTATCATGATGTGCTAATTTATTTCATAACTTTTTCAGTATCAAGAACACTTGGCTTCTAACAATGCATATAAAATGTACGAGACTCTAAAACCCACATATTGTAATGTAAAAATATTTGCATATTTGAAATCAGTGCACAAATGTTAATTCCCTCAGCAAGTTTCGTTAATATCAATCAAGAATATCAAATACCTTAAAAGCAGCGTCTCCCTAAAAGGATTGTAGACATCAAAATTAATATAATTTCATAATAGATAATTTAATTTTTATGAGAAAGCCAGATAGTGGGCTGCCTAATAATGACCAGCGAGTATTGTTGGCATCAAAGCAAAACCTGAACAGCGGCAAGCATTTGCAATGTTATAATGCACACCCTTCAGTCATCACTGTTGACAGGTGCACGCGTTCAGTTTGGCAGCAATGTGCATATGTGCACAGTTCGCATTGATAAGTGGACAACACGCTGATTGATGGCCAAGTTGGTACTTGCTTACTGACATGCTTTGGCCGCAAATAACACACACACAAAGTAAAGAAACACTTTGCTTGTCAATGAGTGTTTCATTACTTGGTGTGTGTGTTATTTGTGGCCAAAGCATGGACAACACGCACTATAGCATAGCGAATTCTCGCGGCTGTTTGGGTTCCCTTTGATACTTATAGTAGAGATAATTAAATCCCTTCCAATTTATTACCACACAAATTATGTGGTACATCTTACAGTTTTGAAAATTCTAGCCAAGTGGTGGAAAACCTCCTAGCGATGAGATGAATCACATGACGGCAACAGGACGTGAAGTACAATAGCGGTGACATAAGCAGCCACCGCAAAAGACCACGTCGCTGTCATCATGCTCGCCGCGCACATCTCCAGTCACACCTTCTGAAACTCCCCAAACGTTCTTGCAGACGGTTATTGCAAAAAATTAGGAAAGGAACAGCACTTCGTTACTTGGTTCTAAATTAAAAATAAAATTACCTTTAACCCTTTAATGCTGAATTATCAAAACTGCCAAACAAAATAAAAATAGCTTTCGTTTTCCAGATTTAAATAGCAAGCTTTAAATGATTCCGCAATTAGGTTACCTAAAAGGCGACTTTAATGCATACTATTATGTATGTCACGAATCATCTATATGTCACAGAAGCGAGGATCTCGCAACAAAAAATGTACTTCAGACTTGTGTAACATGTCGGGTGCAACCTCCTGGGTGCATACACACCAAATAAACATAACTATTGAAGATGGTTCTTATGTTACTCAAGTAAGAAAGAACGAAGAAAAAAGAGCTATTGCACGCCCTTTCACTCTCTGCCATCAGCTACACAACAACTGGTTCTAGCATAAAATACCTGAAATGAGATGCCGCTAGATTTTTCATGCTAAGCCATGTTCCCCCCGCCCGAGTACTTGACAGCTGGCATAAAAGCTAGCACGCATTTAGTGACTTCCTTGCTCAAAGTTTTTCAGTATGTCGCGAATTCGCGGCAGTAGGCAGTAAGGGTTAAGCTGTCTGCTCTCTATTAAAATTCAATTTTTTCAAGCAAATAACGCTCGCACCATAGTCAGTTTTCCATCAGATTTTGATGTCTACTCTAGTTCAGCCCTTCGCAGTCTGTTACCAGGCTCTTCCCAACAAACAAAAAAGCTGAAGCGGTCCATTGTGAGGCACTGCTGGTCACGCTCTTTGGCGGTTGACTTATGCATGCATTTACTCACTGCATTGTGAACCACCTTTTGAAAGAACAAGTAAACCTTCTTTTACTTGAGGTTTGCTTTTTTAAAAACGTACAAAAGCTAGCAGGAAACGTTGGCGTCAGTGACACATCATTGCACCTGTCTGATAAAGATGAGTTTTCTAAACAATGAGGTAGCGAGCCAGGATTTCGTATATTGCAACGCATTGTTTCTCATGCATGCACGAGATAGTTGCCGGTGGGTGGAAGTTGGTCTCTCACAGATACATTGTGCTCAGTCATAAGTGTCCGCATGTTGTCATTTCCTTCTCATGATATTTCGCGTAACCCACTAGTCTTTATCCATTTTGACCATACACCAGCCAGCCGAATCTAATGCCTGGGCTAGTTAAGTTATTGACTGGAATTTTCAAGTTATTGGCTGGTATAGACAGAAGGCGTGTACAGGTTACAGATGACTAAGAGTTAGAGTAAAGCAGGCTAGCCACTTACTCTCGCTTGCGTGCCCCGTAGTTTTTGTCTAGAGCTTCGCCGCCCTTGGGGTTGACGACGGTTTGGCCCTGTTCGTCGTGGTCGATGCGCACGTTGAACTTGTTCTCGATCTTAGCCTCGGTGAAGGCCCTCCCCGCCAGATGATCCAGGCGCTTCAGGAACTGGTCGTCACTTTCGTTTGGCTGCTGCTCGAGGCGCTCGGGCAACGGCTTGAGCGGGCGTGTCATGCCACGCTGCTCGGATTCCATCTTGCAGCGCTGCACTGCACAGCAGAGCAGGCGGTCAAAGCCATGAGAAGTTTGGCGCTTATAAACACATTAGCATTCGCGAGTGAATCGACGTCATGCTCAGACTCGGCTTGCAAAAGTTCAACAGGCATCTCTCATGAATCATATCATGACTTTGGAGTCAGTAAACTCTATTAATTAGTGCTACTGTAGTGAAGAGGAATGCCCACTACCCAAGCGACATCGACACGTTCGCGCGAGGCGCGAGCTGGGACTGCCTGGTTGCTGCTGCGACGACGCCCGTATATTCGGCCAGCTCTTGCTGCTTCTGTCCTGACGCTGCTACCTCTTATCGTCTTGCATTTACGTTATATATTGGTGGAGGTGCTGGGTAGTGGGCATTCCTCTTCACTACACTACAAAAAGTTCAACATACCATAAGGTTTGTTCAAATGAGCTTAGATTATCCATGCTTGTTTCATGATTATACAGTTTTCAATCCTAATTACTGCGATATGTTGATCTGCTCTGTAACTTTCTTAGTTAGGAAAGACAAACGAAACGTTTGTTCATTTAATAAGTACATACCATACTTCAGAAATAACTGCATATTTGAGATGAACACAAACCGTGAAAGCTTGATTAAAGTCCACTCAACAATAAAGAAATAAGCTTCTAAAACACAAAAAAGAGCAAAAAGAAGGACAACAGCATACTGTGGTGTTGCCTTCGTTAGCGATACTCACCCGTGATGAGGTTCTTGGATGCCTTGCGCTTTCTCCGCCGCTTTTCGGCAGGCTCCTCGTCGTCGTTCATGCCGTCAAACAGGACTTGGAGTTTACGTGGCACTTCCTGTTCCAAGCTTTTCGGAGGTCTGTTCGCACGAGGACTGCAATACAGGAAAACATGTCGCAGTTGAATGGGGTTTGACCAATTTGGCCAAATGGTATTTTGCACACAGGTGCACTTGTGCATCAATTCAATTCATTCAACATGTCAGATGTTTGGTGCACTGACAAAAAGCTTGGAAAGGCTCGACTAAGTCTGTGCACCAGACTATGGCATACAAGCAATGACATACAGAAGACTCTCAGTAAACGGAAATCTGTTAAACGAAACAAACTACTGCTTAAACAGAAGAATTGCCTCTGCAATACTTGGTTTTGAGCATGTATTCTGCAACCATGTTCTCTCAGTAAACGGAGCTCCTGGTAAATGAAACATATTTTTTCGGTACCTTCAGGTTCCATTTACTGAGTGTCTACTGTACAAGCAGTGGAGTGCGGTGATGAGAGTTGCTGTCTCAAGGCGTGCATGACAGCTGCCTCATGGCTCTCGCTGACCGGCAGACAGGGGTGAGGGAGAGAGGGCTGTGAACTCACACTGTGCATGTCTATTGCAATGAAGGCGCACACACGAGGAAGAGCAGAAAACTGACGCTGGTGGAGCTTCAATGTCAAACACAGAAACAGCGTCGCTTTTTAGAGTTTCAAATGGGAGGAATACAGCAATCTTTGAAATACTTTCAGTGTCTAAAGGCATTACGGAAAGGAGTCGCAGAAAAGTAAAAAATAATTCCTTAATATCAACACAAAAATTGTAATGAGGTACTTCATAACCTAATCTTGAGTTGATGGACATCAGTTACCGCAGTAGTGGTAGCAACAAGGTTGTTCCATGCGATGCTTGTTCTAAGAACAAAAGAGTTATTAGACAAGTCTTTATGGGAAGTCGGTGAGCCCATTTTGTAGCACAATCAGTACCTGCTTATGCATATGTAAAGTTGGGTTTTGTGAAAAATATTAGGACATGATGATTTACCACGAGAAAAAGGTAGGGCAAGATTTTTTTTTTTCAGTAACTGACACCAGAATGGCGTGATTAATTCGATGACATATATTCCAATGGTCTTATAGTACAGGTGACTTCAAGGGACCAGCAATAGCCAAATATTTACTGACGTTTATGCTTTAAGAGTATTCTTTTTCACCGATCACGACACTGAATTGTAAATCTGTGCCAAAATGTAATGTACAATTCATGATAAGATTGTTATTCATGATTTATTTTGGTGCAACTTCAAAATTCCCAGCCAAAATCGAACACAGTGCCCTATTGCCGGGCACTACTTTCTGGAGCGTACTAAACCATACACTCCAGCCGATAAGTATGAACATTTCGAAGGGAGATCTTGAATCTCTCTGACACAGCAGATGCACAACTACAACCAGTCACACTTGAGCCTTTTCCCTAAGAGTTACTAACCGCTACTACCATGCAGATTCAGTAGCTCCTCACCCTATTGTGTACTCCTTGGAAGTGTCACCACCTAGAAATCTTGAGACACCACCATTCCTTTCCCCATCTTTCCTGCTAAGGCAATCCAAATCCAGTATTGGGGACGACGAGTCACGGAGCCGCCCTCTACTTGGCACGTCTCTTTAGCGCGCTCTATGACAGGGCAAGGCCAGCACACTGCCTATATCTTTGGTTGTCAGCGCTTTACAGAAACACTACATGGAAGCCCTCCAGAGCTTTGATAGGGGAAGCTTTTTATAGTAAAAATAATAATCTTGGACTAAGCCTAAGCCCAAGAACCGTCTACAGATTGCGTACAGTGAGGGCACAATTCACCTGGTCGCCGCAACAAGGTATTGCCAAACAGGCTCCTCGTGTGAAAGGCGGGCAGTGATTGATTGATATGTGGGGTTTAACGTCCTGAAACCACCATATGATTATGAGAGACGCCGTAGTGAATGACTCCAAAAATTTCAACCACCTGGGGTTCTTTAACTTGCGCCCAAATCTGAGCACACGGGCCTACAACATTTCCGCCTCCATCCGAAATGCAGCCGCTGCAGCTGGGATTCGATTCCCGCAACCTGCCGATCAGCAGCTGAGTACCTTAGTCACTAGGCCACCGCAGCGGGGCGAAAAAGGCGGGCAGTCCCTAAAGGTGAACTACGCGACGTACACTTTTACATTTCTCTGCCTGTATAAATAAATGAGGCGTTCAAGAATGAAGCCTCAACTGCACGATCACAAAGCTGTAGCATATATAAGCCTTTTTTAACTGTATACAAAAGTAACCATTGTTACGATCAATGCTTTCTGGAAATTACTTCTTAAGAACTTTAAAGAAACCGGCACCTACGGTGACTTGAGTGCTGCCAATAAGATTTTTTTTGGTGTTTTGCAAGTTTTTTGACGTTTCACTTTAATTATTTAAAGCTCAAGTAACGTCCTACACTATGGTTTTCGCTCTCCTCAGCAAACGATTTCCCCCTGCTTCTCTATATTTTTATTTTAATCCAGTACATTGATTCTTTGGGACTAACATTGGCATACACCACACTTTCCCTTTCAACACAATTCCTATTACTTCCTTCCCATTCCAGTGAATTGGCTATTGTCTACAGCACCAAAACCTGCATATAGACCATAGGCTTCACAGCTGCCATTAGAAAGAGACACAGTCTAGAAGGCAAAGCATGAGTGTCACACAACATGAAGGTGAACAAATTTGACATAACAGTTTTCACTGCGAAATGTAGTTTTCCAAACAACATCGAGACAAGGACCCAGATGAGGTAAGAATCGCAATGAAAAACAGACAACTTATTAAAGCAAGTAGCTGCAACGCGTGATAAAAACAAAATGTTCAGACCGCATTAAAAGCTTGATGCCCAACATTTTTGGTAACTTCCGGGAAATTTGGTAAAGAAATCTCATATATAACTTATACGGCATAGCATCTTTCTGACAAAGATAATACATAGCACCCTTAAGACAAGAATACACTCATTATTAAAGCAAATAAGGTTCCGATAGGCCAACTTGAATTCAGAAGCGATTCAACATAGTTTTGTGGCCGATATGGAGGTGGACAACATATGGGCCAGCTTACGGGAGCTAAGCACCGTTGTGGCCAGCCAGCGTCCACGGGCGAACGACTCAGTGATTGCATTCTGCTACTAACCAAACACCGCGGCACCAAAACCAAAGCAGAAACCTTCCTCATGAAACAGCAGGCTGAAAATGCAAGTTCTGGCCAACAGCCGTTCATCATTTCAACGTTTCCACAGCCAATCTACACGCAGCTCCTTTCTCTGACAACATGCGTGAAGGCTGACACCGAGCTTATACGACCTGATCAGCGGTGCTGAGCACTGGCATACCATGCGAAACGTTTTCAAGGACAATGAGTGCATATTGCAGTGCTCTGAAGTGTTGTCAAGCACACAGCCTAAGTGTGAAAATCTCGCAATCAAGTCAGCATTGCTTCAAAGGTGGCATTCTGAAATTTTGTTTTCAGCGTGCGCCAGTGCTACTGAAGCAGACGACATGACCTCTGATCCTGCCTAGAATGTGGCACTCTTCCAGCAGTGAACCTCACGCCCAGTACAGTCAGATCATACACACCTCACTCCTTTCTTTCTTCTCTCTCTCTAGTGTGTTTCTATGGATGTTCATCCCTTATTATGAAACACTGTCGCACCAGTCTCTCTACCTCAATAGCCCCGTCATACGCCTTGACTCCCTTGGGCACATGCTTTCTTTTCTTTGCACTACAGTGTGCCAATCTGTGCTCCCGTATAAAGCTGCAGATGGATATTGAAAATCAGTTGGGTTAAATCTTGCAAGTTAAGAAGAAATTAAAATCCTGCATACGTAGAAGTGGGAAAGTGCGTTATGCTGCCCTATTGCGAGCAGAAACCACACAGACTAGAGATCACGCGACAAAGCTGATTTCCTTTGCGAGTAATCGTCTTTTTCATAACTCTTGTGCCATCTTTTGGGATTCCGCAGAACTTCTACATGATATTCTGTGTCCATGAGCTTCGAGTAGTCGATTAATTCACCCTCCTGCTGCGAAGTGGTAGCATTTTGGTTAGCTACATTGATAGAACGACTTCCCTGCAATGGTGTTGTTCCTGGGTTCACGACGAAAACCAAGAATAATGTCGCAAACTGAAAGCTTTCCCTTCAGGAAATCTGTCTGAATTTCCTCGTAGCTTTGTGCTATAGATAGGTGAATGTCAATTTAACATTTTATAAATGTCAATTTACCCTTCTCTGCTTTTGAGGTTAGGGGAGAGGGGGCAATGGGTGCCTAGACAAGCTGCTAAGAAAAGTAGTTGCTTCTCACACACATATATATATATATATATATCAAGAAAGAAAAGTAGGTGAAAAAATAACTTTTGCCGTGAACAGGAATCGAACCTACCACCTTCGAATAAGAACATGATTGATTGATATGTGGGGTTTAACGTCCCAAAACCACTATATGATTATGAGAGACGCTGTAGTGGAGGGCTCCGGAAATTTAGACCACCTGGGGTTCTTTAACGTGCACCCAAAATCTGAGCACACGGGCCTACAACATTTCCGTCTCCATCGGAAATGCAGCCGCCGCAGCCGGGATTCGAACCCGCGCCCTGCGGGTCAGCAGCCGAGTACCTTAGCCACTAGACCACCGCGGCGGGGCCGAATAAGAACATCGAACGCTTTATTCGAAGGTCATAGGTTTGATTCCTGCTCACAGCAAGTTATTTGTTCACCCATTTTTTTTTTCTTCTTATTTACATTACATTGGTTCTAATAACTTCCCCTATACATTCCTTGGCATTATCGTCTGTTAGATCTCATTATTATTGTGTCAAAACACAGAAAAACGAGCCCTTAGGTATACACTTCTTTCTTTTATTCATTATTCGTGTGTGTTTTACTGGAACCTGTTGTTTCTTGTTTCACATACTGAAAAGATTGTTCAACACTGTTTTTAGTTTTATTCCACAGATTTGTTTGGAACCGTTCTCACAGATTGTTCATCATTTTCTTTTGTGTACAATCCACTCCTGCCTATGGCTTGTAAAGCAAGTTGGCAGTATTAAAATAAATAAATAAATAAAAATAAATTAACGAGGGTCTCGTACTGGCAGACTTGGTGCCGTTAGGATGTATACAAGGGACTATTGGTGAGCTGCCAGCTCATAATACATTCACGTGCTACGCGACGCCATACAGGCTCATAAAAAGAGGGTTCCACACTCGCCGCCATGGCTACAGGTGGCGCTTACTGACACTCCCACGTTTAAATTCACATATGAACCCAACAAAGTGGCTGGGGTGATAGCCGCCATGACAGCTCAGTGATAGAGCATCGAACGCGTTATTCGAAGGTCGTAGGTGCGATTCCTGCTCTCGGAAAGTTATTTTTTCACCCACTTTTCTTTCTTCTTATTTACATTACATTGGTTCTAATGAACACTTACCCTATACATTCCTTGGCATTATTGTCTGTTAGATCTCTCTCACACACACACACACACACACACACACACACACTTATAATATATATATATATATATATATATATATATATATATATATATATATATATATATATAATCATAATTGCAATGAGAGCTTCAGTAATCCTGCTGCTGCTGTGGCAGACATTAGTTGCTTCAAATTTTCAAATACAGGAGTGGTCCTAAGTCTACATGCCACCACCCACCTTTCACCACCTTTGTACAGTTCTCACAAATTGAAACTTGACGTATTTTTTTTTTACGTATAATGACTGTTGAGTTATCGAGCATGATAACTGCATTATGTCACCGCTAACCTTGCTTTTAAAGGTAAACTTGGCTCTTGTACAAGTGTCTGTGTCAAAATTATAGTGATACAATAGAAACTGTAGACACAGGAAACCAAAGTATGAATAATACTTAGCTCAAAATTTTCGCGTTTTAGTCTGCTAGTACCACTCATGCCCATCTAACTTAAGCAAGGCAGGTGCCGTCCCTGCCTCCCTCGCCACCAAGACTTCAAATAAATGCGCTACGACAAGGAAATTTTCTTGCCACCACTAATTAGCTTCCACAAGTCACAATCAAACATGAGCAAAACGAGGCCACGGGTAGGGGAACTTTCATTTTGACTATGTTTGTTCAGGGAGGCAAGTGGGACCCCTGCCCCTGTACACTCACGTTTTCGTGCCTCAGCGCTACAGTTATGAACGCGCTTAATTCTTGGAAAATCTGCAGTTCATACAGCACTTATCGGCATAGGCCCATTATGACAACGTTCAACTGGAGTAAGGTTTTTTGTGAATCTAAGAAATGCAAACAGATGGCAGAATCAGCTTAAAAACTTCGGTATGCCTCACCATCTTGTAAATTGCCTGTGGCACTTACTCCAATCGTCACAAGCGAGAGTCTATCTGTGCCTCGACATCTAGGGATGATGTGAAAATAGCAGAAACGTCACATCCGACATCTTACCATTAGCATGCAATACGAACAAATGGCAAGGCTCAACCTGGCATTGCATGCACGACATTATTTGCAAGAGTCCGCAGCTGGTTTTTCACTTTACTTTGTTACACACATCAGGTGCAATGCTGCAGAGGCTAGCGAGACTTCTTCCAGTCAATGCATTTGCATAAAGACATAGTTCGATGTTGCTCCTACTTAAAATAGATTTTTATACTGGTTTTATTATTAAATGACCATGTTTTGTACCTTCTAAATAGCAAACCACATTGTACGGTTCTTACTACATGATTGGATCGGTTATTGTCTTTATGTTTTTGCTCTTCGAGTTATTGTTTGGCAGATGGTCGTGATGCATCACGTGGAGGCACATGCTCAGCCCAATCAAGTGCTTACAATGAGAAGAGTGACCACGATACGCACGGAGAGATACATTTTGCTGATCGCAGTACTTGCATGACTTCTACAGCGCTGAACCCGATATATGAAACAGAATACAGGCGGGCAACACCGCGCAGCTTCCACATTTTCACTATTTTTCTAGAATCGCTGCTCCTAGGATCGTTGACAGCAACATACAGCTTTACCACTGACACGCAAAATTTCCAAGTCAAGTGACCCTGAGCTGGTGAGGTGCGAACAGCCTCCTCTGTCACAGAAATATTGCTGTTTAATACACTGCTCCTTTATTCTCTTTTCAAGACATGCATTACACAACATTAGTGTTCCAACTGCTTCTAGTACGTATCACTTTCATTTATCAACCTGTGCAGCAGAATCAATTAATGCAAAATAGCATAAAGAGAACAAAAGCCTTTAGTTGAATTCATTTTGTATTAGGCAACTGTACCTATGCACATCCTTCATAGAAAACAACACTCCTGTTTAATGTAAGAAAACTTATAGCACCTTTTGGTTCTGTTTTCCAACAGACACTTAGGCAGTGTTTCTGAAAATGGTGCTATTAAAGTTTCCCCTCTTCTTTCCTAGTAATCTGGCAATAACCCTCGATACCTAAGCCCTCATTATCACTAAATGATATTAAACGCGACTACAAATGGCAAAGAACACTACCTTCCCAGCTAGGAAACAACCCGCATTAAAGCCAGGGCAGTAATAGTTCACTGAGGGAGCCACACAAAACAAATAAATCACTGTGTTCCGTCAGCCGTGCGAAGTTTATTTACGCATGGTTCATTCCAGTCGTACACTACATCTGCAACACAAATCGAGCATCCATTTGCCTCAGCTTTGCAACTCAATTTTCTTGTACGTGATGCTTTGAAAGCAGTCAATGTTTGTGTGTCTACTGTGAATGAGCTAATTGTCTAAGATAAACACCATTGTAGTCAAAAACAGGAATTTATTGCCATGGAGATAACTAATGTAAATTTACTTTTATAGCCACTTGCTAACGCTGTAACAAATTACAGTTGCGTAGCAGTTCAACAGCTCTATACATAACTAAACAGACTTTTGTGAAAGAAAGCCCTAGTTCAGAGGGAACACTTTGGTACTTTTCTCACAGAGGCATGCGCAACTAGAATCGATAAGAACATGCAAGATAGCAGTTTTGAAATAACTAAATAAATTCCTGGAAACCAAGATTGACAAAGTTAAAGCTGGTTATTGCATTTCAATGATGTCAATGCAAACTATGCCCTGCAGCCACTTATTTCAGGTACAAGCTGATGCATCAAGCCATTTCCGGGCACCTGGTCCACATGCTTTTGGTAAAGTATGTACACCGTCATTCTTTATGAAAGGGAACACACGATCGCGTGACCTGCTCTCTACAACGGCTGCCTACAGTATCTTGCAGCACTTGTGCAGCGGCCATAACTCGTCATTTTGTTTGCCAATAGATGCAAAGCCAGCGTCTTTGCAAAGCCAACGCCACAAGCCAGCGTCTTTTCTTTTGCTGTCAGTTGATGATGGGTCACCCCCATCATCAACTGCGAGGCCACCGCAGAGTGCAGGCCACGCTCTCACGTGTTTCCTTTCATAAAGGACGACAGTGTACAGCTGTTTGAATGCACTGGAAACAATATGGCAGCCAGGGCAAGTAAGTACACGATGAATACAAGTCCCAAGAAACAGTCAGCCCCCCTCCCCCCAACGAGAAAATACGGATTCCAGAATACCGTCACGTGCGTGGATTCACTACCTGTGCCAGTGGCCAATAGTGTAGCTGGACACTGAAACAGCAATAAAGTTATGCTTTCTTGGAGGATCCAGGGTCTGTAAACTTTTGAAGAAACATACTTTTTAGCTCTGCACAACAGCACTGAAGACCATAATACGTTACATTCAGCATTTTAGAACCTAAAACCAATCAAAATGGCCTGTAATTTAAATTTTAAAGCTCGACCTTTGTGCTTGTCACCAGATTCTGTGACAATTCTTACATTACAGACTCTGAAAATAAGTTGTACACCATCACATTTTCGGACAAACTACTTTTTACTCTATGAAACCTGTTTCTGAACTTTATTTGTAAGTAGACAGGACACATGAAACACAGCATTGGACATATTTTGGCTGTTCTTACGGTACCAATATTGTGCATCAATCACATAGTACATAAGCCAATCTAATGTAGGCTTGACTTGACAGCCATGACAGCATAACCTTCTGTCATAGCTAACTTGTTTATTTTGTAAGTTTATCACAGTCATCTGCTTTTTGAAGGGCACATGCAACCCTTCTGCAGCTACCTTGCTGTTTATACTGAAGCACACACATTACGTGCCATGTTATCCCATACAGAGTGCAACATTCGTTCAAGACACATGACACAGCTATGTGTAAGCAACTGCAAGATGCACTGCTGCGCATACCAGCTTGATATGTGGCCAATGACGCTGCTCTAATGTCACAACTTTCACAAACTTTTTGCCAAACTGCCCAGTTCCACGCTTGAAGGCACCAAGCCGCTAGCCGGGAAATTAAAATCAGGACTTTGAGAAATTCGTGAGCACCACGCATATTGCTAGCAGTCTAAGGGCCAATGGAAGCAGAGATGGCGAGAGGGGCTGATAGAATATGCGATAGTTTTGTATCTCTGGGATTGCACGCTCCACATCGTCACGCAGGGACATAATTTCGTCCTCCGTTGGCAGACTGCCGCCGGGCATCCGGTGTTGACACAAAAGCCGCGATAAGTTCAACGGAAGGCCTGCGTCGCATAACATGTCAACAACTTCTATGTCTACGCTGCCGTCACTGCACGCACCTTCCTGAGGATCGTATGCCTGGGTGACCTTTCTCGTAAGTTCCGCGTCCATGGCAGGGCATACGAATATTGTTGCGGTATTCGAGGAAAGCGACTGCACCACTCTGCCTGTGTCCGAAAGCTCTCCCTGCCTCGAATCAGAGCCGGCAGTACTCTTGTTGCAGTCACCAACCAGTTCCGTCGTGCTACACGTCGGTGCTGGACCTTTTCTGCACAGACGACGGCAGGAACGGAGACGGCCCAGGCCCTGGTAGATGAACTTGATCCACTTGAGACACATACGAGAGATGGTGGCATGCGACAGATGGAACCGGAAGGCCAGGTCTCGCTCGGGCAGTCCCAGACGCCATTGAACGAGGAACATGAACAGCTTGTCGCGTTTAGACACTCGTTCTTCGGCCCTTAACTTCGCTAACCTCTCGACCCTACTGCCGATCAAGCCCTGGAATAAGTCCTCGAACGCCGTGTAATCCGGAAGTCCGGTATAAAAATGCAGGTCCTTCGGTTTTTGCCGAAGGTTCTCGATCGTGAAGCGCCACTTTTCAAGGTTACTGCACTTCTGCTCAAGTAACGCTGCTTTCTTTGCCAGCTGATCCTTTTCCTTTTTTGTGTCAGTGGCATGCTGGCTGTACCACTCCACAACACGGTTCATCCGTTCAATCTCCTTTTCCAGCTCGAAGACCCGCCTTGGAAGCCCTTCCAACTCGGGAGACTGTTCACTACTGCCGGAGTGAGCGTCCTCCCATTGGACAGGACCACGCATGGCCTGGCTGGGTGGTCCAAGAAATTCTATGGGAACTTTTCTGATTGTTTCCAAGTGAATTTCTGAGACATCGTCCAGAAGAATGGCCATCTCCTGATCTGAATTGATGTGCTTATCGGTGTATTCAAAATCGATTGTCATTGTATCCAAGTCCAAAGTTCTCTCATCGTCAACGCTGGAACCTATCATGGGCATGGCGCAATGGGACATTGATGTTGGGGCAACTGTATCTATGTTCAACAGCTCAGTTGGCTCGTCGGAGCAACTGCGGTAAGGTTCCGCACCGACTTCTTCCTCTATTCCACTCATGGGCTTTGGCTTGCAGTAGGTGTGCACAGGATCCATAATCGCAGTGTTGTAATCCATAGCTGCCATCTCCACAGCTTCATCTTCACCATTGTCTGTAATGATAGCGGAGTCTGCGCTGGAAGCCAAGCCATAATCATGGTCCGGCTTCGCATCCGTCGTGACCACAGGAATCGAAGATGGGACCTGTTCAAGCTGTCCGTGCACCAGGCGGTACCTGGCAACGCCCATGACTTCCTTGATGAGCGCAGCTGCGTTGGGAACGGGATGCTGAGGTTTGACACGGCGTTTCTTAGATGCCCTGCATGTGAAAACGTGGGGCACCGCGCCATCCTTGAGATGCCGCCTGCCATTCACGTAGCCGCGATAGAAGTCATCCTCGTCAAAGTGCTTCGAGCACAGTACTGTAGCGTAGTTAAACTTTACTTCCTTGTCCTCGTCCCTCGTGATGGCCTCCAGCCACTTCTGGAGCAGCTCCTCGTTTCTGTAGGGCAGGCGAACGAACGAAACCTGCAGAACATGCAGTTTACTATTGGTAAGTGCCAGACTGTGCACATTTTTAATGAGACTTGAACTACCTTATGTTGTTCTTTTTTTTTTGCTTTCCGCAACATTTCTTTTTTTACGTTCACATTTTGCCTCTAGTATTGTAAAATGTTACTGTGCTTTCCGTGTTAATTTTTCTTACTCACGTTTAGGGTTTGTTTAGTTTCATCAGTTAGAGTTATATTTCGTTTAGTTTCTGGTATAATATCGCACATTTAGTTTTGAACTTTTATATGTAATAACTTACTCCCATCTCTAATGTTCCAATGAATGATGGTAACAAAAATAAATAAATAAGTAAATATGTGTATGGTTACCAACTTCATGCATTCAAATACGTACGCTGATGCATGCAACACAACCAAGCTAAATAGAGAGTTTTAGAATAGCGCACCGCGAGCTCTTGCAGTGCGGTCACTGCCACTGTGCACGCAGAAAATCCGAAATAGGGCGCGGCGATCGCGGCCCGCAAAATGCTGTGAGTAGCTTCCGTGCATTCGGGCTTGCGTTCGGGGCGAAATTCCCTAGACTTTTTTCTAGGAGGAGCAAACGCTATTCTAAAGCTCATAGAGAGTTTCAGAATACCGTTTGCAAGCGCTGCGGGCGCCATATGAGTTTTATAATAGCGTTTGACCTGGCGCAAACCACAACGCACGATCGCAGCGACACCGTAGCCTCGAACCCAGCGTTTGCGGGCCACATGCGGACCGCGAACGCCGACTCGCGTTGGGGCGCATGCGCAGTGGCAGCGACCGCACCGCAAGGGCTTGCGGTGCGCAATTCTAAAGCTCCCTAATAGGGAGTTTTAGGATGGCACACCGCGAGCCTTTACTGCGCGGACATTTTTTTTTTTGTTCTTTCGTAAGTACGCTACATGAACACACCTTAAAAGAGTTCAATTTGTTGCGAGTAGGTGTTTTTACATAAACGATACTGCAAACACGCCTACGTTCGTCAGTTTCTTTTCGTTGTCCTGTCCAGTGGCGCTTCTCACAACGGTATTTACACGGCAAGGTTCCTTTTTTTTTTCTCTCTCAGCTGATCGTGTCGCGTCGACCGCGCGCTACGACGGGAGACGCTACGCTTCCCCTAGCTGTAATGCGCGGTTAATTCCGTTAATTAAAACGGCCTCTTAATTGCACGGCAGCGCCACGCTCGACTTCTGCTAGGCTCGGTTCATTCCGTTAATTAAAACGGCCAGCGTCGCTCACGCACTCGCGAAATGCACCGCGGATGGCACCAAACTCTTACGAAGAAGCCACAACTACAGAAGAAAATTTTTTCGCCATATTTAGCGGCAGTCTGGCAACAACCACCCTTCCAGTCTAGCAACCACTTATGCAACGCCAAAAGGAACCTCGCCATTTACAGTACAGATAGCTACTGCAACGCCACACGTCTCAGTGCATCTGCAAACGAGATTACATAAATCAAAGCGGACTACACGACCGCAACGACCTTATGCTCGACATGCACAGTCAAACATGGCTTGGCGGCCGGCGTTGCTGCAACATGAGAAAATGCACGCTTACCTTTTCTTCGAATGAGCATTCGGGGCTACTCTTTTGCTTCACAAACCTCTGGTGGCACGACGGTACGCAACAGAAACCAACCATGCTCAAAAATGGGGCAGACGCGCGCCAAGTTCGCGTCGACTTTTCTCACGACTGCTTAATGGCGGACTCCATGCCAGGTTACACCTAGATTGGACCACACAGAAAACTCAATGGCGTAGACGTCAAAATAACGCCATTGTAGAACATTGAGGAGGGAAGTACTACCATCAATCCACACAGTCCGCAGCGCAGCGACCTGCTGCCGATCGCGCAAGCACGTGCAAATTGAAGTCAATCAACCGAAAAGAAGTCTTCATATCGCTACATATAGCACAACTAATACTACTTCATTTACACAACAAGAAAATATGTGGCGAGTGTCGACACCGAAACGTCTAGCGACACATGCATGCGAACGATTGACGTGCTTGGGTCGACTCACTCGTCTTTCTTGGGCGCACCAGCGTCCTTCCGAAAGGGGTCAACAGACTTCAGCTTTTTGTGCCGGCGACTCTTCGGTATTCTGCGCCCCATTCTTCAGTGCGTTAGGCAGTCAAGAGGAATCACACGATAATCACATACACCACGTGAATTAGAGAGCAACTGCTGCCTGCTTCTCCAGTACGAAGTATAAACAACAAGTCGAGGCGCAGTTTCGCGTTCCTTGTAATCGCAGTAAATAAAACAAACTTAGAAAATAAACCTATGAAAACTAAAAAAAAGAGCAAAACTTACTTGCTTGCCAATCAAGTAGTTACTTTATGAGGTATCGCGATAAAATGGTCACGTGGTATGCCCGTCGTCTGCTACCATGGTGACGGAGTGCGCACGAAATACACACACGCGCGCGCGAAGGCAACTGCTGCTGTTTCGTGATTTCAGCAGAAAAAAAGTTATATTTGAAACAACAAATAAACAAGAAAGTCACTGCAGAACGCCACCCATACTCTATAAAGAGCAGGCAACAACCTCAAATATGGTAAGCAAGTCTGTCGTTTCCTGTTGCGCTGAATGCATGCACTCTACAGTTACCGTAGCCACTCTGAGGTATGAAAAGATTGCATTATGAGTATTTCGTGCAAGATTATTCTTACGCTAGCTAATATAACGAGAACAGGAGGTTGCTAAGTGCAGGAATGCCCTACTGCAGCTGCAAGTTTGGATTCTTCGTGTGCTAGAAGACACACGTGTAGATTAGTCTGAATTTTTTTATTCGAACACCTTGAAATTAAGTTGCTACGCATTCAGCTGCTCATTTCTACTCATGACATTTTCTTATAAAATTCATCTTCAGGACGTCATTACGTTAGGCAAATGGCGGAATCCAAGTTTTTTACCCCTTCAAAGAAGAATTTTTTGTAATGTTCACGACCAGACTGCCATTCGAAACACGCTAATATATTTGTTGTCTTGACTCTCATTCAACTAAAGATCTTATTATAATTGTATTTGAGAAAGAAAGTCTTGCTTTCAGTTATTTGGCGCACCGGAGAAACATTAACAAAACGAATATAAAACTAGACGATAGAGCGGGACAAATTGGTAGGACATATAGATATGGTGGTGGTGCTGATGTTGCCAAAGGCGGGATTAGCCGACATGTAGTCGGCATTAAGTCCATGATATGCTCATCTACTTGCTCATTGATTACAAACGTGCTCTAGGCCAATAAAACGTTCCAGAGTGGGCAGCGCTGCGTGCAATTAAACTGCACTGATATTCACTGTACAATATATTACACTGAATGATTACAACTAGGCGCGAAAAAAGAGGAGAGTTGAATGCTCTCGCTGTGCGGGTTTAGTGTGAAAATGTCTGCGAGGAAAGAAGACTGTCCGTGCATTGATTATCGTGAACTTCACGAGAACGCCTTAATCACGGCGACGTGGTATCAAGAGACGAGATCGTGTGCGTCGATTTCTCGCGCTCTGGCAGTGTGCACAAGCATCGCGCATAAAATGTCCGTAAACGAAACAATTTTATGGAAGATCGAGATTTTTATGTTGCGAGCTCCAGCCGGGTGCCTCTCACGCTTATTTATATCGCATGACAGCTGTGGCAGGAATGCTTAATTTTGAATTCGTTTTTGTTTTTTTTACCTTTCATATATATGCTCACGTCTCAGTATTCATAATCGTATAATAAAACAACATAAATCAGGCAGAGAGAATTCTCTTTATTGAAAAACATGGAATTCCGTCACCATATATAAAGGCGCTCACATGTTATACTCTGCATTAAAAAATTAAATTCAGGACAGAAAAGCGCCCTAGGATGAGGAGGGCCGGAAAAGAAAATTAAACAACAACAAAAATGCGTGATCATGTTATGTAGAAGTGAGGACGTAAGCGTCGTGGTATAAGCCACTTTGCCGTTTATTAGGTAAGTTAATGACCTCGAGGAGCGTGAATAGAAAATTTGAAATTTGATGCTACTTTTAGAAGGACCACGCATAGGACCGAGTACTTTCGCGAGATCTCGCAGCACTTGGGAAGCTGAGGATTTTTCAACTTGAAAACTGGTTAATTCTTTGTATATTTGACAATCTAACAAAATATGTTTCTGTTGTTCCTAATGCGCTAACAGTCGTCGCAGTATGTGTTTAGTTGTCAAACCAAGGTGGCACAAGTGGCTATTGCTGAACGCTGCGTTGAGGTGTAATCTGTGATGGGGTGTCTTAAGAGATCGACGAAGGTGATGCTGAAAAGAATGAACGAATGTTCTTTATTGCACTTATGTCTTGTACAAAGTGTGCACGTACTGTGTGGTCCCACTGCCAAAGGCTAGTGCGGGTCCTTTTCAGACGTATAGATAACAAAAACCGTAAACTAAAAGCAAGTACAAGTAAAAAATGGAACTTCACATTATCCAGCAAGAAATAATGTTTTTTTCTACCAGCAACAGTCACATGAATTTGATGAAACAAAGAAAAAGAAGGGAAGTGCATAACTTGTATTAAAGACCGAAAGTTGGGTCTCAGGTTACTACGATGCAATTTTCAAGCAAGCGGAATAGAAAAAGGCGACCTTGATAGGAAAAACACGCCGATTCTTCGCCTGCACAGATCAAACTGTTTGGAGGTAAGATTACACAGGAATTTACAATACCTCAGGTCGTTGAAATTTTGGAGTCCTCCACTACGGCGTCTTACATAATCATATGGTGGTTTTGGGACGTTAAACCCCACATAACAATCAAATCAATGCACAATAGAAAGAGAGGAGGGGTTAGGAATTCAATCTAGTAGTAGAGGAGGATGACGACTTGGGCTTGTTGGTATGGTAGCATGATAATTGATGGTAGTGCAGACTAAGGACACAGACATTGCGCTGTTTTGTCTTGAATGTACCCTTTTTTGTCTATATCCTTTGGCTGCGCTATCATCTATTATCAATCTTAAATTTTATTATAGTGTAGCGGTACGCCTCTCGTCGGTCGGAATTAACATTTTGAGGCGTAAACAAGAAGCACCAGAAAGATGCAAATAAAAAAAAGTAATTAATGTCCTCGGTCAGAGAGAAAATCACACCCAGCCTTTTGGCGTGGTTAAGCAGGTGTCTTGCCACTGAGTCACACCATTTTTTATTGCCTATATTCATACTTACAGCATTTATTACGGTGTATTATGGTTGATGTAATAAAACTAGCCAGTTGCTGCGACCACAACGCCCTCACTAACCAAGTGGCTGACTGGGCTAATTGGTTGTGCATACCTGAGGTTAACAGCGCGAAAATGACCCCCGGCGGACAGGAAAAAGACGGGACAGGCGCTGACTTTCAACTGAAATTTTATTCACAAGAAGGTACTTATATATACCCGAGTGAACAGTAAAAACAGTGAAAAAGATAAAAACAGATGCGAAGATATGAAAGAACCGAAGATTAACAACCACTGAGCCTGCAACACCGACCCTCATTTCCTTGTTTTAACAATATGCTGGTTTTAATGGCGGAATCCGCATTTTACTGGCGATGTTACCACTCAGCTGCTGTCCCGGACCAAGCCCGCAGTGTCGGGTTCAGCGTCGGGCAGCGCCGATGGCTTGAAGCCCGAACGTCAGCGGGAGCAGAAGTCGGCCGAGTCCCGACTGCCCACCCTGGAGGAGTTCCTCGAGAAGCGTGACTTCACGGGAGCCATGGCCCTGCTCGAATTCACCGGTACTTCTTCGTCTTCGTCCCAGTCGTCACGCCTGGAAGCTGCCCTGTGGACGGCCTACTGCGCCTTCCACCTGGGTCAGCACCGGCAGGCGATGCGCATCTACCAGGAGCTGATGGCTGACAAGTCGATGCCGCCTCCCTTGGTCAGTTTGACGCACACGTTGTTCACATGAACTCTTCGATAAAACCAATTTGATGAAATATGTGACAATGCTGTGTCACATATTCGGCTTCAGTTTTTTTTTAATGCAAAATCTGTACAGCCACAGCAACTGGACACAGTTCCAGTTGAAACTCGACTGGAACCACTTGCTTTTAGTTGGGCTGGTTATAGGTTCTAACTGCAACCACCTGCTTCCAGATGATTTGGTTATATGTTTTAAAGAGGAACGAATGCTTCGAGTTCAACTAGGCATGGTTGCAGTTGGCATCCAGTTGGCTTGTAACTGGAACCAGCTGTTCTGCAGTTGCACCTCAAGTGGGACCAGTTTGTAACTTTAACCAATTGGTCCCACTTAGTACCAGTTAAAACCAGTTAGATTCCGAGTTCTTCAACATCGTCAACAGGAAGTTTGAAGATTGGTTTCAAGGCGACATTTGATGGTACACCGCGCCTTGAGAAACACAAACGCAGAAAGACGTGATATATTTTTAAAGGCGATAGTCTTTCTTGGGAACCTTCGACGCAAAAATTTTGGTCTGTCTGTACATTTGCCTGTTTGTCCACCCTTGACGATACCCTAAACGGCACCAAAGTGACCAAACGATGTTCGAAACAGCCGACCCCATCCGCAGCGCCCACAAATATTGCTGAAGGTTCAGCGTTCATACTTGCGCGATTGTCAATTAAAAAGCAATTGTTGTGCATATCTGAGGCAGCATAACAACACGTCAACATTATATATGTGTAATTTTTACTAGAAAAAGCATACATAAGTAATTTTAAGTATCGTAGCCTTTATAACGCTGCGCTGGCCGTGCAACGCTTGCACGAAACTGCAAGTGTTTCCAATGCCTTGCTAAGACGACACGGGGGTGGCACCTACCCGTCGCCTTGCGTTCTACACCTTATGACCTCAGAGACGGGCACGCACGATGCGTGCCCCGTTTTCCAGGACAACTGCCAGATAGCACCCATGTCTCACGTGTGACGTGACTTGATGCGCTCGTTCGCCTCTGCTGCACGCTCGAGGCACTCTAACGATAGTCTTTTTGGGGGACCTTCGACGAGAAAAATTTGGTCTGTCTGTCTGTCTGTCTGTCCACCCTTAACGGCACCCTAAAAGGCACCGGAGTGACCAGCCGATACCCCAAACGGCCGATCCTATCCGCAGCGCCCCCCAATATTGCACAAGGTTCAGCGCTCATACTTGTGAGATTGTCAATCAAAAAGCTATCATTGCGCATATCTGAGGCACCATAACAACACGTCAATATTTTGTATATAAATATTTTTACTAGACAGAAAATACATAAACAATTCTAAGGAGCGTAGCGTTTATCACGCTGCAATGACCATGCAACGCTTGCACTAAAGGCAAGTAGTTCCAACGCTTTGCTAAGACGACACGGTGGTGGCACCTACCCCTCACCTTACGTTGTATACCTTATCACATCCGGGATGGGCACGCATGCCACGCGCGTGCTTCGTTTTCCAAGATAACTGCCAGATGGTGCTCATGTCTCATGTGTGACGTGACTTGATGCGCTCGTTCGCCTCTGCTGCACGCTCGAGGCACTCTAACGCAGCGCCTGCACAATAGCATTCACCAATTTCCTTGCGCAGAACATCATATAAACGTTTTGTTCACTCTCTCCAGACGCAAGACTATCGTCTTTCGACGACATTTGCGGTGTAACATGCAGATATGGGGCCATTTTTTGTTATAACTTCATTTTTCATAATACACAATATGGAGAATTGTCAATGAAATGTTTCTCCCGTTCCCTCTCAGTCCATGCTTAATCGTAATAAGTCGGTTTCAACTGCAGACTCGTCAAAATAAGTGGAATATTTTTTTTTCGTATGCTGAACACGTCATTTGCGGCTAAAGAGACTTTGTAATGCGGTTTAATTCGCAGAGCTAACGCGCGGGCTGTATCAGCGACTCGATCAATCAATGGTAACGTCCGCCACGGTGCCAAAGTTGTTATGATTCTCGGCTGCTAACCTGAAGGTAGCCGGTTCGATCCCCGTCGCGGTGGTCGCATTTAGGCGGAGGCTAAATGGAAGGTGTCTGTAGGCTGTGTGACGTCAGTTTCCATTAAAAAACACCAGATGGTAGAAATGTCTGTAGCTTTCCACTAGAGCATCTCTAATAATCATATCGCGTTATTTGCACTTAAAACCCCTGGTAATGTTCTTATTATACTATCAATGCATTGTAACGCAACATCCCGGGAAAAACATATAGCTGTCGTAAAATAGTGTAACACGGCACTGGTACCATTTCTTCTTTAGCTTTCCACATTAGCGTTGTGCTAAAACGAAGTTGAATACCGGTCCTCACTGCTGAAGAATAGGCGCTACAGTGAAGAACCTCGATTAATTTCAAAGCTTTTCTTCAAGCCAGGGTAGACAATACTGGCTGAAGTGTACAAGGCTTCAACAAACCTGGAAGGCATCGTGGACGTTTCAGACGCATATGCGGACGGCATAAGTGTGCAAATGGCCAGTCGCAACATACCCGCAGCGCGCAATGATTAGAAATGCACAAGGATGAATAATGGCGATAGAACCATTGTTTTAGGAAATATTTTTGGCTCTCTCAGTAGTTGCTCCCTCGCACAGTTTATGATGACATTAAAATCAAGCAGGTGTCCTTTCGTCAAGCCGCGGTAAATCATTTGTCTTTGCAATTGTGTATGACGCATTGGCAGACGCGATTCCAAGCACAGCTTCTCTGAATTACTCTGGATTGCTGTAGGCACAAGGGGGGGGGGGGGGGGGGGGGTTTGGCTGCTATATGTTTATGTGCGGGCTGAGGATTTGTTTTTCCTTACCTTACAATAAAGAATATAGGCGCAGGTGTGCAGATTGGTGCCGGCGTGTCAGCGATACTCAGTGTCAACACTGAGTTACGTCGTCGCTTGCACCCCCGCAAAAACAAAACAACAACGAAAAAAAACACACACATAAAACACCTCTACTATACCGCGAAGCGCGTCTCCCACACCAGTGCTCTGTAGGTGTGCATGCGAGATTGTTTTCATTGGAAGCACATGCTTTCCCTCTGTAAACGTAAAAACATATATACGCACACCAAAAGAGATGTTTATCGTTCGCGATTCATTATTTCGGCTGAGTTATGATATGCCGAGATATCAGACAAAATTCGTCAGTACGGTCAAATTGTGATGTTTAAAGGTCCGTTCTGTGTCATGCCGCACCACCTGGTGTTGCTCAAAGCATTCCCGACACAGAAGTCACTCTGACACCAACTTTGAAACAGTGGGGGGCATGACTGTTCATCTCTGACTAAACCGACTAGTTAGCGATGATCAAACAGGTTACACGGGTGGTTAAAGACAATAAAAACGTTGGCCAAGGAGCCCCCCCCCCCCCCCCCCCCCTCTGCCTCTGCTCTCATAACTAGTGTCTTTCAAGAAATGTTTCCATCCAACGACGAAAACGCGTTTCTCTATGACAAACATCACATAAACACTCGAAGGACTGCTTGACGTTATAGAAATGAGCAAAGTTATTTGAAAGGAGCATTCAAATATTCTTTTGCGTTGAAGGGCGGCGATGGTCGTGGATGTTGCGTATATCTTTCCCTTGTGTTCTAACCGATTATTTATGGACACCGGGCTGATGTCTTTCGCAGGACGTCTGGAGCTACCTGGCGTGCTGTCAGTTCCACCTGGGTCTGTACCGCGAGGCCGAGGCGTCTGTGCTGAAGGGCCCCAAGAACCAGCTGCAGAGCAGGCTGCTCTTCCACCTGGCCCACAAGGCCGGAGACGAGAAGCGCCTCATGGCGCTGCACCAGAGCCTGCAGGACATACTCGAGGACCAGCTATCGCTAGCATCTATTCACTACCTCAGGTAAACTAGATGCTGGTGAATCAATTCTTTGCTAGTTACCCAAGTAAATATTCGCACGTTAAGTATAGATAGTGCCCGACTTTCCTTTTGCCCGGCTACCTTTCGTTCCAACTCTGTAACCACACTATAGTATTGAAGAGCTTCAGAATAGAGTACGCAAAGCTTTGGCCCGGCTTGGGTTCCTCACCTCTGCGCGTGTTTCGTAGGCTATCCTCTTGGGTATCCACACTAAGTTACGAAAGTAGCTTACGCATGCAACGAACATTTTCTTTCCGTACCCTATTCTAAGTCTGCCTATTGTAGAAATTCAATGCACACCGAACCAGGAAGTGGTCAAGAAACTTTTTGCAAGAGGGTTTGAACACCCTTTACCATTTTAAATCCCATTTTTACGAGACAAAATTGTCTTTTCTGTGATAGGTAGGTGAAATAGGGACATATATTTGCTTAACATTCTTATTAGGCGATAATTATTGGCACCCACTGCTTTTTAGTCTACGCCTTTCCGGCATTAAATGAGATAGCTGAACTCTGTTTCTGGAAAGGAGTGATTCTGCAAAGACAATCACTCTCTGTCGTACGACTGGTGGACAAACTCACTTTTCGGGGATGTCTTTTTCTTTCAACACCCGAACAACTGAGGTATGGCTATGGCATTGAGGTCTACACCTACTGAGGCTTCGGCATAATTTTCGGTCGAATATTATATATTTGACATTATAGGTTTTCTTTAGAATCTAATCGTTCAATGTTTACAACAATCTAAAGTGAAAGATTATGTGACGCTTTCCCGCCTATAACAGGACAGAAAAGCTGGTTTCACGGCAATTTTATGTGTGAAACCGTGAAGCCGCTTTTTGAAGGGCAGTATGCGATGCCGTGAAGCCTAATCTCAAGAATATCTTCACATGATATTGGCAGCCGTGTCGTATGACGTCTCTCGAATCGATATGAATGTACTCTTTATAGCTAAGCTTCATTTGTGTATGTAGTTTCGCTGGTGGAGAAGTAATGCATTGAAAAATAAAGTATTTATTTCTACCTAACCGAGAAACAAACACTTGTCAGTCTGCCTTGCCGACTCAGCCAAGGCTACTTGAAAGCTCGATAAACAAAATACAGGAGAAATTTATAGCCCAGGAACGTACGTTGATCTGAGGCAAAAAGATCAGAGTGAAATAAAAAAAAATTCGAGATACCAAGTTTGTCGTAATTAACGTACGCCTTGATGACAATTAATTAACGAGAAAAGAATGCCTTCGGAACAGCTATCACGATAGCCTAGTCGACATTAACAGATGCTATACAAATTACACACATGTGAGCACACAGATACAATTCACCGAGAATGTCCTTGTAGATTTAAGAACTGCTCGGACTTACTTTATCGGTGGTGCACCTCCTTTTACGAAACGCTGTGATGTGGAGAGTGACGTTTGATTTCGTGCATTTCTATTTTCAGAGCGCACTACCAAGAGGCGATAGACATCTACAAGCGAATTCTCCTCGAAAACAGGTTAGTTGGCATAAGATTACAGTGACAAAGTCTCCGTCGGAGGTTCATTCAAAAGCAAAGGAGCCCAAGAATTATGTTAAATGCAAAAGGGCATTAATAATAGGTTAAACATCACGCCCATCTATGATTCATTACAAGCACCGTGACGCGACTGGCAACAAGAGAGAAGACACAAACCTAAACTCTCAAGCCCTGTCGTGTGTTACGGCTCAGTGTATTGGAGTGAAACGAACAGTCAACTGGTCCTTGCCATTTATGACCTAGCATATATATAATGTTAGAGGTTTTCAGGGGAGCTAGAATTGTTGTTCCTTGCTTGGATAAGCGGTGTTTGTGGTAATATATGAATGCTTGAGCAGCGATCGCGCCGTAGTGCTGTAGCTTATGTAAGTATGCGTGGAATATTAGGATCAGCTCAGTGTACAGGCGCTCCAAAAGTAAAACTGAGTTTACGAGCTGTGGCCAAGCCAAGCAAAAGTGAATACTAGCGAGCTCCACCAGAGCAGTGGTTTTTTATTGTTATAGCCAAATGACGGCACTATGCTCGAGTTCACTTTCGTATGAAAATGAATAACGAGCTCTTTGAGCGCGCTGGCGTAGCTTGGCCAGAGCTCGTATGCTCCGTTTTATTTTTAGAACACCTGCACGCATTCGCTGCAAGAACGACAAATCCACCATAACGCATCGTCACTCTCGGGCCAGTCGGCACTGTCCAATGAATTAAGTGCGGCGTTGCGGCTCCTGCACTGATGACACGCGCATTAGCGTTAAGTCCCGCTCACCAGACACACACATGCATACCACACCCTAATGTAAAGCTATAGTTTCCAGGGCACAGCTATTAAAGTGGACGCTCGACCTATGTGACGCCTTGTTCAATAGCCGGTTTCGCGTCTGCCTCATCCATCGAAAAAGGCAAAAAATTGTGGGGTCGCAATATTCATACCAGGACGGATGATCAGAGCATGCTGCATTCGCGTTTCAGCTGCATGTTTCGCTGCGCTCGTTTCTCCGGCTTATTGAGCAACTCAGGATGGACACGTTATTCTCTTGATTCATGGTCTTTGGACGCATTGTGGTCCCGCTCCTGCTGTCTCTATTCGCGTTGCAGCTGCGTCATACTACAACACCACCGCTCCGCAACATAGATATATTCTATGCGCTACCTTTAGGTAGCAGAGTTGAGCCAAGATACGCCATCTTGGGTTCAAATGTCTTGCGGGAAAGCCACACACCACCCGCGTAGAAGCAGCGCTCGCGCTTCAGAGTACTAACCTTGCCTTATTTATTTTTTTTTCGCTTTCTTTTTTAATTTTTATTAAAGTACGAGCAAAACTTGGCCGCTTCGATCACGCTTAGAATTTGATACGCTGAAGGAGCAGGGGGCAGCACCGCCATTGAGATGCGTCCAGCGTCTCTGTGAGACGCGCCCAGTGTCTGTGAAGGACGCGTCCAGTGCCCGGGATAGACGCACTACGTGTCTGAGCGAAGGGCGCCGGCACGCTCATCACGCGGTGAAGCATCGGCGTAGTCCGCGTATTGTTGGCTTCTCCGCAGTGCATTTCAACCACCTATGACCACATGATGACGTGCGACCAATAGCGTTGCTGTAGTCGGGTGAGTGGCGCCCAGAAAACAGTGGCGCAACTCTGCTACCTAAAGGTAGCATATACAGGCTGTGTTCCGATTCTTAGACAGCACGTAGACAGTCTATGAAGACTGCTTAGAAGACAGCATCGAGCCCATGCTGTCCGAGAAATGGAACAAATTTAGACGGCTTTTACGCGACGAAGCGCCACCTCACGTCGAGAAGAAAAAGCTAAAATAAACAAACGTAACAGTTGTAATTTCCGGTTTATTCCGTGTTAAAGAACAAATAAACGTTACTCACGTTGAGCATCTGAGAAAGCGTCTGCTTGTGTGCAGATGATCATTCCTGCGATATTTCATCTACCTGAGCGATTCGCTGAGCCGCCATCTTGTTTAGACAGCAAAGTAACCTGCGTCGTATTTGTCTACGATGCGGTCTTCTCGGAGGTGTCAATTTTGCCGGCTACGTGAGAATTGGAACGGGACTTAAGATGGCCGCGGTCCATTTAGCTGTATATTTAGCCGTCTATGGTGAGTAATGGAACACAGACTAGCTCTACCGCAACACTGAGGCAAGCGCCACCATGTGAGCGCGCTCCTCCAGCTGCGCCGCCTTAATTTTGTATCGTGGAGTTGTGAATGTCGCACCTCGATTTCGCGGCGTCCGTCCGCGTCCACCAGCCAGCTGGAAAATAACTAACTTGAGCTCCTGAGAGGGATTGATGACCTCAAACAATAACATCACCTGACAAAACACTGAACGATCGACCACGTTGTCGATGCTAAATCAAGTTAGTTACCCACCGCGGCCATCCAGTGGCTAAGGCATTTGACTGCTGAGCCGCAGGTCGTGGAACTGAATTCCGGTCACGGCGGCCGCATTTTCGATGCAGGCGAAAATGCTGTAGGCCCGTGTGCTCATATTTGGGTGCGTGTTAAAGAACCCCAGGTGGTCAAAATTTCCGCAGCCTTCCACTACGGCGTCTCTCATATTCATATGGTGGTTTTGGGACGTTAAACTCGAGCAATTATATTAAATCAAGCTAAGTAATTAGTGAATAGAGCTTTGAAACGATATTCGCGACTATTGTGTTTCCTCGGCGCCTTCTCGCAGGGACTTCCTGGCGCTGAACGTGTACGTTGCCCTGTGCTACTACAAGCTCGATTACTACGACGTGTCGCAGGTTGGTAATGGAGCTTTCGAACAACAAATGTTGAATGTTCGAAAGCAAACAAGCAACTTCAGCATGAGCCTCACGAAATAGGAGTTGAATTTTGAATGATTTCTTAATAATGTGAACGGGACCCCGTTCGATTAAGCTACTACGTTAAATTCTTAGAGGCTAAGCCTCCAAGACGTAACAGTCAAGCCAGATACGCGAGATGAGCTGCGGGTGTCTGTAAAATGGTTCTGTGACCTGCTTGCATTCGTGCTTGTGCATGCGAAATGCTTTGTAAGATTCGTGGGAGCCACGGCCATCGCAATGGCTCAGCCCAAAGTGAGACAGGGGACACATTGTGCGCACTGGCAATGCGCGAGGCCGATTGGGACCCCTCAAAAGGGACAGCTGATGCGCTGAGATAGACAGAAGTGTGGTCAGCCCAATGCACGTGTTTCTTTTATAAACCCTATCAAGTAGAGGGCTGTTGCGCGAGTGTCATGGTTGGTTCGTTGGTTGGATTCTAGACTAGTGACTCAACTAAAGAACAAAATAATTTTTCGTGCATTAATAAAGCACAATTTCACCCTCCCTAAAACGCCACTATTAACGATGCTTGGTAAATGAAAAAGAGAAAGAGAATGTGGGTGCAGACGCCACCTTGAGATTTTACGCTCTAAATACTGTGACGTCATATATTTGAAGGTGTCTAGTGGATCTCACGTAGCTTTTAATAGATAAAATTGAAGTACATGGTGGTCTGTGGGCACCACAGACCACATAAGATGTATACAAAGTTTCAGAAAACTTCGCCGAGCCAATGTCACTAAAGTGCCCAAAATACATTTTGAAATTTGTTACGTCTAGCACGGAGATTTCGGCGCCAGGTTAAAAAAAACGAAACTTCAACCTTTCTTTTCTCCGCTAGTAATGAACTTATGATAGTGAAACTTATGATATTAGAATTATCAGGGTAAAGTTTATCAACCCAAACGAAGGCATTGTTGTTTTTAGTGTCCATTAAAAAAACACGTTCTTTCCATGGTGAATTTCGAATTGTGAGTTTCAACGATTTGGTTGGGCAGACAGCCCGAACCCCGCATATTATCATTCCTATCTCGTAATGTGCCCTTCAGGAAGTGCTAGCGGTGTACCTGCAAAACTTCCCGGACAGTGCGACGGCAATCAATCTGAAGGCGTGTAACCACTTCCGGCTCTACAACGGGAAAGCCGCTGAGGTGAGAGTCCGAAAGGATCACGTAAGCAGTTCACACTTTCCTTCATCTCCTCGTTCTTGTAGACGCAACCATTTCTCAGTCCACCTTTCAGTGCAATGCGTCGAAGTGAAATGTGATACGGTGAACGCTAGGCGGGCATACTATAATGCACGTTCACTATAGTGACGAATAATACGTATTACTCATCATTCAATACGCAGTGTGAAAACGAGTCAAGGTGCAATTAAAAAACAAAACATTTTAGACAAGCTCAGTAGAACTAACTAACTAACTAACTAACTAACTAACTAACTAACTAACTAACTAACTAACTAACTAACTAACTAACTAACTAACTAACTAACTAACTAACTAACTAACTAACTAACTAACTAACTAACTAACTAACTAACTAACTAAAAATTATGGGCCATGTTCCCGAGGAGAACCCTGATGGTACGCGAGGCAGCAGTGGCGTGCACAGCGTTGACCCGGTTGAAACGGGCATAGACGCGGGTGTTGGAAGAACGGTTTGAAGCGAAACTCGGTGTAGCGTTTACTCGAGTAAACGTTTGTTTGAAATCCAAGGACACGAGAGTTGGGTGGGATTTCGTGTAAACTTATTCGCAAATAAACAAGCAGAAAGAGTGTTGCCGCTTGACGTGTGGTTGAACGTTACGGGTGGCGGGGAAGGTGAATCGAGAGATAAGCGTGTTGCGAGCGGGTGGAGGGGCCGGCAGCTGCGGGTGATGCGGCGAGCGTGCTGCGGGTGAGGGAGAGAGTGACGCCAGCGCGTACGTGAGGGAAGCGTGCGATAGGAGCGTGACATCAACACGCACTTGCTTGGCACCAGTCCAACGGAACGCGTTGCGGCGCATTCGTATAGATTTGATTGATTGATTTGTGGGGTTTAACGTCCCAAAACCACCATTTGATTATGAGAGACGCCGTAGTGGAGGGCTCCGGAAATTTAGACCACCTGGGGTTCTTTAACGTGCACCCAAATCTGAGTACACGGGCCTACAACATTTCCGCCTCCATCGGAAGTGCAGCCGCCGCAGCCGGGAATCGAACCCGCGACCTGCGGGTCAGCAGCCGAGTACCTTAGCCACTAGACCACCGCGGCGGGGCACGCGCATTCGTATAGACGCACGTAGGTGAGTCAAAGAGCTGCTTCACATCTAAAAGGGCAGTTATATAACCACAGAGCGAAGAAAGAGTACAGGAAGAACGAACGCGGAACTTCATCACATAAGCACGTCAAACGAACCGTTTTGTGCACTTCACAGTTGAGAAGTTCTGTCTGTGTCAGCTGTTTCCCCGCTGCATAATTAGAAGTGCCAATTTAGCAGTTTTTAAGTGTGAACACACTTTATAAGCGACCCCAAACCATCCACCGCCGTCGGCGGCGTCCGCAGTATACTCTCTATCTTTAAAAGAAAGCGGACTTGGCGGGCCGCAGCGCGACGCTCTACCGAATAAGCCACGGACGCGACGCTGATATCGGTGTCAGTAACGCGCCTTATACCCCCTCCCCCTTCGCTCGCTCCTCCGCTCTCCTCGCTCGCTGCAGCTGCGCGTGCACCCCTCTCTCTCGCGCGCCCGCCTTCTCCCTCAGTCTCCCGTCGAGAGCGGGTCGTGAGGGGGAGTAAAGTTAAAATCCATTGGCATTCGCCAGTGAGTTAACGTAAACTCCCCCGTGTGATCAAATTGCGATTCCCAGGAACCATTACACCATAAAGGCACTATAGTGTGATTAATAAATATAATAGGGTGAATTAATAAATACCCTCATAGCATCACCCCGTGTATTCGCACTTAACCATGTTCACCCTCGGGGAAATGCTTGGGAGTTTTCTTTATCAATCCTGTGCACTTCAACGTTTTAGTTTACGACTGTAATTAAGCATACGTCACAGCTGTGCAGATTTTCTTTGTAATAGGTTAAAGTGACAGAATGTTGATTAGGGCATGGTTCATATCCTCAAGCGTCTTTATTAAGGCAAGGATGTGTCCCCCGTTCGTGCAGGCGGAGCTGAAAAGCCTGCGGGAAAGGGCGTCGCCAACCTTCACGTACGCCCAAGACCTCATCAAGCATAACCTGGTGAGAGAAAGTCATGTATGCAGAGCTATATACCATACTCGAGGAGATGCAAAATTTCAAACTTTGAATTTGCAGTTTGTCAGGAGTTTCAGGACGAACGCATGTTTTGCTGAGTGTGCGGGGAGTCGTGGTGCGAGGAAGCAACACCGGTACAAAGAGAGGCTGAAGAAAAACCACAGCATGAACGCCTGGTACCACTTGATTGGAAGAGCACAGAAAAAATGCTGGTGGCCTACAAAAACACACGACTGACGTATGGTGTCAAATCCACAGTGAACGAAAAAGTCACAACTTTGCCGCAAAGGCGAATCAAGGAATGCGATAGCAACAAATTAGAAGGTCACGCGCACAATGGCAAGCAGATTGAAACGTGTCCCACGTTTTTCACACACAAATAACGCACGAAACTTACTCACAGGTACAGGTGAACGCGAATAAGCGTCTCAATTGTTACTTCGCTCTGTCAGAAAAGCGCACTCTTTTTGTAAACGGAAACTGTGCACGATTGCAGTGACCTTTGTGCGCCCGGTAAAAGATGCTCTCAACCGCGAGAAAAGGGCGTGGTAGTGTGCGTTCAGGGGCTTTAAGACCACCCACTCCCTTTACCACTTCTCTCAGTGAGGCAAAGTACGCGTGGAAAATAATGGCAAGCGCCGCGACGCGCTCATTGTGCCATCTTGCTGTTAATGCTGAAAACACGATAGTACGATCCCCCGGAGAAGCCCATCACCTGTGGTAAGTGATTAGTATATATAGCTTGCCGTTTCAGCACTCAACAACGTGTTTTTCCGTAGCTCAGTGGTTAACAGCTCACCTTCACGACTCGAAGGCTCCACGTTTGCTTCCGCGCGCCGAAGTGTTTTTAAAGATTATTTTTATTTCTTGCATTTTCTTATATTTAAATACGTATACATATACGGTGCATGCCATTGAGGGCGGCGGCGATATTCAGCCGATAGTGTCCATATAATTGCTATCGCAATAAAAGAAAAAAAATGAGTAGGGTGTTTGAGAAGTAAACAGAACTACGATGCTTCACTCGAGCTTATTATACTTGACAAAGTGGCGCTAGAGCTACCACATGAAAGCGATGGAGGCGCAGCGTGAGCTATTCGACTGAAGCTATAGACTATTTTCTGTGAGACACGATGGGCGCGGCCATCTTCGGCGGCGAAGGTGATGTTTTCTTGTCATTTTGTGTCGTAACGTGAACTAACCAACCCAAGCGTTTTCATGCATATGCGGCTTCTGTAAAACTGCTCGTTTAGTTGTAAAAGACACGAAAACACAAATCCGAACAATCCAATGTGGCACCACTCAGACCGATCCGTAAAACAGTTTCTGTTTGATTTTGAATGGTGGCTTAACGCGGTGCCCGTCCTCTCAGGTGGTGTTCCGCGGCGGCGAAGGTGCGCTGCAGGTGTTACCAGGCTTGGTGGGCGCCATTCCCGAGGCACGCCTCAACCTCGTCATTTACTACCTCAAACAGGGTGAGCAGCGTTGTTGCCCACCCCGGCGGATCAGTGGTTAGCATGCTTGGCTGCCTAACCGAAGGTCGCAGGTTCGATTCCGGCCCTGGCGGTCACATTTCGATGAGGGCGAAATGGTAGAAGCCCGTGTGCTGTGCGGTGGCAGCGCACGTTAAGCAGCACCAGGTGGTCCAAATTTTTTGGAGCTCTCCAATATGGCGTTTCTTGTAACCATATAACTTTAGAATGTTTGCGGCATCGATGAAAATATCGAACACACTGCTGTGCCACTGTCCTCGATTTGCCTCAGCGGGACAAGTGCTTGCCAACGCATAGCGGCGACTCGATGATCGGCCTCTTTCTAGGCAGGTGCTATTACAGCAGCGTCCACATTCCTCGACAGCCCACAACGCAGTGAAAGGCCTCGTCTGCTCAAGTTTTGAACTCTGAGGACTCATAACTTAACTGTCCGTGCACCAATTTCCATCATTATTGTTGCATTCGCCTCAGTAATCATCGCTACGCGTGTTCCGGTGCTAAATAGGGCTGCTCAAAAAGTATCGCAGGGCCCCTTTAAGAAAGACGGGTTTGTGTGAACGTCTCTAACATGAGGTGGAGTTCTACACGCTGCAGTGATATTACTGCCAGTTTCTCCTTTTTTTTTATTTTGCGTCTCTTCTCTCTTTCTCATCTTTCTTTTCCCCTTCTCTAATCCCCCAGTTTAGGGTAGCCAACCAGATGTCTTTCTGTTTAACCTTTCTCCATTTTACCTTTTGTTGCTTCTTTCCTTCCTAGGATGTAAAACCGCGTATAATAATATTAACATATTACTGAACAAATTTAGTGGCTCCGGCGTTATAACCGCCTACTCGTATACATATGGTGTGTTTGGTAACCATTAACAATTAAAAAATATTTAATAACTTATACCGCGGCTCTATGTACTTACAAAGGCCATTGTTTGACTGTTTTGGGAAATACGTATGTGGGAGTGCCCAGAATGCGGTATATATATATATATATATATATATATATATATATATATATATATATATATATATATATATTGTATGAAAAATATGTTTCCGCTTTTTCCATGTATTTTGTTCATCAACTTTGGCATTGTCACTCGTATGAATTTTACTTTACCTACTTTTGAGTTTTTCAGTATGCATAATGACTTGTAATGTTTGTATGTTTGTATAATGTGTATTATGAGTATTTCACTAGCTTATAATTTATAATTTTTGTTTGAGTGTTGAATTGTTGCTCTCATTTGTTGTTTGTTTCTGCCTGGAAAATTAGAACCATGAACCTCGTCAAGCCTTGCTGGCTTTTTGGTCATGATGATCAACATTGTGGAAATGGTGAAATAAAATTTGATTTGATTTAATTTGAAGTGAAATGCTTGGTAATGTGATAATGCAATTAGATAAAAATGTTACGCTCTGTCGACACTATATAGAACAGGGAGTATTTATCTGTAACTGCTGCTGCTCCTGAGAGATGAGGTCACGTGCAAATGTTTTCCCAAATTCTGGGAATAAATGTGACCGACGCTAACAGCGAAAATTTTTCAGCATTCATCACCGGCGATTCTTCAAACAAACGTATTGATCCAGATTAAGGGAACAGGCAAATTTCGTTCGAAAAAAAAAAAGCTGGTCTGGTGGAATGTTGGTAAAAGCGTTTCCTTCAGACAAATTTGCTAAATGGTTGTAGGAATCCCACCAAACATTCACACTATTGAGATCCTCAATTTTGTGCTACTGGGCTAAAATGTTCAGAATTCCATGCTTCAGAAAGGAGGACAATACACGTGTGTTTATCTGTGTGCCCTGGATTCAGAAAGTATAAGCAACACACATTTGACCATAACCACGCGTTGATACTAAGCCTTAATGAATGCGTAAATAGGTTGCAAAATCTGCCCACTGTAATGTTACCAATGTGTCAAATAAATTTTGTGCGTATTATTGCTAGCGTTTAAGGACGAACGTTAAATGCAATTTACACAGCTATCAAGGATGAAGATACACTAGCGTTGTTCTCTAACTACGATGTTATTTTATTACTGTGCTGAATCAGTGCTCCGCACCCCAAGACAGAGAGATATGTTTCCAGAATGGAGTGTGAGTATCATAGACGTTAATGATAGTGTAATTGTCATAGAGGCCTCATCAGCCATTTCCATAATAAAATTGCTATGCCTTAATTGTCTTTCTAGACGCTTAATTGTATGTATATATGCACGCCCGACTGCCTTTTAGGTGTTTATGAGCATTGTCAAACAATTGAGTTCTCTCTACAGAAAAAAGCTCCGTTACTTCTTTGTTGAGAGTTGTGGCTTGTAACATGAATATACCCTTTCCAAAATACATATTAACTCCCTTTGGAATAACTATTTACGCTCTTGAAATCGTCACGGAAGGCGTGACTCTCCAACGGAGGAACGTGTATTCTTATAGAGTTATTATAGTGGAAAGTCAGAACTTACCTGAAAGGGTAACAGGTTAATAAGGGTTGCAGCGCGAGCACGAAGGTGCTAGAAGAAACAGACGAAAGGCGAGGCACCGAAGGCAAAGAGGACAACACAAGCGCTGACTACCAACTGAATTTTATTATTCGCAGCACACATGATAATATATTCAACAGGCGACCTTTTAACAGCAAACGTGAGCAACGTGACATATTCTGGGGATTGGTCTGATAAAAAGAAGGTACAATGATAAAATGGCTAACCCTTATCTAAAAGCGCGAACTGTTTGTCATGCAAGGCCACCAAAGGTTGGCTCACGCATCCGTAACTATGTTTTCTAATAAAATACGCTTCAGCTATTTCACGTGTTAACTTGTCCATGTGGCGTGCCAGCACACTCACGCCCGGAAATCGAGGCTGGCATCCGCAGCTTTTGCAGTGCAAAACAAGGTTTGAACTAATTCTTTTGCATATATCATTCATATGTTCTCCTAACCTTTTATTGATGCACCGCCCAGTTTGGCCTATATAACAACGACCGCACGTTAAAGGAAGCATGTAAACAACACCAACTGCGCAATCTACAAATTTATTTATGTGTTTTACGGCGCATGTCCAACCTTTTTTGGTGATTCCACTAAGTCGCTAATCCGTCATTCTGAAAATCTGGCTTACTTTGCACGGGGCTGATAAAACTACATCCACAACATATCTCGAGCCTACCTTTTTCAAACCATGAGATATATTGTGAAAGTATGGGATGACTGCAACTCTTTTTCGCTCTTTATTTCCTTCTGCCTTTTTTTGTTTTTGTTTGATCTTTTGCAACAAAGCTTCGCACACTGAAGAAATTACAGATTTTGGAAATCCCGCTGACAGAAGTCTGTTAATTTGCATTGTTACACTATCAGTCATCTTGTTTACATGCTTCCTTTAACGTGCGGTCGTTGTTATATAGGCCAAACTGGGCGGTGCATCAATAAAAGGTTAGGAGAACATATGAATGATATATGCAAGGGAATTTGTTCAAACCTTGTTTTGCACTGCAAAAGCTGCGGGTGCCAGCCTCGATTTCCGGGCGTGAGTGTGCTGGCACGCCACATGGACAAGTTAACACGTGAAATAGCTGAAGCGTATTTTATTAGAAAACATAGTTACGGATGCGTGAGCCAACCTTTGGTGGCCTTGCATGACAAACAGTTCGCGCTTTTAGATAAGGGTTAGCCATTTCATCATTGTACCTTCTTTTCATCAGACCATTCCCCAGAATATGTCACGTTGCTCACGTTTGCTGTTAAAAGGTCGCCTGTTGAATATATTATCATGTGTGCTGCGAATAATAAAATTCAGTTGGTAGTCAGCGCTCGTATTGTCCTCTTTGCCTTCCGTGCCTCGCCTTTCGTCTCTTTCTTCTATAGCACCTTCGTGCTCGCGCTGCAGCCCTTATTACCATGAATTCAAACCAACTAGCCCAAATAGCCATTCTTCTTCAAGAGTAACAGGTGTTTTGTTCTTTTTTTTAGAGTGCTTGAGGAGCTGTGCAATCGGGTGTTGTTCGCAAGATGCACTGAGTGCAATCGATAATCGTGCTGCAATGATCAGAATAAGCCAGTCGTTGGGTGGAGTGTTATCGTGTGGCCCCGGTCGGATAATATTGTGAGCTTAGTATATGCGAGTTTGTAAAAATAACAAAAATAAAAGTGAGTGCATACGCACCCGTTCTGAGTGCACTACAAGTTGAATGTGCAACTGTTGAGCAACGGTTTGTACGCAATTGACTCTGTCATTCTGTTTCTGTGTTTGGCTTCTCATTTTTCTTATTCTTGATTTTGAGGTCAACTGCCGTACCCTGTCGTTCCACTTCCGATGTGTGGCTGGGGCTTTGTCAAGTTGTCGGACAGTTTTTTTTCCCGTCAACCTTTTATTTACCATAAATGTTTGTTTTTTGGTGAAAACAAAGTTCTTTCATTGACTGATTGAATGATTGGTCGAAGTTATATCGAAGAACAACGCACGTGTCGCGGTCTTCTTTTGCAACTGTGTTTCTTGCGTTTATTTTCACTTACTTGAACAACATGGAATCATGCAAGTGATCTGGAGTGCGCATGGCTTGTGGTACTTTGATTTTGCCTGTAGAACTATAGCACCCCGGATGTGTTAAGCGTGAGTTAAATGGGGTAGCCGTGTCGACACCCTTCGCTTGTTCGTTCCGCTTCCCCCAGACAACATCAAGGAGGCGCACAACCTGATCAAGGACCTGGAGCCCACCGTGCCGCACGAATACATACTCAAGGGAGTAGTCAACGCAGCCATCGGGCAGGCTCAAGGATCGGTCAGTATGTGCATTGGACATATATGTGCGTTGTATATTCGATGATTTTAGTACTAAGGCAGCCAACTATATGCCGCTGGCGTTATCCGCACCGCACGCACGGAGAGATATGTTTCCGGAATGGTTATAAGTGATGAAACGTCAGTGTGTTTAATGGAAGTAATGAAGCAAATAGGGCTTAGTTTGAACATACTCATGACGGTCACCGCATGACGGCTGGACAAGGTTTTCTCGTGAAACTTTCAGTTGTTAGAGAGTGCAAGTCTAGTGTACCTTGTTTTTCGGGCCCCCCCCCCCCCTTTTTTTTTTGGCGCTGACCGTCATGAGTCAGAGTGTAAACTTTTTAGCACATCTAAAGTCTTTCCACTTGTTCCTTCTTTAACAATATAATTATCTACAATACAATTGCATAATAAAATCATATAGTTATAGTTTCTATTTTGAAAATAAAGGAGTGTTTCATTGCATTTATTGCATTGCGCGCAAGGCACTCGCACAGAAACAAGGCAGAGTGAGGGATGTTGCAGTGGTAAGCTTGTCAAAACAATAAAAGCGGCGCTATCGTCTACAGCATTTTAAGCCTTGCACAGCGCTTTAGGGAAGGGAGTAAGAGAACAAAAGAAAAAAAAAACGACAGAAGGTATAGTCCTGATGAACATAAAGGCACCAGAGTACGAGTGACAAAAAAGTGACACTGCAGGAGACAGACATCACATTAGCAATTGGCTGGTTTCTCATAGCATGGAATCGGTATTTCCTTCGGCGCAACCTGCTTAGAACACATGTCATCCGCTCCAGACGGTTGTCTGGAACACATGTACAAACTAAACGAACTTTTCTAGCGGACGGCGATATGCATCTCTTGTACGTCTATAGTCGGCGATAGTCCAAGAATATAGGCTCCTCTCACGAAGCTGCATTGGCTTTATATTTCATGCTTCGGCCGTGTTTTTATTTTTACGCTGCGGAAACGAAGGAACTCAGTAAAGCGCCCCAAAGCATTCCGAGCTGCGGTGCACGGCAAACGCAGCGCCATCACAAACCTGAAATGCGTCGAATGACCACTGGCGAGGATAATACTGTGTACGTGTAGATAAGAGTTGAATTTTTGTATTGGTTCGTCTGAACTATAACGTCATAGGAAATGGCAGCTCTAGCTGAGCGTGCATAACACAAACGATTGGTAGTATAATTAACTTTTTATTCTTCACTTTTCGCCAACTTGAGTAAACATTGCTTTTTTTTTGGAGTGAGAGTAAACTTTGTCAACTGCACGCGTAAACAATGGGCACCCAATGACAAATTTGCTTTTATGCCACATGTCTCCGCAGCGGGAACACTTGAAGATAGCGCAGCAGTTCTTCCAGCTTGTCGGTGGGTCGGCCAGCGAATGCGGTATGTTTCCCCCTTATCTCTATTAGACTTGAAAACGCGAGGATGGCGTCCGAGAATATACAGAATATGCATTCTTATTTTTGTCTAGACAGCGTGGTTTGAAGTATTTGCGGCTTCACAAGGTCTTTTTTGCTGAAAGTGAATTAGATTAAGCGTTGTTGTTTAACGTAATTTAATCATCTAGTTAATGTTCTTTCGTTTTTGCTGTCACCTTTCGGGCTGATGACATTGCTTTTATTTGCGAAAATATTCAATGACACTTTTTGTTCAATAAAATAGACAAATGCCGAGTCCTACCTCAGAAGGATAGAAAAATGCCTAACTTTACTTACACCTGTGTTGTCTTTTCTTTTTATATGTACGGCGCTAATACAAGCTAAATTCGTGGATGACCAACTAGCTCGAGCTACAATTCTTCCAAGCAGAAAATTCAGCAAATGCAACGTATACCTTGGGAATCAATGTTACACGCAGCATGCGAATGGAAAGTGACAGAGTTGTACCTTTTTACTGAGCAAAACGTCGCGAAGTGGTGCTACAGATTTGTATACGAATGCATGCGCAAACATAAACAGTCGCGTATGTTCTGCATAACCAGTTGCTTGCATTTGTGCAACGATGCCAACAGCAACATGGGCATTGGCAACAAAGAAGTGGTAAGCGGATATGAAGCGCTGGTGCTCGCAAGGGTGGTAAACCCTGGACACTGCTACGTAGATCAACGTGAGTGGATGGCGCCTAACGATGATTGACATCAACCCCACGTGGTGGCTCTACCGTAATAGTAGATATGTAATGTTCATCAGATTGGATAACCAGCACTGCAACTACAATTGACGTTTCGCAAACAGTAGGGGTCTATCATGGAAAGTGGTTGCGAGGTCCTAGCACAACAAAGGATACGTTATACCTAAGCTTTTACTATACAAGGATACGCTCTCCTCACCTGCACATCTTCACAATACTACTACTGACACATTTTCCTTTCCAACCTCCTTGCTATGTTACACCACAGCATCCTAGATTTGTCTTGCATAACGGATTATCAGCGGTCACTTGAGAAGCGGCCGTCATCGGAACTGCGGTGATGGCGCCACTTAAGTAGGGTTGTCTTCAAATCAGATTTTACGTGTTTGGAGCTTACATGCAACAAAAATAGCGTAAAAAGTTTTTAAAAAGTGTAAACGTAATTATAATTAATTAGAGTTAACCCTACGTAAGTGACGCTGCCATAGACGACGGGCGTTTCGAGCTCATTCAGCAGGCAGCCCGTTGAATACAAGGCATAGCCTCTGAAATTAGCAAACACCAAAGTTGCTGATCTCAAAGGCCAAGCACAAAGACCCTTAACCTTACGTAGGTGGCGCCATCAAAGATGACGGGCGTTTCGCGCTTATCTGGCAGGCAAGAAAAATATAGGGGGCTATGGTTACACTTATACTGTGTGTGGTTGTTCTGTGCTAAGAGTCGCTTGGCACGCACAGGAGCTTTGTCTGGCGCACACGCATACTCGTCAAGTTTTGGCGGATGGCCACACGGTGCTACTGCAAGCTCAAACAGCTCCGATGCTCCCACGTTTGCATCTAAGCGCCCTAGCACGCGGCGATCAGACACTCTTTCTTTCTAGAAAACGCTCACAAGCACGACTTGTGTCTGAGATTTGGCCAACGGTTTTACCGTCCGCACTGTAGAATTAAGCCGGTCTATTTCAAGAAGTGGTTTCATGTCACTACACGTTTCAGCAAAACAGGTGCAATGCTGTTGGAACAGTGAACCTTAATTAACCCGAGCCATGGTACGTGTCCGGCAAGTTAGTTGACATACACATGTCAACTAATTAATTCAAGCTGATTCCCGGCACGAGCACTTGTTTGTCGATTTTTGTCTGCATAATGACCGTATAGTTTGTTCCTTATTTTCTGATGCGGGATATTCACGTTATATCCCCTGTGCTATAAGATGTTTTTTTCCTCTTTTTATTGTGCGAATGGTGTGTATCATGTGACATTCTCCTTGTAATGACCCCAAGCACGGGTTTGGTAGTATAGAATTAATAAATAGAGATAAAAAATTTGCACAAGAAACACCAGGCCTGCGCGGAAGGGGCAGCACAGTCACAGCGAAAGCTATTAAGAGCGGCGTTTCAGAGCATTTTCAAAACGCTCATTGAGTAACTACATGCAAGCACACTTGCTTGGTACACACTAGGGCATTAATATTAAACTTTTGGGTAGTAGGCCAACATTTGCTATGCTATATTGTTCGTCATTCTTCTGAGAAGCGTGGTATCCGCTAAACACTAGCAAGGAATTTCGTGCCAATTGTTCATGCAGTGGCTGACGATGATGAGGAATTGTGGCTGAAGTGGGTAGGCGCCACAGTTAACAGGAGAACAATAAGAAGCTTTTGTGAGGGTTTGGAGCATTGGACGGCCCACTCGTTGCGCTATTCGCATTGTGCGACGACTGGTTGTTCTTTCGCTGTTGTAAAACGCTTTGTAAGTCGCATTAACGCGATTGCTTTCCTGACATCAAGCCTGCGTAAGGCAAGTTTGACAACAACTCACAAGCACCGGTGTAGTTTATCGAAAACATTTTTCTTTAAACTGCACACTTCCACGCTGCCAGTGAAAACGTGGCTGAATGAAAAATCAATATACGTACCCTGGACAGTGAATTGTAGACTCTGGAACCAACTTGAGACGATAGAGCATTGTTTTATTCATTGTCGTGACGCTTTTTATTTTTCGGACATTCTAAAAAGAACGTTAAGAAAAGAACTTCCAATCACAGCCCATGGTATTAGGTTCCTTCCGTTCAAAAAGAGTCTGACTGATAGTACTCCTTACGACCTGTTTATGTTGTTAGGACTTTATTCACCATGGAAAAGTCGCATGATCGATAGACACGCCGCGCCACCACGGTCGACGAGATCTGTCTTCCGAGAAGCAGCTGCTCAAGTGCGCAGTGTTGTCGAGACTTTTGACCCCGTTCCGGAGTGGTGTCCCGTTCTTGACACTTGTGTGTGTTTGCCTGACTTCTGATGAAGTATGTTCTGTGTACTTTACTGCGATAATGTCATTCATTAAAGAAAAAAAAAGCACCGGTGTAGCTCAGTGGCAGAATACTGGGCTGGCACCCAGCGGACCCGGGTTCGAGCCCCACTGTGCCATTGGTGCTATGTCATGCCTGCCTAGGGCAAGTTTGACAATAAGTTACAAGCACCAGCGCAACTAAGTAGTGAAATATTGGGCTGTCACTCAGTGGACCCGTGTTAAAGCCCCACTGTGTCATTGGTGTAAGGTTTTTCTTTTCTAGTTTCGCGCGATGTGGTTACGCACACTGGTGGTGGTGGCGGCAGCAGACATTAGCTGCGCGTGACCTGAAAATGGATCTCATAACAGCTTTCGCTGTAAAATCAACAAAGAACAGTGTAGACACCACATTACTGCAACTGAAATTTCATTGCGTCTGTGCAAGATATCAATAGTAGCAGGATTTCTCACACACTAACATGTGAGCATAGAAACATTTGTTTTAAGGATGTATGCGCACATTTAAGGATGGTGCTTGCAAAGAAAAAAGAACCAACTGTTAGTGACAGTCATTTTTTTTTCGATGTGTGCAGACACTATACCGGGTCGCCAGTGCATGGCGTCCTGTTTCTTTCTGCTCAAGCAGTTCGATGACGTCCTGCTCTACCTGAACTCTATCAAGGTGAGATTGGCGTAGCTACACGTGAACATTACGAATTCCTTGTTTTTGTAGACCACCACAAACGTGTCTGTTCATCAGTTTCAATGCTTGTAAGTAATGTATAGCTGGAAGTTCAGAGGTAAGCACAGTGCACAGCTCAGAACACAGAGTGGTGTGACAGGGTGGTTGTGGTGTAGCTAGCTCAGCCGATGCGTGGACCGATAACTACCGATTCTCGTATACAAATGGTACGAGTAGTAAAAATCTGAAGGTATTCATTTTCGTATCTTTTTTTTTAGCGGCGAAGCTCCTCTTAGTCCAAGCTTGTCCTGCATCAGGCGTAACCAGCAGTATCAGATAGAGACTGTAGTGAAGAAGAGGAGCTTCAGCGGCATTTCTCAGCGCATCAGGGGCATCGCCATCAGCATAAGCTCGTGCTTGCTGCGCTTGGCCGGACGCTGCTGACTGCTTCGCTTTCTGCGTTCTGCGCTGCAAATAAACCCCGTTACAAGTGGTGGATTCTGCTGGGTTTCGATCACCCTGGAGCTTCGGAATCGCATTTTACCATCCACTATGCCTACCGACGCAAGCGCCGCTCCAACTCCTCCATCGGCACCGCCTACCATTCTCTGCGCCGGTTCTCTGCGTCTGCGAGATCCCCCTGTTTTCTCAGGCACAGAAGACAAGGACGTTGACGACTGGATTTCAATGTACGAGCGAGTGAGTACTCACAACAAATGGGATGACGCCGCCAAGTTGGCCTACGTCTCCTTCTACCTGTCGGACGTGGCCAAGCTGTGGTTTATAAACCACGAAGCGGAACTCCCTACATGGTCGGTCTTCAAAACGAGCCTCACACAAGTTTTCGGGCGGCCTGAGGTACGCAAACGCCGTGCCGAACAACGCTTACATACTCGGTCCCAGCAGCTTGGTGAGAATTTCACAAGCTATATTGAGGACGTTCTGGACCTTTGCAAGCGAGTCAACGAGTCCATGTCCGAAGAGCTTAAGATCAAGCATATCATGAAGGGCATTGAGGACGACGCTTTCCAAATGTTGCTTTCTAAGAGTCCTCGCACTGTCCTAGAACTGACCGAGTTATGCCAGAGTTTTGACGAGTTGCGCAGGCAACGTCTTTCCACCCGACGTCCCTCGGTGCTCGACAACTCTTTGTCCAGCCTGTCCACCCTTGGCATAGGAGAAGATCATGCCCCTCTTCTCTCCAAGATCCAAGAGTTTATCCGCGCTGAGGTCGCTCGTCACCTCTCTTTGATGTCCTGCGAACCCGATCAACCACGCAAATCGACGTCTACCCTCCGCGACTTCATTCAAGACCAGGTCGCACAAGTTCTTCCTCCCGCTCGTGAACCGCCGCCAGTCGCCGCACCTCTCACGTACGCCGAGGCCGTTGCTCGACCTCAACAGCCTGCGTTCCAGCCAGCGCCTACGTAGTCGTCGCCGCCCTTTTCGCCGCCGATCTATTCACCGCCGCCTATGCCGATACCACCTCGGCCGCAGTTTTCTGCCCCCCAGCCGCAAGTCGGAGTCTACTCCGACCAATGGTGGACCCACGACAACCGTCCCATATGTTTTGCTTGTGGTGGTGTTGGCCACGTGGCACGTTATTGTCGTCGTCGCCAGGCTGCTCAGAACATTCGACGGATGCCCTCTTTCGACCCTCAGTTTTCTTCTACGCCTTCAAGCCCTACTTCCTCTTCCTTTCCTTCTGATCGTCCACACGGCCCGACCCGCCGCTCCCCATCTCCACGTCGACGTTCGCTTTCCCCTATGCGTCGCCGTTCCGGACCCACCGACCAGGAAAACTAACGGCCGCAGTTCCCGAGGCACGATCTGCGTCCCCGTCGCCATGCACAAGTCCTCGCTCCTGTCCAGCTAACGTCATTGAAGTGTCAGTCGATGGTATCGTCGTCATGGCGCTTGTCGACACCGGAGCCGCTCTATCCGTCGTTTCCATCAACCTGTGCCGCAAACTCCGCAAAGTTCTGACGCCATTATCCGGCCTCTCTCTTAGAACGGCTAACGCACAAAGTGTAACACCTCTCGCAGCCTGTACCACACGAGTTGTCATCCAAGGGATTGTGTATATCGTCGAATTCGTAGTGCTGCCCTCGTGTTCCCATGACATGATACTCGGCTAGGACTTCCTTGCGAATAATAATGCCGTCATTGACTGCTGTCGCGCTGAACTTGAGCTATCTGCACTTCCTGATGTAGACGCTGTCGAAGCCTCCCTGCCGTGTTATAAACTGTTTGTTTCCGACGACACCACCGTACCACCGCGCTCTTTGCTGGTGACTGTGTCGTGTGACGCTATTTCAGACGGTGATGTTTTATTTACGCCCTCTGCCCTGTTCATTCAACGCAAATGTTCTCCACAGCCCATTGCTCTCCTTACTCTCCACCATGGCGTCACGAAGACGCTCGTGTACAATACGCTAGAAGGGCCTTTACCTTTATTCTATGGTGAATGTCTCGGTCACGCGCATCCGATCGACGCCTGTTGCATTTTTGACGCTCCATCTAGTTTACTTTCTACGGACCTCAGCGCACTCATTTCTGACTCTGTTGTTGACCAGTCACTCCTTGACGCTTTCCACCGCTCCATCGATGTCGCAACGTCTTCTTCAGAACGAAGCCAGTTAGTGAACCTGCTGCAAAAATTTCGTACTTCTTTTGACAGCCACGCTTCTGGCCTCAGTCGCACATCGAACATATCTCACAAGATTGACACAGGAAGCCATACGCCTCTACGGCAGCGCCCCTACCGAGTCTCAGCGTCGGAGCGCCGTGTTATTGACGACCAGGTTGCTGACATGCTCCAGCGGGGTATTGTACAGCCTTCTAACAGTCCCTGGGCGTCACCGGTCGTTCTTGTTAAGAGGAAGGACGGCTCCATTCGGTTCTGTGTGGACTATCGACGTTTAAACAAGATCACCCGCAAGGACGTTTACCCGTTACCGCGAATAGACGATGTCCTTGACTGTTTGCAGGGAGCGGAATACTTCTCTTCGCTGGATTTACGGTCTGGATACTGGCAAGTTCCTATGGAAGCATCTGACCAACCGAAAACAGCATTTGTCACACCTGATGGGTTATACGAGTTTACCGTTATGCCTTTCGGCCTTTGTAACGCTCCAGCCACTTTTGAAAGAATGATGGACACTATTTTACGAGGCCTCAAGTGGAACACATGTTTATGCTACCTCGATGACGTAGTTGTCTTTTTCACCGATTTCGACACCCATTTAAATCGTCTCGAGCACGTCCTCACACGTCTCACTGACGCCGGCCTTCAACTCAACCTCAAGAAGTGTCGTTTTGGTGCCCGGCAGCTCACCATTCTTGGCCACGTCGTATCGCGGGACGGCATACTTCCTGACCCCGCCAAGCTTCGAGCAGTCGCTGATTTTCCGAAGCCAAAGAACTTGAAGAAACTCAGAAGTTTTGTCGGCTTGTCGTCATACTTCCGACGCTTTATTAAAAATTTTGCTTCTGTATGTGCGCCCCTTACGGACCTTCTTCGCGGCGACAAGGACCTTTCCACCTGGTCACCAGCATGCGACGATGCATTCTTCAAATTACGCCACCTGCTGACTTCACCACCCATCCTCCGCCACTACGATCCTGCCGCTCCCACGGAGGTTCATACTGATGCCAGCGGTGTTGGACTTGGCGCTGTGCTCGCGCAACGAAAGGCAGGGTTCGATGAATATGTCGTCGCCTACGCAAGCCGAACTTTAACGAAAGCCGAGGCTAACTACTCCGTGACCGAGAAAGAGTGTTTAGCTATTATTTGGGCACTTGGAAAATTTCGCCCCTACCTGTATGGTCACGCATTCGACGTCGTCACTGACCACCACGCCCTTTGTTGGCTATCCACACTTAAAGACCCTTCCGGACGACTTGCTCGCTGGGCGCTCAAACTTCAGGAATACGACATCCGCGTTATTTACAGATCTGGTCGTAAGCACACGGACGCCGACGCCCTTTCTCGCTCACCCATATCGGATGAAGGCGTTTGCCTCTCTTCCCTCGAGCCTGCACTTGCGTCATCCGCCTTGCGCAACATGACGGTGGAACAACGAAAGGATCCCTGGATCAGTGGCCTCATAAGCATTCTTTCTGATTCTCTCACTCCTTCGCCGTCTCGCGCTCTCCGCCGCCAGGCTAGCAACTTTTGCCTGAGGGATGGTCTTCTTTATCGACGCAACTATTTTTCTGACGGTCGCAAGTGTCTCCTTGTGATACCCCGCCATCTTCGAGCTGCTATCTGCGAAGCTTTTCACGCGGACCCACAGTGCGCCCACGCAGGCCTCTTCAAGACATACGCTAGGCTTCGACTCAGATTTTATTGGCGTGGCATGTATAACTACGTGCGGAAATTCATTCGCTCGTGTGCTCAGTGCCAACGACAAAAGTTACCTCCCGGGCAAGTCTACCCGTCACAACCTCTTCCTTGTCCTAGTCGACCTTTTGATCGCGTCGGCATTGACATTTACGGACCACTACCATCAACTCTAGCTGGTAATCGCTGGATTATTGTTGCGATAGACCATCTGACACGCTATGCCGAAACAGCCGCGCTGCCGACTGCCACAGCCCGTGACGTTGGAACGTTTCTGTTGCAACGTTTCGTTCTGCGTCATGGTGCCCCTCGCGAGCTCTTAAGTGACAGAGGCCGTGCCTTCCTTTCTGACGCCTTGAAGGCATTACTCAACGAATGCCGAATCGTGCACCGCACAAGTACAGCGTACCACCCTCAGACTAATGGCATGACGGAGCGCTTCAACCGTACTCTTGGCAGTATGCTGTCGATGTACGTCGCCTCTGATCATTCAAATTGGGACCAAGTTCTCCCGTTCGTCACCTACGCGTATAATACCGCCGTACAAGCTACTACTGGGTTTTCGCCATACTTTCTTTTGTACGGACGAGAACCTTCAAATACAGTAGACACTATTCTTCCATATAAACCTTATGAGTCCGAAAGTACAACTTTGTCCGAAGCTGCCCGACATGCTGAAGAATGCCGCCAGCTCGCTCGCTCTTTTTCTATCGAGGACCAGTGGCAGCAGCAATCCCGCCAGACTGGGGACCGTTCGGCTCCAAACTTTCCACCTGGTTCATTGGTATGGCTTCGGGCACCTGCTACCGCGCCTGGCCGCTCCGCAAAACTTCTTCCCAAATACATCGGGCCATACCGTGTTGTAGAGCAAACGTCACTCGTCAACTATATCGTGGAGCCCATCATCCCATCCACAGACCTACGCTACCGCGGCCGCGACACTGTCCACGTCTCTCATCTCAAGCCATATTACGACCCATTAGTCGTTTGTTCTCCCTAATTCGCCAGGATGGCGTCTTTTTGTGCGGAGGGCGATTGTAGTGAAGAAGAGGAGCTTCAGCGGCATTTCTCAGCGCATCAGGGGCATCGCCATCAGCATAAGCTCGTGCTTGCTGCGCTTGGCCGGACGCTGCTGACTGCTTCGCTTTCTGCGTTCTGCGCTGCAAATAAACCCCGTTACAGAGACAAACAGATAGACAAACAGACAGACGAATGGAATGATGCACAGGCGGATGGACGGATGCATGGACAAATGCATGCACAGGCGGACGGACGGATGCATGGACAAATACATGCACAGACGGACGAACGGATGGAAGAACAGACAGACAGACAGATGGATGGACGGACGGATGGACTGACGGATGAATAGATGAATGGATGGACGGGTGGACGCTTCGCCCCACTCATCCTCATTCATTCCGGGGATATGCTATGCTTTTTTTCTTTCCGCATTCCACTTCATTACTAACGGTGACGTGTGGTGGCGTATTATGCAGGTTCATTACGTTACATTGTTCTTAGCATTGGTCGGCAAAAACATTGGAATTAACTCGGACTCACTCAAGAAATATATTTTGCCCCTGAGCCGTACTAAGTCGCGCTCAGACACACGACTCAGTCTCAGTGAGTCTGGCTGAGTCGACTCGGGAGCGAGTTTGCCGACCTATGTTTTTAGTGCAAGTAATTGATAGTAATGTTCATGCCGCTATGGGAAGAAAATGTTTTGATGAAGTTGTGCTGGTCACATTGATGTGTCGGCGGTGCACTGCAAATGCAATTACACGGGTCCCTCCCCCGCCCCCCCCCCCAAAAAAAAACCGCGAACTATGAGCGAATATGCATTGAACACTGTGACGTAGTAAACGTGCCGCCAGGCATCGCGAATATTCAATAAGCAAGAGCGTCAACGCAGCAAGCAGTAAACAGCAACAACAAAAATAAACACTTCTTGAGCAAAGTATAACGCAGTTAGTCGCATTTATAACGTGCGTTTTTGCGTTCTTTAGAATTATTGGGTATAAATAGAATATATTTTTCATATTCATGTTTTCTTGCAATGTCTTGGCGATGTATATTCCATAGTTAGCCAGATATGTCAGCTTTTGACCAGATAGCGCCTATCTGGTCAGATAGCGCCTATCTGGCGCCCAAGCAGCAGTATCCACTTCTGCTTGGGCGCCATCACTGTTTTTTTTTCTTGTCAGTGATAGGGTTGAGCTCGCTTTCACACACCTATTTGCACTCGGCGAGTCTTGGCAGATATCAGTGTCTTATTATTCCTGCTGCTAATCCATTTACTTTGGGACAACGCCCAACACCAGAACAAATCAAAGCTAGCCGACACAAAATACTGAGCCCCTTCAGCACTACAAAACGGTACCAACTTCCGCGATACGTTCAGCAACACGTCCAGCAGTACGTAAGGGCAGTAGCTTGCACGCGATACATTAAGAAATACATTCCGCGGTATAGCTTAAGCCACAAATTCAGCAATAGAAGTTTGTGAAAGCGCGGAGTTTTCAAAACGACCAACTGCACCTTCTGGACTCCTCGTTTCACGTCTCCATTCTACCGGGACCCCACCGACAATACGTTGTGTTACCATGCCTTGTAGGGAATGACTAGGGGTCGCCTTCGCGAATTTCATTGCTGCGAAAATTTCAATGGGGCCTCTGGAGCGATAAACAGGAGCTCTGGGAGAAGAAAAGGGACGAGGACTTTGTTGTCGTTTCTCTGTAGCCTCACCACGTATAGCAAGGTACCACTTGTGCCTTGGCCGATCCTTCTTGGTGGGTTGCGCCAAGACAAAGGCTCAACCAACCAACCATCCAGTGCTCCGTCGCTGAGCATTCTCGATGGACGCCTCCTGACTCGCAACAATATTAAAATGACTGGCAATGCTTCGTTGGTAAGCGTGGTAATTCATTTTCGAATACCGACAAGCAGTCATAGCACTGAACGCCATGAGCGCATTGGAGCAATTTCTGCAGCTAGGACAATCTCACCGAAGCTGATTTAGCAGTTACAAGTGTCGATTGTTATCCGTGAATGCCGTGAAGAAATTGTGCGCGTGTGCTGTGTTTAATTCAATCTCTTTTTGAGTCTACGTCTCGATCGCATGCTTACTGGAACGATTAGCAAATTGACGAAACCGATGCAGTATCACGGAAGGTTATGTCTTCTTTCCATAACCCTGCATTGGTTTCGTAGGTAAATAGTTGATGTGTTTCAGCACACTGCTAATGGAATGCATTCCACCGGCACTTCGCTGCCACGACGTCGCCATGCTTTGCGTTTCAATTCGTGAGTAATTTTTATATGGTTTTTTATCATTGTTTCGCAGAGTTACTTCTACAATGACGACACATTCAACTTTAACTATGCCCAGGCAAAGGCTGCTACCAAAAACTTCAAGGAAGCTGAGGAGGTGAGTAGAGAGGTTGTTTTGAACGCGTGTGTGCAAAGTATAACTTAGTTTGGTAGCTTTATGAGACATACGTGGCTTTCTTTTAGGGGCGAAGCTCCTTAAAGCGGCACCCGTTCGTCCCTCGTCGTAGTACGTAACATGTCCTACGCTTTGACCTGCAAGTTGGTGCCGGTGGGAGATTTTTCCTGTGCGTTGTTGAACAATAAAAAATTCGCAGCGTGCGCGTTAACTAAAAGCCGAATTCTCATGTCTCTCACTCCCCATTAGCAGCCATTAGCAAGTACATTGAGCACTATCTGAGAAGAAAGGGTTGCTACGTTATACTCGCTGGGCGCAACCTCCTTGGTTTTAGAAAGGTTTAGCGAGCGTTGGGCCGCAGTGCCATGAATACACCGAACTAGTATATACCTTGAACTCGAGTTGGTTAAAGGTGGGAAGTAGACAATAAGCGCAAGCCGTAAGAAAGTGTGCGTGAGCCACCTCTAGTTTAGTCTTTGGAATATCCGCTGGATGGCGGTGCTTTTATATGCGGAATATATGATGAAAAGAGTCGAGATGGTGATACTTTGGAGTGTTGCCTAGATGGACGAACGGACACACAGACAGATGCATAAACGGACGCATGGATGGCTGCATGGACGGATGGACGCATGGACGGACGCAGGGGCGGATGCATGGATGAACGCAGGGACAGACGCACGGATGGACGTGAGCACGCACGAACAGACGTACGCACGGACGGGCAGATGGACGCATGGGCGGTCACACAAACGGACGCATGGACGGATGCAAGCAAGAACGAATCGATGGAGGGATGCTTCGCCCCACTCTCCATCATTCACCCCGTGGATATGCTGGCGTTTTTTCAGTAGAATATACTTATATGGTGGTGTTATCTCATTCATGTACCGAATTCAAAATATAATTCAAACAGAATTTGAAATACTTCGGAAAAGTATTTCATTACATTAAGGGCGCTTACAAGGTACGTTTCAGAGTTAAATTAGAAAAGAAATGCGATGAGACAGTATAACGCCAAACAAAAAGTTTTGCTTAGAGTAATCTTCACAGCCAGCTGATGTCAACGAAATGATTATGTCTGTCGCAGCCAGGTTTGTTGGTTTGGTGCCCTATTAACAATAAATTAAATTTTTTTTCAAATTACTTAAAAGAATTGATAAATCTTATGCATTTGGGGAATCGATGCGACGCGAAGCCGTCAGCGAAGAGCTGCCTATGCGGTATAAGTATGTGACCATGAGCCAAGCGTTACGTAATGAATGGAGGAATTTGTGTGATGTTAACACTTGTGTGCACATCATGAGCTTATCAGGCAAGTCGACTGTACCTTGACGTCTAAAGAGTATCAAAGCAAGCGCGTCAGTTTCATTGAACACAAATGCACGGTATGGTGCGGTGATGTGCATATGATGAGCAGCATTCAATGGCATATTCCTTCTAGGTCGAGCGACGCTAGAATATCGCTTGTTCCGTCATAGGCACGTATGCTGTGATGGAGCATATATCAATACTTATTACACTGTAGTAAGAGCGGACAACAATGACCACAATCGCAATCGACGTTAGACATGGATCAAATCTACAGGTGCTATCTTACATAACTGTCACCGTAATCCCTGATGTAGTCCATTTCTTAATGATTTGTGCGGCGTGGTTTGTTGCTCTGGTGTGCTTCAGCATGTTCATTTGCGTTTCTTTTGCTTCTGTGACGCGTATAAAATTGTCGCCAGCAATAGCGAATGTTATGTTCTTTCATTCGTTGACCTACGCAAAGTGCGGTTTTACCATTTTCAGTGTCTCTTTTGGCTGTAGCTGGTTGATATAGAAAGTGGATACAAAGATTTCATCATTAGTGCCGTATACTCACACGAATTGGGGCGGCTAGTTGTCATTTATCTTGAAGTACATGACGGGTTTGTAACTATATTCATATTAATACTCATCATTCCTGGTGATACTATTAATATCTGGGGATTTACGTCCCTAAAGCATGGTATATGATCAGGAGCGACGCCGTAGTGGAAGGTTCCAGAAACTTCGACCATCTGTTGTTCTTTAACGTGCGGTCACATCGCACAGTACATGGACATAAACCATTTCGCCTCCATCAAAATGCGACTGCCGTGGCTGGTATTGAACCCACGACCTTGGTGTCAGCAGCCGAGCACATTGACCACTTCTCAACCGTGGCGGACACATAATTCAGTTTGATCGTAAACTCGCGTCGTCATCGCCAATATAGGTATACAGGGTGTTCCAAGAAATGTACCCGAAGTTCTTAAAAAGCTTAGCAAAATGATTTTTCTCGCTATCCTCATGTTTACTTTTTCGGTGAGGGGGACATCTTAAGGTGGCTAGAGGCATATATTACGACAGAAATAAAAACAAATATGAGAATTATATTTATAATTGGTGAAGACAAGGGGTCGGCTGAAATGGCGAAATTGCAGTGCTTCCCACGAACAGCCTGTTGCCACTGTCAGATTTTTCAAAAAAAAAAAACAGCTCCTGACAATTGGTAATGAATAATGCAATCTCACCAATTTCGCCGGTTAAACGAAGACCTAAACCGGGAAAAGCGCGACTGCCACACGTTTTGGAGACTTCCAGAATGGGCGAGCGTCGTTGTACCCATCGGCTACGCTTGGTGATTGCGCGGGTTTCATATTGGAACACTTATGGCACACGTATATCCAAAAATGCATGAAAAAGATGGTTGAAATCTTTACAAAGCTCTTTTGGGAGGTCTTAGTGGGTGACGTCACCTTTCATTGTTTGCGGGTGCCGTGACCATTTTTCATGCTTGCGTTGCTGCTTGGAATGACATCAAAGCGTGCACTGTTTACATTGCGCACCATTATACTTATTACGCACTATTATACTTATGACAGTTTGCCCATTCTCCTGTTGGTTCATAAATCATGCAAGCCCGTTGATGCCCATTCAATTAACAAATACTATTAACCTTGTTTTCTTTGCATTACACTCATGGCCCGAATTTTGTTCGGCCGGTGCAGGTGTTCTTGATGATTCAGAGTGAGAAGATAAAGTCAAGCTATATCTACCAAAGCTGGTTGACACGGTGCTGTGAGTCAGTTATTGAATACTTTGTGGATATTGTGAGAGTGTAAATGAGAAAAAAATGTTCAATATTCATCGAGGACACGGGGTGTTTGTACATTCAATAACTTCGCACGGGTCCGTTGTCAGACATGAATGCTTCTTGACATGCCTCTTGCGATGCTTCTGTTTTCATGATTGTAGCGTTTTGACATACTGGCTTGGATAGGTGACGAGTAATAAGGCATAATTTTGTATTACATATTTTTCATAGCGTTTATCAGTTCCCAATACGAAACGTCTTCTAAATGTCACCCTAAAATCGACAAAATTTTTTATCAACGAAATTAGGCATACTTGCAGTCGATTATTTGAGTTTATTATGAGCTTATTACAAAGATATCGAAGGTAGAGTGACATCATTTTTTCCCCTACACTGTGTAGCTTGAAATTTGACCGCAAAAGCCTGCAACGAACACTGCATGCAATTCTTACTTCCTCGTATCACCATTATAGCATGTCTTGAACAGCCTATACCACCCATCTATTTCGAGCTGGTGTGTCTGAGCGTTAGTTAATCTTGAACGGATGAAACAATATTTATTCCACACTGTAAATCGCCGAGGGCGCTGCGGTGGAGAGGGTCACTGCGGCTGCCATCGCCGCATGCGAACACGATCTTCACACTGTCTTTGCCCACTGAGCCCTCAGCTACGTGAGGCTATAAGACATGGCGTCTAGAGCGCTTTTAATATTCGCGAGCACGTTTGGGCAGAACTCGACGAAGTATGTGATGACCTATTTAACGCCGACTCGATAATGTCAATCAAATCGATAACAGATTTAACATCGACTCTCTCCCGCAGACATCATGAACGGCAAGCCTCAGCAGGCGTGGGAACTCTACCAGAGCATGGACACCTCGAGTGAGTCGTTCAGTCTGCTGCAGCTGCTGGCCAACGACTGCTACAAGGTGTGCGGACAGGCTCTACAGCCCACATTTATTCCTTTATTTTCTGATTCGGCATGTCTGTGGAGTGTGTAAATAGACCTTTAAAAGCACGCATTAATGCATGGAACAACATTTGCTTAAATCCAGCTAACTTGAGAAAGATAATCTGTATTTCTTTGAAGCACTCCATCATTTAGGGTCACCGCACGACAGTATGACTGTTTTCGAATGGCCGCTGGAAATTTGAGAAAAGGGTGTCGTGGCTACTCTTGAAGTGTCTAAACGCTCCATACCTCGCGTGTGACTTGTGGTATTGGCACTTACGTTGGGGTGCGGTGTGGCGATATGGGGATGCGAGCATATAAGGGACGGCTCATAAGCCACCGGCATGCGAATTGTTGTGTCGCGTTGTGCGCGATTTCTCGGTAGCCTGCGCGTGCTTCACTTAAGGAGAAAAGGACATTACTTCAACATAACGTAAAAGGAGAAATGTGGGTGGCGCAATGGGCTACCAAATTTCTCAAGGACATAGATCCGCGGGCAACCTGCAACGTCCTCACCTCGTAGCTACCACTGTGGTTAAAATGCTGCGCTGCTAGGCTCCAGATTGCGTGTCAGATGCACGCCGACCGCGAGAACTGTACTTCGACAGGGATGAGGAGCATAAATGATTGATATGTTCTGCTGCACATGAAGCAGCCATACAGGTTCTCAAAATCAATCCGCAGACCATTCTTACCACGTGCATCATCTTCGCAGCCTCCGATAGTGCACAGAAACTCTGCAGAAGCTAATATGTGGCCGCTACCATCTCACGAATTTGAAGGAAAATAAAAAAAAAGCTTGCAGTTCCATGTACAAATACAAATTATGAGCGAAACTTCTTACGAATGAAACGCAAATAACTTTGTACGTTTTTAAGGGGCGAAGCTCCTTAGGATGTGGGTATTCCCTCCTTAATAGTACATAGTATGTAGCCAGCTCTAGTTCATAAGTTGCTCACTAAATGGCGTTGTTTGTCTATAATTACAATTGTATATAAAAGCACTGGATGGCGGTAGGGAATTCTGTAGTTGATGATTAAAGGGGGGGGGGGGTCGGATGGACAGACACACAGACAAATGTACTGACGGACTGACGGTTGGACAGGCAGAGAGACAGGCAGATGGACAGACGGCCAGACAGACAGTCGGACAGACGGAAAGACTAACCGACAGATGATTCGTCCCACTCATCGCCATTCACTCTGTGGATACGCTGTAATTTCTTTCGCTCTGGCATGCTATCTGCAACGCTCGTTGGCGAAAACGCCCGTTGCACTGTTTGAGGGGAAAGGGCAGAGACGAAGAAAAGGAAAGAGAGAGACTAATCTGCCTCCATTTCGCATGTGTTCGTATTCTCACACGTTACGCATCGTGCAGACGCCCACCGCGTTTCAGCACTCGTAAAGCTGATTTGTCCTTAAGTGCGAGAGGGAGATGCCACAGCTTCCGTGTCAAGGAGCTTCGGCAACGACGGCGAGGTGCGGGCCTAAGGAGCTTCGCTCCTAATAAAAAAAGGTGACGGCACCATTGCCTCTTTTGGTTTACTTTGAGAGCACCAGGATGCAAGCGCTGGCACTCCGCAAGCCAAAGTTGTTTGATAGGTTAATATGTAGGGTTTAGTGCCCCAGAACCACCATATGATTATGAGAAACGCCGTCGTGGAGGGTTCCGGAAATTCCGACCACCTGGGGTTCTTCAACGTGCACCCAAATCTGAGCACACGGGCCTACAGCATTTTTCGCCTCCATCGAAAATGCAACCGCCGCAGCCGGGATTCGTTTCCGCGACCTGCACACGGCGAAATTTTTCCCAATCTCCACATACCGAAAGTTTGACGAATGCGTCACGCCCGAGCAAGACAACGAAGTTTCTTGTAATTATGAGACAGAGACGTACCTGTTGCCGCTGTCTTTAATGTCTGGGCGATAGAGGTGAAGTAGATGTCACGTGAAGCTACGACAAACTGCGTATATTCGAGGACAAGAGGAAACAATGTAGTTAATGAGCATGCGGGGCGAAAAAGTTTCGAGAAGACGACCAGTTCTATCTGTTGAACGACATCAAATATGGAGTGAAATCTATCTGTTGAACGACATCAAATATGGAGTGAAATCACCATGTTCCCTTAAGAGTATTCGCAGGGACAACAGACGACTACTTCCCAACACCATTTGATATATAAGAGCGCTATCGCCCGCGGCTTGAAGCTTGTTTAATTGAAACGAGTGTTTCAAAAAAGTGGCTAGAGGTTTTAACGAGATAGCCCTACAGCGCACGTTCGAGAAAAAGCTGTTGGCGCAAATACTGAAAAAAAAAGTAGTTTCCTTCTGCTCATTCGTATACGATAAACAATCTTAGGAGAGAGTCTTCTCAAAGGGACACTGCAGAGCAAAACGAGTTTTCGCGTATTAGTAAAGTAAAATCTTCCAATCCCGGAAATACCAGTCTCACCACCACATGACGCTTGGTAAGAGAGAAAACGCGCGAAAATTAAATGTGGGTGAAGACGCGACTTACAGATCCCCGCACCAAACACTATGACGTAGTTGATAATGAAGGCGTCTACTGGGTCCTACATTGCTCCTACTCGATAAAAATGAAGCTCATTGTCTTCAGTAGGTGCCAAATACCCCAGAACACGAAGTTTCGAAAATTTCCGTTCAGCCAGTGTCGTGAAGATGCGAAAAACTACATTTCGAAATTCGCTACGTCGCGCGCTGTGATTTCGCCGCGACATCTAAAATGAAACTTCCACTTCATTTTCTCCACTTACAATGAAATTTTGACAGTTAACCTTACGGCATTATAGCTGTCAGATTGGATTAGATAAACTTTTATTTGGTCCTCCAAAACACAGATCACTGTGTTGCGGGCAGCTCCCACGTGGGGAATGAGATACCAAGCTCCTCAGCCGCCTCGCGGGCTTGGTGGACAGCCCAGAGCTGATCTGCCAAGGACGAGCTGCGGATTGCCGCCTCCCAATAGGCAAAGGTGATGTTCGATAAATGAGCGAATTCGGTGCACTGCCAGAGGATGTGTTCTAATGAAGCTATTTCCCCACAATGTGGACAAAGATTACTTGGGTATAGGTCAGGGTACATGATGTGTAACATTTTCAAAGTAGGGTACATCTGCGTTTGAAAAAGCCTTAATGTAAGTGCTTGGGGCCGAGTAAGATTTTTGTGAGGTGGAGGGAAAATCCTTCTAGACAGGTAGAAATGTTTAGTGAGCTCGTTATATGTTGTAAGCATTTCCCGGTTATCCCCTTCACTGATACAACGAGTGCCCGGGGATGTGCAGTTGGAGAGTACTCGCGCCGCCTCGTGTGCTGCTTCATTGAGATTGGAAGGGGAATTGTTGATTTGTCCAAGGTGAGCTGGGAACCAACTGAGAAGATGATGTGTTATGTTCTTGCCTTGCAGTATTTTCAGCGTTTGTTCAGAGACCGTCCCCTTGGCGAACGCCCATAGTGCTGCCATGGAATCACTGTAGACGACTTCAATGTTATCCATATTGAGTGCTAAGGCGATGGCCACTTGTTCCGCAATGATTGGGTATTTCGTCCTGACTATCGCTGAGTTTACGACATGGCCAGCTCCATCGACCACAACTGCCACAAACGCTTTCGCATTGGCGTAGGAAGCCGCGTCAACAAATACGACCCCTCATTCCTCGTTTGAGACTTGACGAATTATAGTCCTGGCCCTCGCTACTCTTCTTCCGACGTTGTGTTCTGGATGCATGTTTCTCAGTATAGGAGATACCGTGATAGTCTCCCTGATGTTGTCCGGGATATTATTGTAATTGCGTCTGATTGCTATTGGGTGTTGACCCAGCTCCTACAGGATCATTCTCCCCGATCTTGTTGTAGATAACCTTGCAATCTGTGCTCTCTCTTGGGCTTCTGCTATTTCTTCGAGCGTGTTGTGTATGCCAAGCTCAAGCAGACGCTCGGGGCTGGTATGTATGGGTAGGCCCAGGAACTTCTTGATAACTTTCCTGAGGAGCACATTCAGTGTCTCGGACTCTGCTCTTGACCAGTTGTGCATTGCTGCCTCGTACGTGAAGTGGCTTAGAACAAACTCATGCATCAACCTGATGAGGTTGTCTTCCTTGATCCCATTTCTTTTGTTGGCCACTCTGCGTATGAGGTGCACCGCACTGTCTGTTTCCGAGTTAACTTGGCTATAGATTTGCTGTTGGCGCCGGTAGACTCTATCAGCATGCCCAGGACTTTGATGGAGTCGACCCTCTGAATGGCATCCCCTTGATTCGTACGGAGGTGGATGTCTATCTGGTTTAACGGCTTCCATCCCCTGGGCTTCGGTCCCCGGCGTGCAGTCCGATAAAGCAAAAGTTCTGACTTACTCGAAAAGCACTTGAGCCCGGAAGGGCGAAGGTACACTTCTACGGTGTCAATCGCCTCTTGCAGAGCGCTCTCAATCTGCCCCTCGCTTCCACCTGTGCACCAGATGGTAATGTCGTCTGCGTAGATGCTGTGCTTCAATCCTTCAATGCTCGATAATTTCTTTGACAGTCCAATCATGGCAATGTTGAACAGCATTGGTGAAATCACTGCCCCTTGCGGCGTGCCCCTTGCTTCTAGTTCGATTGCTGCGGTCTCGATATCTGCAATCTTCATCACGGCTTTCCGATCTGTAAGAAAGGACCATACGTAGTCATAGAAGGCTTTCCCTAGACCAAGCTTGGTAATTGCTTCGAGTATGAATGAGTGGTGGATGTTGTCAAACGCTTTTTCTAGATCTAGGCACAGAATGGCTCTCACGTCTCTGGTTTCATTGTCGATGACCTGCTGTTTGATAAGCTTCAATGTATCTTGTGTGGATAGCCCTGGCCTGAATCCAACCATATTGTGTGTATATATGTCGTTATCTTCCAAGTACTTGTTTATCCTGTGCAGTATGGCATGTTCTGCAACCTTGCCGATACATGATGTCAAGGATATTGGCCTCATGT